CGCGTCCATCCTATGCTAACATGGACTGATAGCAGCGCAGGGTGCTGTGGGATACTTACGCCCTGGGGTAGACGTGGAGGCGGCCGGCAGCGGGCGAGCTTCGGGCCCTTCGGTCAGGCAGCCTTGGGTCGATAGGGCTCCCTGGAGAGCCTCGGGGTGTGTGCAGTGTGGCACACTGTGTGGCACGGCGGCGGCAGGTGTCCGGTGATGTGCCGATGTGGCCGCCCGCCCCGCCCCGCCCCGTCCCGGCGTTGCCAGCCAAGCGAAATAAGTCTGAGGGGCGCCCCCTCCCTCCCCCTCTCCCCGCATTCCAGCGGTCTCGGTTATCACATACTGATGACTGTCCTGTTCATCGAGCACCTGCCTTTGTCCAGCCCGTCCAGGCGTGTCGGCGCCACTGCCCGCGTCGACAGCCGGCCGATTTCGAACTGGGGTTTCGTCGCGCTGTCTCTGTCGCACTCGTTCGGCAGGGGAGCGAGAGAGCCGCTGCCGGTGTTTCTTGCCGCGCGGTGATTGGCCGGCTTGTCCGGGGCGAATGCCAATGGGCCGATGACCGATTCAAAGGGAAGGCGGTATTTCCTGTGTCTGCCGCAGCCCCCGGCTGCCCTCGGCCGTAGCGTTTCAGAAGATCGGTTCGTCGCTCTGTCTCTCTCGCACCCTTAAGGAGACTCCTTTGAGTGCGACAGAGACAGCGACGAAACGACTCTTCAGAATCGCAGGGCCGCTTTCCCTTTCTGCCGAGCCGGCCGGCGAGAGAGGCCTCGACTCCGGCCTGGCGGAGCGGGCGGAGCGCACCCCAACCTAGGCCAAGGGTAGCGGGAAGGGCTGGGCTCCACGGCTCCACCCTCCGCGGCCGCAAGCCGCAGGCCTGCGCTGCTGTGCCTGCCCGGCCTGCCCCTCGGCGGCCGCGTGCGAATCTGCTCCAGACGGGCCGCCGCCCCGCCCCGCCCCCGCGTTCTGACGCGGCCCGCCGTCCAGTGCGCGGGGGGCGTAGGGCCACGTAGGGCGCGGCAGCTGGCTGCTTCGCCACTATTGATCTGTCTGCGTCGAGCTGCCCGCCCTGAGCCGCCCTGCCAGGACTGCTGGGCCCGGGTTCGATTCCCGGCCGGAAGCACGAAGGGAGGCGAGGCGAGCCCCTTTTGGGCCTTTTACACGCGCTAGCTTTTTCAATTTCTTGCCTCCAAGTTGGCCGTCGAGGCGGGCTCGGTGAACTGTCGCGCTGCCGGCCGTCACGGCACCGTCACGCTGTGGGTGGGGGAGATGAGCGGCGCCGCGCTAGCAGTGCGCTAGCACCGCGCTACAGTGTAGCTGAGCGTGACGGTGGCGCCGCGTGGCGGTCAAGGTGATGGCCGCGGCCGGGGGCCTCCGAAACGGCAGCCAGCGACGCGCCCCGGACGCGCTCCGCGGTCTAGCCGGAAGTTTGCACGGAGATGGGCCCTACCAGATTCCCCGGGACTTGGGCCGCTGTGGGGACAGGGATGGGCGTCGCTGTGCATATTAAATTTGCCACCACTTCCGGTCGGCTCGTCGTCGTCTCGGCACGCCGCTTTGATGTACCGATTGTGTGCTGATGAGCGATTTGCGTGTCATTTGCTGCTCGGCCGCGGAGCGGTGCGGAGCGGCTTGCCCGAAACGCGCTGGCCCTGCCTTGCCTGCCTTGCCTGCCCTGCCGGCCTGCCCTGCATACATGCATGAATACCACTCGGGTGGGGCGGGGTTCCGGTTCGCGAGGACTCCACCGCAAAACGTCGTCGACGCGTCCGAATCGTGACGAGATGCGGCGCTGTCGCGAGCAGCTGGCCCGGGCGTGAGTTGGAGTTGCAGTGGCGTGAGGTGCAGCATCCCGAGGCCCGCCGAGGCCGGAACGACACGACCGGAAGCCGCCGAAGCTTCCCATTGTCACAGTCTGGCGAAAAACGCGCGAAATTGGCCTTTCAGACCACGGGGAAGTCCCGCGCCGTCACCGAGAGTCGAACTGCAAGCGGAGGTGCATCGCCGTGGTGGCGCCAGGGCCGCGTCGCCGCGTTGAGAGACGAGAGGGCAGCAGTCACGGCCGGCACGGCCCCGCCCACGCAACCCCCCGCGGGCCCGTTTTAGGCGGGCTATATTTATTTTCCCTGACGAAGATGCCGTCGGAGACAGGTGTGGAAGGGAACGACCCCTGTGCATCAAATTAAAACACACATGCGGTCGCAAGGGACGCTGAGGTTCGAAAGTGTTCCACGCGCGCTTCGGCTTCGGCTTGTTCTGCCTGTCAGTTTTGACGTTTAAGGCGCGCTGAGTTGAAGTTTAGCATAGCACTGAGTTCGCCGACGCGTTGGCTTCGAAACGGCGCGTGTTGCAGGGCTGTCTGGGAATATGCCGACGTCGCCGTTTAAGTTAAAATCGTGTTCGTCAGCCGATGGCTCGCGTCAAGCCGGCGCGCGGTGGGGGATGAGAGTGGAGCTGGAACTACCCCACCCCGCCGGCTGTCGGCGTCGTCGCTACCCCTCGTCGCGACGCCGAGCGCGCCCTCTCACTGCGGGGTATCGCCGTCGGCCGAGTGGGGCGGGGTAGCGAGCGGACTGCACTCGAAGGACTCGAAGCTCCTTCCGAAACGTCGGCTCCTCGTTCGGCACGCTGGCCATGCTGGCATGCTTGGCTCGTTGCGAATCGGCACTTCGGGCGCGGCAGCGCGTGGCAGCGCGGCACTGCACAGTGCGTTTGTCGGCAACAAAGCATCGCGCGGTGCCGCGGTGCGAGGGAGGAGAGGGTGGCCACTGGCGGCGGGGAGGCCTCCCTTTTGCTCACCATGTCGGCCAGTTTGAAGCCGGGCAAGCACTGCCAGCACTGCGAGGGGAAGGATGGCGCCGGCGGCTGCCCCGGCGCCCCCGCCGAGGCCTCCAGTGCCCCGGCCCCGATCCAGGCCCAGTAAGATGCTGCCATCGGGGTTGATTGATTGGGCTTGCAATGTTCTCCTTGCCGATCGCGCGCCATTTGTCCTAGATTTCAGACACGACTTCAAAAGGCGCTGATTGTTGTCCTTGATTGTGAATTTCTTTGCCCGCCGGAACTGTCTCTGGGCCGATAGGACTCCCCCCGGGCGACCAAAGCCCGTGATGGCGTCGCTAATGTGACGGGACATCAAAATGTCATTCTGGTGTCGCTGGCCGTCGCTGCGGCGTGTTATAGTATGCTCTTTTGGATGGGAAGGGACTCGTCGCGCACCCCGCCTCACCCCACCCCACCCCGCCGCGCCGCCGGCCGCACCCTCCCTCCCCCTGGCAGCGCGGGCCGCGAAGGGTGGGTCTGGGCGGCGCGGCTGCGCGGATGCTGGAGCGCCGTGTCGTGGCGTGCCGGGCGCGGCGCGTGCGCGGCCAGGCCTGGGCCAGGCCGTGTCGCCGGTCTTGCTGGATAAGCGTGCGCGCTGTGCGCGGTGCTCTGTGTTCGGCGCAGCCCGCGCAGCTCGAGGTGCCGCCTGCCCTGTCCTGCCTGGGCCGAGGCTGCCGAGGCCTGGGCTGCCTGCCGCCGCTCCACCGGAATTATCGATCAGAAAGGGAGGATCTGGCCGGTAGCGTCGCGTCGCGCCGCCCCCTCCCCCTTCTCCCCCGCCGGCTCGGCTCGCGGCGCGCGTCGAGCTCAGCCACCGTGGTGCTGCTTGCTGGTTGGAGTCCTCCTCCTCAGTAACTTGTGGCGCGACGTGGACGCAGTACGCTGGCTGGCCTAGCGCGCGGGTTGGCGTGCTTCGTAGCCCAGTAGCCGTAGTGGATCGTAGGAGCTAGCTAGAGTGTTAGTGTTTGCTTGACTCCGTGTCGATGGGGGGCTGTGCGTCCAAGGACCAGCCACAGCCCGTCGAGGACGGCGCGGCGGCCGAAGGGTGCGTACAGCTTCAGCCTTCAGCGTGCAGTGATTGTGGGTTTGGCGCGTGCCGGCACCACACCGGGGCCCCGACGCCCCACCCCCGCGGGCCGCGCGGACCACGCCCCACTGGCGAGGCGCGGCCCGGCCCCAAGGCGGCCCCACCCCGCCCCGCCCCGCAGTGCCTAGTGCCGGCCGCGCCCCAACTGTCAAACAAAGAAACTACCCGCTCCGTGCGTAGTGCTCGTAGTGCGGGGTGCCTTGCGTCGCCGCTGGCCTGTGTCTATTCCCGATTCCAACCCTCGGCTCCAGTGGGAGCTCCTCCGGGAGTCCTGGGCCGGTCGCGGTGTCGCGGTGCCTCGCAGCTCGGCGTCGTCCTCCCCTCCCCTCCCTCCCCGCGTCCTTCCCCTCTCTTCGCGGCATGGCTCCGCGGCATGGCCAGTCATGCCGATCGCCTGGCCGGGCTAGCTGGCCTGGCTGGGCTCCTCCACTCGCAAGGCTCTCGCGACGCGCGATGCTCCCCGAAGCTTCGCGGCACTGCGCTAGACGCGGCGTGGCGTCTTTGCGCCGGCCGCGGGCAGGGCCGGCAGGGCGCCCTGGGCGGCCTCATGGCGTCGTCGCTCTGACGCGGCCTGTCATGTTTTATTGAAGGCTGGCTCACGTGGAATGCCTCGCCACCCCGCCCTCTGCGCCCCGCTGCGCCCCGGCAGGGTTCGTGACGGCATTGACGGACACGGTGGGGATGGGTGGACGTCATGAGCCACCCCCTCCTCTAGGGCTTGTTACCACCCTGTTCCCCCTTTGTTTGTACTAGGATATCAGGGGGATATAAATATATTGATGGTACTCACTGAAGCCGTTGCATCAAACTCTGGAAGAATGCAATTGTTTTGCTTCCTGCAGATGGACAAGGTTGCTTGTACGTTAAATAATACTAGAAAGATCCCTTGCACTTGTTTGGTGTTACTAATAATTAATAACAAATGGATATTAGTTCCACCGAATCATTAGAAAATTGATGTTTGCATAAATGTATACCCCTATTAGACTTCATTCCTCATTCCTTATCAACTCTCGTTTTGCTTACTCAATCTTCATGAATCAAAGGTAATTTTTATCCAAATTTTCAAATTGATGCTAATTTTACTGTTTAATTGTTTCAGAGGCAACATGGTTGACGCTGCAGTCCTTGAAAAGCTGGAGGCTGGCTTCAAGAAGCTGCAGGCTTCTGACAGCAAGTCTCTGCTTAAGAAGTACCTTACCCAGGAGGTCTTCGATGCCCTGAAGACCAAGAAGACCACTTTCAACTCCACCCTCCTGGACTGCATCCAGTCTGGTCAGTAACCATTACAAAATTAAATACATTTTTATCCTTTCCTCTCATACTAGTTTCTCATCATATTATGTTTTGACTTTCTCTAAAGGTCTGGAGAACCACGACTCTGGTGTTGGTATCTATGCTCCTGATGCCGAGGCCTACTCAGTCTTCTCCGACCTGTTCGACCCCATCATTGAGGACTACCACGCAGGTTTCAAGAAGACCGACAAGCACCCCCCCAAGAACTGGGGTGATGTTGAGACCCTCAGCGATGTTGACCCTACCGTAGGTGTTTCATTTATATGGCAAGATTATTTTTCTTGCTTTTCTTAATCCCCAGTATTTTCTCATAATTTCTTGCTCCTTTCAGAACGAGTACGTTGTGTCCACCCGCGTTCGTTGCGGCCGTTCCATGGAGGGCTACCCCTTCAACCCCTGCCTGACTGAGGCCCAGTATGCTGAGATGCAGGACAAGGTTTCCTCCACCCTGTCTGGCCTTGAGGGCGAGCTGAAGGGTACCTACTACCCCCTGAAGGGAATGACCAAAGAGGTCCAGCAGAAGCTGATCGACGACCACTTCTTGTTCAAGGAGGGTGACCGTTTCCTCCAGGTAAACCTGATTCTTTTGTGAATTGTCTCTATTTGTCAGAGTTGAGACTAAAGGGTTTGTTACTTCAACTTTTTTTAGGCCGCTAACGCTTGTCGCTTCTGGCCCACCGGTCGTGGTATCTACCACAATGAGAACAAGACCTTCCTGGTCTGGTGCAATGAGGAAGATCACCTGCGTCTCATCTCCATGCAGATGGGTGGCAACCTGAAGGAGGTCTATGCTCGCCTTGTCAACGCCGTCAATGACATTGAGAAGCGCATTCCCTTCTCCCACCACGACAGGTTGGGCTTCCTCACCTTCTGCCCCACCAACCTCGGCACCACTGTCCGTGCCTCTGTCCACATCAAGCTTCCCAAGCTGGCCGCCAACAAGGCTAAGCTCGAGGAGGTCGCCGCTAAGTACAGCCTGCAGGTAAGCACGTAATATACGTTTAATTACATTCTCTGCCCTCTCTCAAGTTATGTACAAGTGCTGATGGATTTTGTTCACTTTCAGGTGCGTGGCACCCGAGGTGAGCACACCGAGGCCGAGGGTGGTGTTTACGACATTTCAAACAAGAGGCGGATGGGTCTCACCGAGTACGATGCCGTCAAGGAGATGCACGACGGTATCAAGGAGCTCATCAAGATTGAGCGTGAAATGTAAATTGCTGTACATCACCTTCTGTGCTCACCATAGGCTTTGCCTATGGTGGACCAGGTCACCAGAAAGCTCTAAATTATTACCATCTCATCTCTTCAGAAGAAAAAAACCTTTCCTTCTGAAGATGATTCACTGTAAATGATGCATTGTACCTAACTAAATACAGTCAACATCTTTTCTTGTTTAATTTTTTACTTAATTTTATCCTTTTTTCCCTGCTCATAGTTCCATGTGATGACATAAAATTATGTTCATTTCTGTACGTACCCTCAATTTTAAAAAAATCCAAGACAAGATTTGAACGATGCATTTCTTTAGAAATATTTAGAATGTTTGGCTTTTTTTTTTTTGAAGAATTAAACCTGCATCTGCATTGAGTAGCCATGATGACAACTTAGTGAATCTAGCAATGTCAAACCTCAAAATTTAATGTAGTAAATTTGTCTAAGTAGCAGTTCATTTGTGCACAAATGATTCATAATTCTTTGAGCATGTGACATAACTACCAAAGCAGGTGATAATAAATAGTAAATTTAGGTAACAAATGATATATGTTTATTGTAGCTATCCTTTACAATTTCAAAATGAGGAACACACAACAACAGTGTGATCCACACCACAGCTCACTTTGGCAACAGAAGCTCCTACTGCAACCTGCAGAAGATGAAATTTTACACTTTCAATTATGGAATTAGGCTTTTCGTTCACATTTTTAAAAATTTCACACCTAAATCAGCAAGGAGTAATGAAAATAATATTCAATACAATATCTAGACTCGCCATAGCCCAGACACATTACCTTCATGGGGAAGAACTGGTCTTTGTCGTGTCCAAGACCAAGACATCCCCCACGGTTGTGGCCCCATGAATACAAATCTCCTTTATTAGTAACAGCCATGAAGTGGTGCAGCCCACAGGCAACTTGATTTACTTTGGAGTCAGGCTGAAACTCATTTCTCCCAAACAAAATGGGAGGTATTTCTGTAGGAGTCATAGATTTCTGAGCTTTAGGGCCCTTTCCAAGAATTCCAAAACCCCAAACGAAGACCTGGCCATGCTCTGAAATCAAACAAGAATCAGGAGAAAGGGAAAAGGTAAACCAGTAAATGTGGTATGATGTATGCACACTACATACCATTGAGTGCCATGCAAAAAGATCCTCCTGCAGCCACATCAATAATTTTCCCAAGATCTCTTGTGAACAGTAAATGTTTTGAAGTTGCCAATTGAAGACTATCTTTGCATAACTGTCCATATTCAGAATTACCCCAGCCAAATACTTCTCCTTTTCCTGTTACAGTTAAATTTATTACAGACACTACAATAGTTTTTTTTTCTTTTTTTCCAAAACTACATGGCGCAGAACTTACTATTTAAGGCTAGCACACAGTCACCAGCACAAGATAGTTTAACAATGTCTTCCCCCACTACGTCACCAGTCACAAGCTTTGGTTCCCAATTTGATTCATAATTATTTTGACCAGTTTGACCATCAGCATTCCATCCACAGGCATAAACACTTCCTTTTTCTGTGATAAACATACTGGAAAGGAAACATTAATTTGCATAAAGTAAGTTTAAGTTGTCATCGCTCTAGAGTGTTTATTTTGCTTGCTTGTAATAATGATTACCTATGGTCTTGGCCACAAGCCACAGAGCGTATTTCATCTGCTGGGAGATTTACTATCTTATGTACAATTCTACTTCCACTGTAATTTTCATTTTCGATAATGGGCCTGCCACATTGACCATAAGCATTATTTCCAAGAGAAAAGACGCCGTCGTCAGTGTGGACAAGTAGATGAGCGCGACCTGCTGCAAGTCCTTTGACCCTAAAAAAATGATGCAAATCCAAATACCCAAAAATAAATGAAGATTCTCTCTACCTCAGTCAACCTAAAAATCTAATTAACATGCCAGCCTTCACCTTGTTTTGATAGATTTCAACGGAATATTTATTGGAGCTGGGTTAAGCAGGAGAGCCAATGGATGACCAGCCCGAACAGCATGATATCCTGAGGAAGTAGAAACATGACTTAAGAAACATTCTTGATTATAGCAATGTAAAATGTAGAACAATTCATGTTAATCTTTACCTATTTGAGAGTCTGTGTTTAAGCCACTTCCAAAGACTTTGTGTTGACCTTTTTCCAAATCAGGATCCACAGAATAAACTGTGAAGCCATATCCACAAGCAATATCATTTACCTAAAAACAAAAAATAAATATACAAAGCAGTTACAAAATCCTTTTAGAATTTAGGAAATCAACATGGATTGACCCCCAGTAATTAATGCCTTGTACCTTGTAAAGGTGAGAAAAATGTAGGCGTTTAGGATGATGGTAAAACTGTGCCAAAGTTTTCATCTCCCTTTTCAATCTATGGGTATGAATCCCAAGCGCTCCAGTTTCCGCAACACCCCATGCATAGACCCGTCTACCACTTTTGGATGGCTTTCCATTATTTAAGACTGAAATTGAAGAAACATGTTGGAACACTTGAGTAAAATGAACTTAATGAAAAGAAGTTAATTGAAATTAACCTGGAACATCACTAATGTCATCCTTTGGAGAAACATCATTCTTCTTTGTCGATAAAAGTTTTCTCAGTACATCAGTGGAATACTTAAAATGTTTATCGTTTCTGAATAAAGAAAATCGTGGAATGTTCGCCATTTGACTCAAAATACCTTACACGGTACTACTGACAACTGACAATACAGATTTGAAACAATAAAAACTACGAATAGATGAAATGAGTATATTTGTTTGCACCTGAAACACTTGTGTAATTATAGGTTAAGTTATATAAATTTCTCATCCCCTGTAACTCATCTGTCTTCTGCTGCTGGAGGCTGGAGTGTTTGTTTTTGTAGCTGTTGCTCGATTTTTTTCTGTCAGTATCGCCTGCTGGAATCAATCTGTGTGCCGAAATGAGAACGATTGGTGTCCTCTGTGGTGGATTTTTACTTCACCTTGTGTTCCTCGCGTCAATATTTGATATTTATTTCAAAACACCTATTGTATCGGGGATTCTCTCAAAGCCTAACCCAGTACCGGGTCCAGCAAAGAGACTTGTTTTCATTGTTGCTGATGGTTTGCGAGCCGACAGCTTTTATTCCAATGATAAATCAAAAAGTACACCGTTCTTGAGGTGCGTATGCCTACTTTTTTCTTGGGAATGTTGAAATGATGCAAAGCAGTTTCTAGGAAGATTGGTCACACCCTTATCTATCTCCAATTCTTTTCCATATCAGTGTCTTTTGTGACATCAGTGGTCCTCAAGAAATGACTTTTTTGCCTCATGATTTTTTAACACATTTTGCCAAATGAATAATGGCGAGTAGTAAATAATTCTCTCTGTCCTTTTTTTTTCATTCAGGAACAAATTGGAAAATCATGCTTCTTGGGGTGTATCTCACACAAGGGTCCCTACAGAGTCTCGGCCTGGTATTGTTGCCCTTGCTGCTGGTATCTATGAGGACCCATCCGCTGTGTTTAAGGTGAGACTATCAGCGAATCTTCCTCTCAAAGAAAATATTTATTATGTACCAAAAGTTTGTGTACCAAAAGTTTGTTTCCATTTTTGTTCACTTTAATTAGGGCTGGAAGGAAAATCCTGTTGAGTTCGACTCACTGTTTAATCAGAGTCGCCTTACATGGGCATGGGGAAGTCCAGATATTGTACACATGTTCAAACAAGGTTTGTTTATGATTCGTCTAACTTCCTAGTTCAAATAATTCCTTCGGTTAAAATAATTTTAATGACTCTCTTTTGAATTTTCAGGCAATGTTAAAACTATGTCATATAGTCCAGATGATGAAGATTTTTCAGGAAAAGAAGCTTCATGGAAATTGGATAAATGGGTCTTTGAACATGTTAAACTGCTTTTTGATGATGCCATAGGAAATCCTGAGCTGAATGATAAATTACACAGTGATAAACTTGTATTTTTCCTTCATCTTTTGGGTCTTGATACTGCAGGTCACACAGTCAAACCTGTTTCTAAGTAAGCAATGGTGATATTAATTTTACTGGTCTCTTTGGATAGAAACTAAATTTTTTTGTGATCTTTGAAGGACGTACCAAACAAATCTGAAATATGTAGACAGAGGTATTCAGCTTATTGAGCAGCTATTTGAGGAATTCTTCAATGATGGAAAAACTTCTTATGTCTTCACGGCTGATCATGGGATGACCAACTGGGGTAGGCTATACCAATAGCAATGCCATTGCAATTTTTGACTAATGTACATGTGTCAGGAACATTCACGTGTTTTGGTCTTTGTAAATTTAGGATCTCATGGAGCTGGCAGCAAAGAAGAAACTGAAGTTCCTCTTCTTGCCTGGGGTGCTGGAATAAAAGGGCCCAGTCGGGCTGAACCATGGGACCCCGTCAGTCCTGATAACTGGCAACTGAGTGATTTGAAACGACATGATGTTGACCAAGCTGACATTGTGGTTCTGCTTGCAAGTCTCATCGGGTGCAGTATACCTGTGAATTCTGTGGTTAGTATAAGACTTTGATAATTTTCTGTGCCAAAACATATTTGTTTTAATTTATACGTGTGGGTTGATCTGTTTTCAGGGACGATTACCTTTACCCTTTTTGGATTTGCCTGTTCGGGATCTGGCTAAGCTAAGCTTCCTAAATGCAAAGCAGCTCTTAGCACAGGCAAATAGAAAAAGAGAAATTTTACAAAGAGGCAGTCTATCATGGTTATATCGCCCTTATTGGAAGCTAACATCAGAAGAAGCACAAATCAGAGAAAAACTTATTAACCAATTCATTAATTCTCAGAAATATGACAAAGCTGTGGGTATTCCTATATGTATACTTGGGGGAAAAATATGATTACAGAGGGTTTTTTATGAAACACCATTTCCTTGAATTTGCAGATCCAATTATCTGAAGACCTCAGTGATCTTAGCATCCACGCATTACGTTACTATCACAATTATTACCAAGGCCTTCTTTTGACTGTCGTCTCGCTGTCATTTCTTGGTTGGATTGTGTGGCTGCTGTGCCAGTTAAATATTCCATACAGAGCAGGTGAACCTTTTAGTGACAATTTCTGTTAGCACCTATTTTAATGTGAATACCTTGTAATGTAATATTTATGTATATTTTTGATTCTAGGGCAAACAATCCTTCTTTTAGGCATGGGGAGACATGGAAGATTAATCAATAAAGTTTTCCTAGCTTTAACATGTCTAGCATTTATTCTGATCCAAGGTAGCTATGCCTTATATTTTCTTTGAAAATTTATTCAGAATAATCTAACGTAGTAACTTTTTAACAGTTCAGGGATTGGAATGGCAATTTAATGTGTACTGCCTACTCCCCCTTCTTCTTTGGTGGAGTGTGTTTTCCACAATTGATTTGTGGTCATACAATTTCATTTCAACTGGACGACTTTGGAACTGCCTCATATTCAGTGCAATTTTGTTACTCTTCATTGAAATCATGGTAAGAAGATGTTAAGAATAGCACTCGTAGTTTTTAATTAATTTGTTTTTAATTGTCATTTTCTTTTTGTAAAGGTTGCAGCATTTTTTCAAAGATGGGTTTTAAGTGTCGGAGTGCTGTTTTTGTCATTGTGGCCAATTTTGGGAACAGAGAAGACAGCACTGATTTCTCCATCACTGATGTTTTCATGGCTTTTTTCATGTGCCATTTTAGCTATCTTTCCTCTATTACCTGTGATTGGAAGTGAAAGTAATGTAAGACTTGTGTAAGTATTGTAGGGTATTAAGATAACTACCGCACATGAATTTATTATTTTAGAACATGTAGTTATAGAATATGGGTGTGTGTGCGCACCCGTGTTTTCAGTGTATTTTCAGGTTTCGTGTGGGTGGGTTCATTGACGTTCACAATGAGTGTATTGCAGCGGAACATTTCCATGTATCAAACTGTGACTTTGCTATTGCCGTTATTATTTGCATTGTGGATTGTTCAGTCAGTCACAACAAGCTTAGCAGCCAAAGCAGGACTTCCATTTGTTTACCAATGCGCTTCTTGGTTATACTTGGGTATGTACGGGTTGTTCATCAAGATTTTTTATGCACCCTTCAGAAATTTTCCCTTCTTAATAATTTCTCTTTTCAGTGTTCAGTTGGGTTGAGGCTTCAACAGGCGAGAAAGCTGTTCCTAAACGCCTTTTAAGATTGCACTTATCAATTGTACCTCTTTACATGCTGCTATGTGTTCGTCATGAAGCTCTTTTTTTATTAGCACTATGCTTCCACCTTCTGTGTTGGTTTTTAATAGAAGCCCAACTCAATGGAATCAGCTTTTATCAGGTACAAATTTCATTGTTTCCTAAAATATTCAACAAGATTTTTTTTCTCTTCACTATAGTTTTTATTTTAGAGAAATTCTTTTTATAAGCATAAGCATTTTAATTGGTGTTCCTTATTTTTTTTTCAGCTAATGAGGGTAGAATTTCCTCACATAACAGAAGAACAATCTGCTAAACGAAAACTGTCTTTTGAGGATTTTCGTCGTGCTGCTCTTTTTGTATCCTTTTATTGAACTTTCTGTATGAAAAGTTATGTTTCGCTTGTGTCTTCAATGCTATAAAACCTTAACCAGATTTATCAGGTATTTTACATATTCCTTTCATTTTTTGGAACAGGAAACATTGCTAGTTTGAATTCCTTTGAGGTCGTTTGGGTGCGATGTTTTCTATCAGTATTTTCACCCTTCACAATGATGATTTTAATCCTTTTAAAAACTTTTATTCCGTTTGTGCTTGTTACCTGTGTGTTTCGAGCTATAAACATAACTATCAAGGTACGTTCCATTGGGTAAATGCACCCCTCTGCTAGTAATGTGCACTGTTTGTTTAGAATGTTTGCTTAAATTTATTTTGTTTCCTTAGGCCCCTACAAAATCCATGTTTATGGCTGTGCTAATTATATCTGATCTAATGGGTTTGCATTTCCTCTACCTTGTCACCAATGAAGGTAGTTGGCTAGACATAGGCACATCTATCTCCCACTATGTCATAGTGCAGGTAAGATAAATCTGTTGCTCATCAGATAATAACACTCCTTGTTTTGCTCCCTCTCATATCCGTTCTTTTTTAATTTTTCAGGTAACTGTTCTAGCATTAGTTTTGCTGTATGGTATTGCCTCTGTCATAACTGGAGCACATGTACCAAACATAAATTTTAAGGTGAGAGGAAGAATATGTAGACTTTGGGGAGATGGAGTATCTCATCATGAAGATATTGTAGTTAAGTTGTTTTAGAGACAAATTTTTTATTTATTTGTATTAAATGTGAGTAACCATGAATTCTAGTCAGTGTGTGCCTGAACTCAATTCATTAATACTGAAAGGAAAGGAAAAATAAAATTGCATTAGGTAATTACAATGATTTAAGCCTACTGTATTCAAATATGTACATTTCATATATACATTGTCCTTGTTCACTAAAACAAAGAATAATCTGCCAAAATCACAAAAACGAAACACAAATAAAGTCATAAGGAGTAACAAATTTGAAGTGCAAAATGACATGAGGCTAGTTACTTTGAGGAAGCCTGTTTTTCTTTACAGTCGGCTTGTCAAAGTGCTGCTTCATGCCAGCAGCTTGATTTGAATAAAATTTGCTGTTTTGAGCTGTTTCAGAAACCCACGGAGACTCAAACTGTGTAGTATCTTGATCAACCAAATGAGTATATTTTGTTCTTCCACTGCGGCCAAAGTTCTTAACCTGTATGAAAATAAGGTGATTTTAATGCTTGTCAGATTGACGTAGTATATCTTATTATCTTATAAAAAGGTGAGGGGGGGTATATATATATAATGTAAGATGAATGGATATGTACACACCTGCATAACTTTGGGCAGGATGGTTTTGTCAAAGTGGTCCTCCAAAGTAGCAGCAGAAAAGTCTCGCTTGAGAACATCTTCATCAGCATCCTGAAATGATAAAGGATAGATATGAGTTGTATGAACCAAGTTCATTAACTGCAGAGGACATAGAATACAGGGCGTCTCAAGCCTACCGTACCAAGTAAAATGCACCACGATGATAATATTTCTGAAGAAATTTGTATTTGCCCTTTGCAGAGCGATTCGTAATAACTTTGGGATTGTTGCGGAATTCTATTCTCCTTTCTTCTTCTGTCATATTACGAATTCGCTCAAGCTCTGATCTTTCCCTCTCCATACTAGAAATACGAAATACACATAAATGAGTCACTTCAGTTTACTTTGTCACACTTATAACGACCAAACTAATAAAATAAAGTAAAACATACGCTTCTCTTTCTTCTCGGTCTCTTTTGATCCTTTTCAATTCTCGAAGTTTCCATGCCTCATATTCTACTTCATCATTTTCATCATCTGTATTAACATCGGCCAGTTTGGGTTCATCTCCCTCCTTTGCAACAGTAGACTCCTTGCGAACAATATCTTCAACCATCTGACAACAGAGAGAGAATAGATGTTAGTGACGACTTGCAAGCTAGGACCAAGGGGTAGAAGCCGGATAAAGCAGGAAATACCCTCAGTGTATGGCGCTTCCTCTCTTCTGCCATTTTCTTTGCTTCTATTTCAGCCTGTTTCTCCTTCATTTCTTCTTTTTCTTTTTCCATGATAGTTATGCGATCTTTCTTCCTAACAAAGACTGGTTTCAATCTTGGACCCATTTCTTCTTCGGAATCTAAAATAAAGATTTTATCCATGCAAAAGTAATCAGACAAAAGGTCAAGAACATCAAAAAAGTAACTATTGTGGTATAGTATATTTTACCTGTCTCCTCCTCATACTCAGAAGACTCCTCCCCACTCTCAGCCATACTTTGTTGATCCTCTTCCTTCATCATTACCTCTGGTTCCTAAAAGTTATAACACAATTTAAAACTAAGATAATATTTCAATCAATTTGAAGCAAAAGGATACAAAAGAACCTGTACCTGCTCTTCCTTCCTGGAAAGCAGCTTCTGTCGGAGAAGAAGACGTCTTCTTTCAATTTCTTCATCACTAAGTTCCTCTTCATCTTCCGACTGGCTGCTGTCTGCCTCGGTCCTTCTTTCAGGACGCCTTTCTTCAGGTTCTTCAACCATCTCCTCCGCCTCCTCCTCAACCTCATCTTCAGATCCATCAAGAATTTCTGGTGCATGGATGTGTCTGATGGGATAAAAAAAAGGAAAATGTTCAATTTAGAAACTTAAGATTGTAAGAGTAAGTCCATTTCTCTGAAAAATATGAATTCTTGACTTACCTGTGTCTTTCAACACGATCCTCGTCTTGTCCACTTTCAGGACCATGTCTGGTCATTAGACGCCTCAAACGAGGATCATCTGCAACCTCACTTTCATCATATAGCTCTGTTGGGGATTCTGTATGTCTTGGAGGGGGACGTGTAGGCCTGGAGGGTCTAGAAATCGGAGCTCCTTGTTGATCTATGAAGTCCTCTTCTTCAGACTCCTCTTCACTGCTCGACATGGGCGCATAGTCTGGTCTTTTACCCGATACATATCGGTGAACTTTGACTTTTTGCATAGACAATTCACCTGTTGAGAAAATATACACTAAAATGTAACAGAGTACAGAGACATGTTTCGATTCCTGTCTTACTTAAAAAAATATGATCTGGAATAGTGCCATATCAACACTTTCTTTGTGACCAACAGGAGATACTAAGGATGCTAGAGGAACGATGACATCAATTGGAGTAGCATAGGGATTGATATTGCAGTGAGACACAAAGTAAGTGATTAGTTATTTCTAAGCCCGTTTATAAGCTCATGAGGGATACACATACCTTTGTCATTTTTTACTGGAACGGCACCAGCAGTGCTCTGAATTGCAACGGAAGCTGTCGCGTTACTCATTTCTGTTGTTAGTAAACACTACTGCCTGAGAAAAAATGGAAAATTTCGTTCTGCAAAGACTAAAGTTGTCTTCAGTAATGCAAACCTTAACCCCCGTTGTGTTGATGTTTCGTTCGATTTTGGGGTCTGTTGTTGTTGATGTTTTATTTGTTGTTATTTTACCACCTTTATTGCTATTGCGATTCGAGGAGCCCCTTCCCCACCCACGCCCAATTTCGAGGGATCAAAGGGGCTTTGGCAAACCTCCAACCCGTTTTCTTCATTTTAGCTTCATAACCACATGCGTAGTTAGCTCGAAAAATACATTTTAATATGCGTGATACGCTTTGTAAGAAACCTGCGAAAATTTTGGACTTGATCGCTGAGTATAAGCAGAATAAGACGAGCTTGACAGCCCCGCATTTCAAAAATTCGCGCCTCGCGCAGTTGCCATTATTTCCGCTTCCTTTCCTCGATCCTTCCTAGCAGAAGACGAAGAGCAGAAGTGGGGACATAGGGAAAACTGTGTTCCACACTCCAATAAAATGTTTTTCTTTAAGTTTTTATCAAGGCCCAACCCTTTTTTACATTGTAACTTAATATTATATTTTTTAACCTGACAACGTCTGGAAAATGGGCACCATGGGGACGCGAGCAGCTGCCTGTAAGTACAAAATAAATAACTGCTGACCTGATTGCCTACCCCTCAGGCGCGTGCAGAAAAGGCGCCTAAATTTTATCACCACTTTATTTTCAAATGAATTATGTATGAAAAACGACGGAGCATTCTAATTTGCTCGCGATTTCTTTTTCTTTGTACTCCTTGTCGGTCTGCCTTTGGTATATAAATCAGTATTAGAAGTCCTAACCCTACTTTCCACTGTCAAATGCAAATGTCAAAATTCATTGTTTCTCATATAAATTCAGACTAATTTTGTCACATATTCCTTCCCCTTGCGTTATTTATTTCGTATTTTATGTTGATTCTTCCAAGGGAGACCGTGATTCTACTGGGTTGTGTCACTCAAAACTGTCTTTATTTTGGTGCACCGTGTACCCAATTCATGACTTCCAAATGATGGAGTATGCTTTTCTGAAAATTTGCCCATATTGAGCTCGTTTTGAATGTTGCAGTTACTGTGAAGGTAAGGGGCCTGCACGACTACCATCTAAGACTTTTACATGGTATAATGCCCCTACCTTCAGGACACGATGGCGCTGCTGTGCTTAAATACTTCTCTCAGACTTTACTAAGTGAGTTCCCTGACATACCCATTGCTAAGAATCTAAATTTTTCAAGTTTGATTCAAATTTTTACTGTTGCCGTTTTTATTACTTATTTCATTAATTCTAATATTTATTTTTTTTAGCTGTATTACGTGATGTCAAAGCAAAAGAATCACCTGTAGAAATGGTAAAGTCTCCAGAGTGTGATGCTAAACGAATGGCTCTTTATCCAAACTTGGATTACAAAGGACTTTATAACGCAATAGTTCAACTTGTAGATATTGTTCATTTAATTCAATATGGAGTTCAAGGTAGGTGTTCGCTTTGTAACTTTATAGCACCCTTGTAAATTAACAACTTTTCTTTAAATTGCATTTAATTTGATTATTTTGATGTTTTGCTTTTTGTTCATTCCAGAGTTTGGTCAAGCATTGCTCCAATGTTTAGGGTGCCTTTTACCATTTCTAGAGAATGATATGATAGACACATTACCTTACCTAACTGCTTCTACTATTGCTGTTCTTCCTGCTCCTCTTCATCAAGAAATAGTTAACCAATTGTGCTACTATGTTTTCCCTTTTACATTAAGTAAGTGTTTTGTAATCCCAACTTATATTTCATTTTTATTTGTCAAAAGCCAGCATATGAAAATGTTCTTTGTTTTATCAGCGAGAAGAACTCACGAAGGTCAAGAAAACTATGCATCTCATTCTGTGGCTGCTATCCTCATGCTTGTATTTCAATATGCAGAAAACTCAGGTGTCTATTTTGAAGTTTATCCAAAGATGTTTGTAAAACCTTTTATCTATATATTAATTGCTCCCTTTTATTTTCCCTCTTTAGCACAACACAGCCAACTAATGGAATGTTTGATGTCAATGAAATCTGACCTAGTGCGTGATGTCTTTTGTGTTATTGCCCATGGATCAACTGCCGCCCGAGCATCTGCTGCTAAGCTTCTCTTTCACTTCTGGCCTTCATTCAACACTTCTCTTGTTGACAGAAAAAGCTTACCTAACAAATTTGTCAGTGAGTACTAATGGATTTTTTAAATATTTTAGTCAGATACTGTGACATCTGCACTTGATAGAGAAAACTACCTTTCACAATAGCTGCTTTCAATTACCAATGTTTTAAAAAATTTCAGCCGACTGGCCACCATTTACTTGTCAAAGAGATCAGTGTCCAAATGCTGGCAATGCAGAAGCTGCAAAAGTGTGTTATGATCATGATATATCCATTATGTTTGCTAATGAAAGGCCTCCTCCTCTATACTTATGTATTGAATGTGCCAATGATATTCATAGCAAACATGAAGATAAGATGTTTTTTGATATTTTGCACCCAATGCAGCAAGTAGCTGTGATATGTGAAAGCAAGGTCAGTTTCTGTGTTGAAAACAAATAAATGGTGCTCTGTTTGTTTGTTACTTGCTATAATATCTTTCTTTTGTTTTTTATGCAGAACTGCCGTGCTAGTGACAAGACAGCAGCAACAGTTTGCTTCTCGGCAGATTGTATCAACTACAATGGTAACCATCCAATACGGTTTTGTAGACAATGTCATGATAATCGCCACAACAATCGAAGAGGAGGGGACCATATTGTTCATTGTAGTTTAAGACAAGCATGGGATATGGATGAAGAAATGCAAAGCTACCTTGTAGAATCAATTGTCAAGTAAGTATAAGCTGTAGTTGCAATTTTGAAATTTTATAATTATATCAATTTTGTCTGACTTGAATAGTTTAAAGAAATTTGGAAATATGTTTGTAAATTTGTTGTTGTTCTTCTTCAGCCTTCTTAGGGAAGCTCAGTGGCATGGGTTAGAAGTACGGCCAGGAGGTTTATCTTCAGAATTTACCAGCACTGCTATAAGTAGTATAGCAAGTAGCAGTGACCCTCCTTTACTGATTGTGGAAGATGAACTTGCTCAAGATGAACGCCAGTTACTCGGTCGCTATGGAGTGTGGCTTCTTGTTGGCCTGTGTACCCCAAATGCTGAAACAACCCCCACTCACACTTTAGGTCGTCTTCTAGCTATGCTCTTTCATTGGTTCCACATTACAGCATTATCTTTTGATGGTTTGTACCTTGGAACAATTTTATCTATCCAGAAACCTAATGAATTAACACTAATCTACATTTATTTCCTTGAAATTTTTTAAAATAAATAGACCAAGCTGAAAACACATTAGAAGGATTAAAAACAGACTTTGTCTGTGGATGGCTGAAGGAAATTTGCAAATCTCATTTCAATGTGTTAGTGTCTTGTCTCCTGCCGCATCCTCCTGACTACTCTAGAGTTGGTGGTCATTGGTTAGTAGCCACCCAGATTTTTGTCCAACTTATATCTGCATACGAGTTAGTTACAATACTTTTGTGCCGTTTTCAGGGACACTATGTCATCTCGAACATGCCACCTAAAGGATGGACTTAATCGATTATTCTGCCTTGTTCCATATGAGGTAGTTTCTCCAGAAATTTGGGACCATGTCATGCCTCATTGGATGGAATCCATAGCCAGTGATGTTCCAGCCAAAGAGTTGCATGTATTAAAAATTTTGCTGAGGTGAGTCTTTAGTAGGTTGCTTCAACTTTTTTCCATTTTTTGATGCCGAGAAAACAAGTGATGTGTTAACAAACATTAAGCTAAATTTTTTCTCCAGAGAATAAAGTAAATGGATAGTCAGAATGTGAAGTACAACACTAATTTGTAACAAAGTTCAGTATAAATGTCTTTATATAAACCGAAACTTAATTATCTTGAGGCTACTCTTTGCACTTAAAATTAACCAGCTCACAGAATCAGGCAGAGCAGTACAGCAAATTGTGTTACTTAACATAAGTGAACTTGTTCAGGTGCCTGAAGCCATCCTAACGGATCTATTTAATATCCCATATGAAACACATTCTCTGAATAACTTTGGCTTTTGCAACCTATGACATTCTGATGTTTTTGACCGTATTTGTTTTGTTGTAGCTGCCATTTTTGTGTTCCTTGTGATTTTAAATTTCAATTGTAGATTTGAGTCATGAAGCATGATGCATTATTGACGAGGTTGCCGTGCTCATTTTTTGTGCAGTCATGTGGCGGCTTAGATAGTTCTGCATATTTGTGTGTATACTTAGCTATTGTGTTACTAGGGCATGAGAATGTGGCTGAGCTAATAATGTTGCATGTGGGCAGACACTTTAGCAAACAGTTACATTGAAAAGAAATCTCCTTGTCATTCAGGCTGACCATTATTATTTCTTTATTATATACAGTATTTCTATATGTCTCTTGCCATAGTTGACCCAGTTCAAACCACTGTCAATCAATTCACTTTGGCCTAAAATATTTAGTCAGCAGCAAGACTGAGGAGGAAATCATTATACATGCTTTTCCTTGTCTATATCAATACAACCTTGCTGCTGTACTGATTGTTCAGTCCAATGTGGAAATAAAATGACATTATGCAATCATCTATGTAACTTTTTAAGTATTTAATTGAAATGGAATTAGTTTGGGAATGAAAGGAACCAAGTTAAGCTTATGCACTCGCAGAATAACACTCGTGAAGTCACATTTAGAAAGAAAACATATCACTTGTGTCATAGAAGTCCGTATTACAAATCACAGCACAATTGTGTTCTACTTGTTTTAAATCGTTTGTTTCCTCCTAAAATGATGGAAAGAATGTGTGTTATAAATCATTGTAGAAAAAGTTAAGCTACAGCATTGGTGTTACTGTATTACCTTACTGCTGTGGTATTATTTAGGTAATAGCAGCGTTCATGAGAAATTTTGCTGAATGTTTTTGCCTGTTTGTTGTATGGGCTGTTCATCTTGCATTTAATTTTGTTGTCTGTTGGCTGTTTAGTGTTCTGTGTGCGTGTGCTCCCCAGTTGAAAGCATTGCATGTAAGTATGGTGTCAAAATGTGAATTAAGTGCAAAATTGAGAACTCTTTTTGGCCTATGAATTGGAAAGCTCATCAAGTTGTCTCCTGTAACTCCTTCTAACTTTTTAGGCAAATTTGTTCTTGTCAAATTCATGATCACTGGATAGTGTTAAAACTAGGCTATAGCACTACAAACTCAAAAGCACCTCACAGGGAATCACATGTAGAGTAGTAATGCCTTCCTTATGTGGGCTGTAGGGAGGTCAAAGTGCATATAGGAGTGTATTTGTTGGGGCGAATTTCTCTATCAATTTCTTTGAACGAACTTGAACGACAACTTGTAAACTGGTGAGTCCTGTTTGTGGTTTTCTTATTGTAGCTTTCAATCCTCAGTGTCCATAGAGCAGTTAATTTATTAAATAATAATTCCATTCCTTGCAAATCTTGCAATCCTAATCAAGTCTTTTCTTTTTGTGACCAGACATTTTCAATTTTGCCTATTTCTGACCCAGCGTTGAACTGTTAACACCTCAACCTATCTGTACCTGTATTGCTTTAAAATTTATACATTCTTGCTCAGTTTTTCAAGGCTGGGGACACCAATCCATTTTAACATGAGGTTTCTGCAATTTTTAACCAACTACTATCCTAGCTTTTGCAAAAAAACAAAACAAAAGTTTTCATGCACTCAACTATTTGATGTTTTTCTATTATTTACTATTTAATTTTGATTTTATTGCATATAGCTGAAAATTATCAAAATATTTCAGCATTAAACAAATTTGCAACAAGCAGGGGCTGTAACCAACGCACTCACTTTGCATGAATGTAATGACTGCTTGTCAAAGCATTGATGTCGTGCATGACTTTAGAGATGGCTGGTTTGTGTCTTTGCTGTTTTTGCCCATGTGCCCCATGTTTTTGGCAGTTTCAAACTAACTGTTTTTTTTCTGGTAACAGTCCTTTCTTTGAATAAAAGATAAATAACAGAAACATTTTTTTTTTAATTCAACAACTTAGCTTTATTTAAGAATACAGGTTCTGTGAATGTTCACTTCATCATAATATCTCCATATCGTTATGGTGATTTTTTTTCCAGCAAAATTTTGGATCCAACCATGAGTCCTCTTGGCTTTGATGATAAACAGATCTACAACTTTATTGCTAATCGATTTAGCAAGACAGCGACAAAAGTCCAAGAACAAGCTCTGAGTTGGCTTCAGGTGAGTAACCGACCGGGTATCACAGTTTCAATGGTTTTTTTTTTGTTACGCATTTAAACAGATTAGTACTAAATTATTCTTTAAACATTTTTAACCAAGTAAAAACTTTGTGTGCCATTTAGAGGTAATTCAAGAATTTTTCTTCCATACAGATACTGACAACATTAGAAATAGTGATACCATTGCCTCTACTCTTCTCAATGTTTAGTAATGGTGTCACTATTATGATGCCCTCTTCAACTAACAAGGACAAGGAAAAGTTAAAAGAGAAAGATACTGATAAGGAGAAAATAAAAGACAGTGGTTCTGAAAAGAAACTCTGTGCTGAAGAATCAGTCTGCAGGAGTAGTATATGTAAGTATATGAAAGCCTCCATTATTTCTTACTACTTAGTGTGATAAGTGCAGAATACATTCAGATTTGGAGCACATCACCATATTGTACCTTATCTTTCAAAGACTTATTTTACTGTTGAAAGTTGTGTTCAGATTATTATCTAACCTTTGTTCTTTCTTGAACTGAAAGCAATTTAATTTGTTTCTGTTTAAAACTGATGTACATGTCAAGCTTTTCACTCTATAGGAATCTCTGACAGACATATTTATATAGTTACTGTATTTTTTTTTCTTACTTTGAGTTCAAACGCAGTCAGAAAACTTGTGTCTTTGATTGATACTTGTTTGCAAAGCTTAGTCACAAGTTAAATTGGAGTTTTGTGAAACAGTCACATTATCTTTTGTTCCTTTATGATTTAAAACGTAAAATTTTCAACAAAATATTAATTTATTTTTCATCAATATGTGGAAGTCTAGGCATTTCTATACAACCTTTTCACTTTTGAGGATATAAATGTAGTTAGACTCTCTGCACCATTGATTGCATGATGAAACATGGGTGCAGGGCCTGCACCCACATAGCCAGCTTGAAGCAAAGGAGATATTGTTACTGATTAATGGTGTTTCATAAGGAACAATATAGCCAAGGATATTTGGTTCAGTCAATTGTTTCACACATAAGGTCTCACAAGAGCTGGCCTCTAAAACCCTAGATTTCCATTCAAGTCCGAAAACGAAACACAAGGCTTGGTGGCATCGGAATGTTTTATAGCTTTATTAAGAAAGAACATTAATGTCTGTCATGAGTAGTGTCGCTACATGCAGCTTCGTTTTAGATTAAGAGCTGTTATTTATTTTAATGCCATGACACAGCACGGAGGTCTAAGGCTAAGCCACGGCCTCAGGGTTTGCCTTGCTTGGTCAAAACCAGGGCGAAAGGCAGCAGTGCGGTCTGTGAGTATATGCAATTAATTTTTGTGCACCCTTTCATATACTCTGCACAAGTTGAATTTGAAATGTGTTGCGTTGCTTTGTATTTTTGCCATTGGCTAACTAAACAATTAACTTATAAAATTCAAAACTGTCCCATCTAAGTGATGATATGCACAATGTGTAAATCAAATGTTATAAAACACGTATTAAAAACTTTTTTTTCTCTAAAGTATGGGCATGCAAATTGAGATTCATATAATGTTCAATGAGATGGTTGGTTAAAAGATACTAAACCACAGTGTTCAACCTCATAACTTGAAAGGCTATCTGAACTAATTCTTGTTCTAAAACACCACAAATACTAATTCCTCTTCAGGAAAACTGTAATAACAGTAGGATTACCCACTTTGTATGAGTTTCATGTATTCTAGTAAAATTCATGGGACACATTTCTAAACCACAACATGATCACATTCTCCAGTGATTAGTATATGCTGCTGCTAAAACTACTGTTCGTCTATGCTGCTGGTAAAACTACTGTCCACAATCAGTGTATTTACTCAATATTTTAGGCTTTTCTGTGAGTTAATTTCACTGCCATTCTCAAATTAGAAGTGGATATAAACATGAAATAATATTGAAGAAACTAAATCATCAATATTCTACGCTTTTTGAATCATACCATATGTCCAAGTTTTTTTTTGAAAATTTCTTGGGCAAATTAAATTTTGACTGAAAATAAACGCAATGCTGGAAGTTTAAATTTTGACTGAAAATTAACGCAATGCTGGAAGTTTGACGTTATAACGAAATTTGTCATGCAAATGCTTCAGTTACTTTATGTTCAACAAGCTTCTCCTGTGTATCATAGTTTTTTGTGTTGTTTTGGCTTATTTTAACTTTCTGATTGGCAGGTAAGGGAACCTTTAATCTGATTAATTACTGTAATGCTTTATTTAAAAACAAAAAAACAACAGTTAAATTTTTTCCGCTGCTCAGGCTGAACAAAGTCTCAATACTTAACAGGGTTACTGTATTTCATTCCTGACAAGTGTGCTGTAAATATGCTCCTTAATAAAATTCTTAAGTTTTGCAAGTTGCTTAGAACAATGCCTCTTTGTGATGTATTCAGAATATGTTATCTTAAGCAGTACTGATAGTAGAGCAACTTAAGGAAAAGTTATGATAGTCTGTATACTCCGTCTTATGTGCATTTCTTGTGCGGCTACTTTGAATAGTAAGGAAAAATTACCGTTTGCCTTTGCGTTAATTAATTTTCAAAAAAAAAAATTGAAGTACTTGCTGCATGGTATAAATTTTTATCAAGTATTCTTTACTTTTGTACAATATTTCTTGTTGTTTGTAGTTTGTTTGTATTTCATTGTTAAAATCAACAAATGAAATCTTTTTTTAAGAAAAAAATATGTTCTCTGGATGTTGAGAGAGCCATAAACATCATGGAGAATAGGGGCCCCCCTATTCTCCATGATGAACAGATTGACTTCGACATGACACATGTCTCATGTGTTGAAATTGTATTTCAGTAACATGTTAAACTTAATCTGCAGGATCTAAAAACTGTCTGTAGGCAGAACTTTGATGTTGAAACAATTTTGTACTACATTGGAAAGTACAGTAGAATTGGTAGAAAATCGGCTGTCATGATTGCTTTTCAATAATGTTAATTTTATCCTACATATTTGTAGTCCCTTATTTGTTGACAAAATTTGATGTACAATATCTGATTCCTTGAACGTTCAGTTCTAATGGTAAAATTGTATGAATTAGTTGTGTAATGGTGGATCGTAGAATTTCTTTCGAACCAGATCTGTTCTTTACATTGCCACACATGTTGTAATACTGAAACTCAGTAACACACTTTTGTTTATTCGTTAACATGTGAAAGGAAGGGGATTTTCTTAATACCAATGTAGTACAGGGTGGTAGATGTACCTAAGTCCTTCTGTGGGAGTAGGGAAACATGTTAAGTCTCTATACATCGGTAGTTAAAGTAATTGATCCAATCATTTTCAATATTTTTCGGAAAAGATTCTATCAATTTTCAGCGTAGTAGTGGTTTTATGCTAAAGTACATGGGCAAAATACTGCTAAAAAGTAAAGACAGAGGTCAGTGGGCCACACATTTTCTAATCGGTGTTGGTTTGGTTTTTCAGCTCCTGTTGTGGAAGATGATTCTGGCAACACATCTGGAATGTCAGATGATGAAGCTCGTGCCTCTAGACATATCCAATTTCAAACCGCTGCAGAACTCAATTTATCATGCTGCATTCTAATGCTTGACGTGCTTATCAAACAGGTCTGTTTGTGGTGCAGTTTGTTTATCTTCCCTATGTTCTGAACCTATTTCTTTTAATCAACTTGGGAATTATTGCAGATGGAACTTCAAGAGGTGGAATCTCATACGGGCATGACCACAGCAATAGCTCAAGATGCATGTCGTCTGTTGAAAACAATGGTGGGTGCGTCTTGGAACGGCACCCACACTTGCTCAGACCGCAACGAATGCATGTTTTGCGAATCATGTGTCATGTGGTATCAACTTGCTCTACAGCTAGTCAAGTTTCTTGCCCCTGAGAACCCTGCCCATCCACCAGATGTAAGTATCACATTACTTCTCTTATCAGAATCTGCTGCATCAGATCAATTCTGTATGTTGTATGAACTAATACGTTAACCAATACATGAAACTAAGAAAGTTATGGTTCGTCAACTTTTTGCCAAACACAAGAAAGAAAGTAGTGCATTCAAAACACTAAAACCTTTTTAGGACCTTTAAGCCATTGTCAGTGCTTTATTTTTGTTCTTTCTGTCGCAATGATGTGTGAATTACAGCTTATTCTCCAGCATAATCATGTCTTCTCTGGATGTAGAATTATTTAGAGTTTAGGCTGTCATTTTTGTTACACTTTTGTCTTGTCTATAATTTGATACCAACCAGAAGATTGATACCCTCCTCCTTTACTGACAGGAAAATATGAGGAACTGTACAAATTGTATTTTTTTAAGCTCATTTGCGAGGTTTAGATTGTGACTGTTGTGGTGTGTTGTTCAGCCGCCTTTGGTCGAGTCGAATGGTGATGACAGCCACAAGAGTCCTCCTGACTCTGACAAGCGGTGTGAGCCTAAACCGGACGTGGTGATCAACATGCCGCTGCTTGAGATTCATACGGTGGGCGGTCTGCTGGTCAAAATGCCTAATGTACGTAGCTAGCGATGTGTTAGGCCCAAAGACTGAGACCACAGACTAGAATTGACACTCGGCACTAGGGTTTCCTCAGGCACAAACTTAATACTGTAGGGCATTTAGGACAATAGGTTTTTCCGTTTGTGAATTAGATAGCACATTTTCCTGGACTTGTTTTGAATGTGTACAGCACCGAAGGAAATTCTTAATGAGAGCCAAATCTTATCATCTCTCTAGATAATGTTTTCTAAGCCAACTGGAAAATATTTCAGATATTTCAGCTTGATTGTACCTGTGAAAAATGGTCATGTTTTGTTGTGGCATTGGGTAAGATCCTTTTTGGCTTTTACCATGTATTGCATATCCCTGTTCGTCAATATATTCACTGGACGTAAGACAAAAATAACTGGATTTCTGTTTATCTGCAATCTCAAAGCTACCCATTGTTAAGCTAAAAAGTAATACTCTAGGAACAATATGCTTCCTACATCCCATGAAAGATTAATCTTTGCAGGCTACAAAGAAAAAAAACACACTAAATTCGTCTTAGAATGCTAGAAACTGAAGAAGCCGGGTCATTGATCTGTGGAAAGGCATTTTCTACTTAATGTTTGTGAAATATTGCAAATAGTTACTTTCTTTCTTTTGAGGATTTTGTTTCATCCCTATGTGAATAATTATTATAAAATTGTTTAGTTTCAAGGATTTCGAGATTTGGTGAGCTAATTTAGGATTTTATTCATGGGTTGTAACTGGGATTGAATCGGGTGGCTAGTTGAGTCTCATTATGTCAATGGGTCTAACCAAGCTTGTTGCTGCATAGAATTTAGAGCTGCGTAGTACAGATATTAATTTTCATATGAGTCTATGTATGGGAAAAATCATAGATAAGATGTGGTTATTCAGTCGCTTCCACAGTTTCCGCACCAACTTTAAATACATTTTTCAGTTAGATTTAAGCTTTGAGAGCTTCGAGCTATAGCATGAGAATATCCTCTTCCACAAAATAATCAATGGATGAGTAGCGCTATAAATTGGTCATATTTTTTGGTTGTGGTAACTTGTGACCGTAAAACATTTTTATTCGCTAATGTATCAGAAATCTTAGTTCGTCTTATTCTTGTGCATATGAGAATTAGGGAGGTGGATTCCATTCCAAACTGCCCCCCTTAAAAAGAATAGTGAAGTATTTGTGGTACAGAAAGCTTCCTATAACTAAACAGTATGAGCTGTAATCTAAATTGTTTCATTGCTTTACTGTGATGCCCAACTTTTTCTTTTTTTATAAGTATATGGTGTAAGTTTATCTTGTCTAAATGCTGAAATACTCTCTCAGGCCTTTTTGTGTTTTTAGCTCATGGATTTCATTGGTATTTCCACTGTAGCACCACAAGTTGTTCATACAGGGCCGCATGTGACTTGTACATGTTACACTAATTTGTGGTAGGAAACACAAGCACAATAGAGTGCATAGTGTATACCTCCAAAGCATTTGGTTATTTGATACCAAGCGCAAGTGGAACCTCATGCTGGGTAATGCTCAGCCAAATACGCACCTAGAAGATGAAATGTTGGATGTCTGCTCAGAAGCCTTTGCCACTGCATGTAATGTAACCACTCAACTGTGGTCTTTTATCAGTATCACTTGTCAATGACTAAACTAAACATTAATTGCTGGCTACTTCTTTTCATATTTTTTTTCCCCAATAGTTCATTACAGAACTGAGTAGATGGTCACCTTATGTGCCACCAAGCTTGATTTAATTAAGCTTGAGCTAATGTATTACCTGGCAAGAAAGTAGAGCCAGCATTGCTTTGTAATTTGAGCTCTACTGTGCATGAATAATGTATAGCACACAGTTCTCTAGGAGGTCATAGTTTTAATTGTAAAATCAGCTTCATGATATTGATAATCAAATTTTGTATTATGCTGCAGCTCAAAAATGGTTGAAGGTGTAGATGTATAATCTAATGGAGACATTTGACAGTGTCAGTACAACCAATCCAAGTTTGCTAACCAGTAAATGTCTCCTTCTCCTCTGAAACCTTTTTCCAAAGAGTTGTAAAGAGAATGCCATATTTATTTCCTCCTTAGTGTTGACTTGGAGATACACGGGAAGTATCATGTTCTCACTTGTGTGGTATGCATTCATGCTGAGAGACCATTAAATTTGGTCTATCATCTGCACCACAGTGTTTCATCATGTTCCAGACGCTGACACTATAATATCATCGTTGAGTTGTATCATCATAATGTTTTTCTGCTCTTTTTTAGCATAGCCATCATCTGTAAAATCCCAGCCTCTGCATACGCGTGCATAACATACCTGTACTTTTTACTGCTATGCATCCAATTTTCACAGGAAACTAATGTTTCATACTTTCAGTAATTGTTACACTTGCTTCAGGCATTTTTATGCCATATGAAAAATATTCAACCAGTTTTGAGCTAATCTAGTAGAAACTAAATATTGCTGAACCTGCATACCATGTGTAGTGATGAAAGAAACAAGTCAGTAGATTCTGCTCATTTCAGTAGTTAATACAGGAAACAAACAACAAAATCTCAGCATATATTACCTTGTAGCATCAAATCTGCCCTTAAAATAACTTTTTAGAACTGCTGCATTGAGAATTCGGTAACTCAATGAAAGTACACAGGAGTTATGCAAACAGGAAGCACATACCTTTTCTGAAACCCTTTATGACAACCTTCACTGTAGAATTAACAGCTTAAGTTGAAGCACGCAGAAACATTGAGCAATATGTAATGCGCCTTTATCTTGCCAAGAATTTATTTACAAGCTACTTTAGTGTTACACAATGAATATTATCGATTGTAGGTTTACAGCTTTGTAGGCCTGCAGCTCGAATTTACATAATACAATGTCTCAATTACTTCAATTATATACCAGTTAGACTTTGCATAGCTCTTTGTTCTGCACCAGTATTTTCATGATACTAGTTGTATAGGATTTTAATGTATAAGTATTCAAAAAATTCTCTAAAATTTTAGATGAAAGACTCTGCATGCCTGCATGATTTACCATTTCAGAAAAAAACAAAACATAACAACCCTAACATGTGATTTTCCCATTTAAAGTTAATTGTGATCTTACGTAAGTATTCAAATAACCCAGTTTAAGACAATTTTGTTTTCTGAAAATTTTGAGCACACAATTGCAATTGTAAACTAAAATAATTTGGACACTTATTTGATCCCCCAAAAATTAGTTACACTATGGAATTTCTCGTCTTATTCTGAGGGTATATTTCTTAGTTTCTTTTATCAGTTCCAGGTTGTGCCTTTATTGTACACGTACCTGTCCATTTTGGTTTCTTACAAATGCAAAGTCGAACCCTGGTGCACACTTGATCTCTTCATGTGTGTTATTTTTAAACTCTGAAATGTCAACTGAGAAAGAAACTTCAAACTCTTATGATGCCTTTGAGAGAGGCACGGTATTTCCCACTTCTGTATTTTGTATGAAATTTAATGTTGCTTTTTTAAAAATCCACACAGATCATGACAGCAACAGTAGAAACAGTAACAGAACAGCTAGACTTAGCTCTCAATATGCCCGACGAACGTGTTGCTCCTGCAGTGGCTCGGGCAGTAACACTTTCTGACACTGACGTTGGTAAGTTCATTTTTTTAAAATTTGGTCAGTGTTGTCTTTTTCTTTGTTGTTGTTGTTGTTGTTGTTACTTCATAATGTTGTTACTTATCTTTCCAGCAAATGCATCTGCAAGTGTGGTAAAGGCTTCATTAGTTGGAGAGGACGATGAGCCTATGGACTCAGATGGAGAAGAAGATCAAGAAAATGTTTGGATCACTTCCCATGGGAAATTCCATTTTGCTCTAGAATCACTCCCTCAGCATCTGCAATTCATACATCAGCTCCTGAAGGTATCCTTTTTTTTTTCATTTTTTCTCACCTATTCCAAATAACCAGTTTACCACTTATGTCTTTTGTCTTCAGGAGATGACTCGGACAGAGGAGGCAGATATTCTTTATCATATGCTTCAATGCCTGCATGTGCTTGTCCTTAATGGAGACGCTTTATCAAAAGCCACAAAAGAATACAGGGGTTTTGTAATATGGTGCCAAGAAAATCTTCTTATAAAGAAGTGTGTTCATTTCTATGATTTTATTTCCTGTTTTTAGTGTTGCTTTGAAAAAGACTTCTAATATAAATTTATTTCAGCCTATGGGAACTATGTAATTCTGAGCGATCTCATATTTGTGAAATGAGTACTCCTCTTCTTCTGCATTGTATAACATTGCCATCGGGATCAGATGTATTCTGGAATATAATCAGGGAAGATTTTCATAGTGCTGATTGGAGAGTTCGTTTCACTGCAGGTAAAATAATACTACCAATCAAATTTTCTTTTATGTATGACATTATCTTATTAAATTAATTAATTCATATTACAATGTGTTTCTGTCAGTTGAGAGAGTCACTGTCATTGCTCGCTTCATGGATTCAACTCCTTTACGTAGCAGCATGACGCTTCAAGCTGCACTTGCAACAGCTTTCTGTTATCTAATTTCGGGCATGGATGACATCAATGTACATGTTTCTCAGAGAGCTACGTTATATCTTGGAACTATACACGATAGAGCTATGAAAGTATGTATATTACTTTTTTCTCATTCATATCTTGAAGCTTATTTGAATTTTTGCTTCTAATTTTCAATTTGTTATTTCCAGTCCCTCATCATGTGCCTTGAAACCCAGTTCGATGCATACATAGTTGATAGGCCAATGGTTCTACAATCCCTTTACCAATTGCATAACTGCCTAAGTGATCGAAAAATTCTCACTTGGGAGTTTTTTCTTAATCGATTTGATACACTCTTTTTAGAGGCTCAAATAAACCTTGAGAAGTCGGGTGATATTTCATACCCTAGAGGTGAATATATCTAAGGTGCAAAATATGTCAAAGTTCTAGAGCAGAAGTATTCACCATTTTATTCTTTTTCCAGACCTTAGAAACACTGATTTAAGCAGTGAAACTTTCATTCGTAAGCTCAACCGAGCTCATGAAGCCCTCTCTCAATCTGACAGTAGTGGTGTTGCCTCCAAAACACTTAGCGCAAGTTTTGGCCATAAATGGCCATACAAGCGTACTATGTCGGCTCCTGCTGCAATGGTTCCTAGGCAAGACACTAAACCAGGTACTACAGAAAATCATTTCATCTCATGCGGCTTGTAACTTTTGCTTCAGCGTCAATCTGACTTCTGAACTGAAAGTGAAGAAAAAGAAAACATGAATGTGTGATTTGGTGCTCTAAATAACTTTATTGCTGCCAAATTATATCAATGGTATTTCAGGCTTTTCTACTTGTTCATAGGTTTTAACCGGGCAACATTGTTTCGACAAAGTGCTTTTCTTTTCCTGTCTTCATTGTCTGTGCTTATCCATTTCTTATTAGATTTCAAACTTCTACCCTATCTTCTTTCTCTTTTTTAATGTACAATGTGTGAGAGCCACTAGGCATTGCTGCTTGTTGTGTCATCAATATCACAGAACTCACAAATCCAATACTCACATGCATTTCTGCTTATTAATTGTTTCATCTTTTCTCTGATGCTACTCTGTTCAGTGTGCATGAATTGCTTTCCATCCTTAACTTCCCATCACACAAAACTGTGTAATTTTTCTACAGTTTAAAAAATAAAACAAAGAATAATAGGTTGTAGGAACTAAAACCTGATAAATTTCTTGGTATAACTTTTGTCTAGAAATCAAATTTTAAGTTGCACAGCTATTTTACATTCTTAAACAAAGGCCCAAAGTGACCTTTAATTTAACACCATATAAAATGTGAACTTAAATTGATTTTAACATTGAGTGAGCTTTAAAATTGTCCAACAATTATGAACTGGAAATACCATTTCAAGACTACTTCAACAACAATCTTCATGCAATCTTCATTTATTTACATGAATCATGTGCTCAATACAATATCTCTTCTTCGTTTCCAGAAAAGGAGAAAGTGTACAGTCGGCAGTACTCTGCCCCAATATTGAAGAGGAAAACTTCTCGGTTTGGCCTTGGTCAGTCTCTAGGATTGTTCTGAAAAAAATAAATAGTGACAGATAGCTGGTAGAGAGTAGAGGTAGCCTTTTTTTTTAAGTATGTAGTGAACAAGACCTTTAACTTTACAAAGTGCAAGATGGTATAACTGTGTGGTAATTGCCATACACATACTGCTTTCTGTGTCAGCAAGTCTCCCCCTTAAATAAAACAAAAAACAAGGCAATGTTAATACATGTTTAGGAATAATAATGAGCAATAACAATAAAATGCAGCATCACGAGACTGAAAGGGATTGGTTTGCATGCTGACCTTATCTGTTGAATGTATACTCTGCTATACTTCATTAAATACCTTATTCTATTATTCTAGTTTGCCCTTTTCATGCGTCTGTTTCAACACTTGCATAACCATTTGTCAAATTTGAGAAGAAACTAATGTTTATTCAACTTTCTTCTATCTATTCCATACGCCTGCCTTGTCCTTCACCATCTCTTGACTTTAAATCATAGTGCTTTTTGCATTTTACAAAAATTCCTTTCTCTAAAAAATTCTATCTTATGTGTCTATCCTATCGTCTTGATTCTCTCTATGCTGTAACGTGTCAATGTGTAGTTCTGCTAATTCTCAATATAATAAATATCCAATATTGTCAATGTAGGTATCCTGTTTCCTAGACAAAAAGGTTCAGTCAAACAAATGTCCCATAAAAGTTTTAATCACTTTTCAGGTCCATAGACAATAGTTTGTTAACCCTTGATGATGTTGTAATTAAGATGCCTGTGGACAGAAAAAAAAAAGTTGTCCTTTTTTTTGTGTTGATTGATTTTGCAGTTATGCTCTTTTGTTGAGTGTTTGAAGAAGCTGTATGTTTGTTTCTTTTTTATTTGTCAAATAGATGGACACATTCACTCACTCAATACAGGCGATGATGGACAACTAGTTGGACTTCTTCATCGTATCATTGACTTGGAAGAAGCTGATCGAGAAACTATGCATCTTCTTGTTTTTCTACTTGTTCAGTTTTTATCTCGATCTGATCAGGTTTGCTCTGAAATTGTTAATACTTGATGTTCCTTAGAAACTAAAGAGGAAATCTATGCTTTCATTTTTATTTTCTATCTTTTCTACAGGCTGCTCCCAGTGAAGAATCTAAATTAAAGAAGACTCAGAATATAGTCTTGCGTCATTTGTATTTACTGTTAGGCTACAATGCCGCTGATCGCGAACGGCCTGGTTTCCATGTGCCTCCAAGCAGATTGCGAACATCCCCCGTTTTTAATGTGTTCATGGCCAACTTACCCCAAGTGCTAGATCAGAACCATCTCATGGGAAAGCACATGTTGCCCACGCTTTTGCTTCTGATGCACTATTGCCCATGTCCTCAACAGCATAGTCATACTCCTGATACTCAACATGCTCCTCATCACAGTTTGTGGTACTTGGAACCTCATAATCGTCGGTCTTGGTTAATGGCTCTGATTGTGTTACTGTACAAGGTAAAAGCAATTTTCCATTCACTGGCAGTACATTCAACATGTTGGAAGTCTAATCGGAGTTTTCTTGCAGTATCCATACGCAAACCCTCCTGACAATATAAAACTGCAATCACTTGTTCGAATAGTCTTGAATACCTTAGATGCACAACAACATGTGTGCAGAAGAATTCCTGCAACACTTATGGTAGGAGCTCCTCCATCCAGGTCAAGAGGTAAGTTCACTGTCAAATGACAGATTCATTATTCATCTGTTTCAAAATATTGCTATAATATTTTCTGCTGTTCTAGATGTAAGTCAACCATCTCTAGGTGCTGATGGGGAAAGAAGCAGTGACAAAGATAGAATGGAGACTCCGCCTCTTTCCCCAATGTACACAGGAGTTGATCCCATCGGCCTCATCCACTCCTCAGGTAAAACAGGAAAGCACCAAGCACTTTTTCACCAAAAGTCTCCTGGAGTGGGACCAGGGGCCAGTTTAGAGACGCACTTAGAGGAGGATGACTCAGCTGCTGGAGGAAGCCAAGACACCAAAAGATTTGGAAGGCGTCCTCTAGGATCCAGGTATGATATTTTGTACATAAATTGAGATTCAAAGTTGCAAGTGTCTGCTGGTGAATTTATCAAGTTTTTTTCTTCATTCTAGTTATTCTACAGAGGCTGATGAAACTGAGTCCGAATTAGCTGCCATTCCTGAAAGCCCTAAATCTGATAGCACTATTCATGATACAGCTCAGGTATTCTTACAGTCTTTTTAAAATATTTTATTGGCTTACAAACTCAACATTAACATTCAATTAATGATGATAATTATATGTTAAGGTGTCCATGGATGAAGTGGCTCCAGTGGAGGAGCTACCTGATGCAAAGTTTATAGAACACAGGTGTTCCCTGCCCGGCGACTCATTTGCAACGACTATAACTCCCAGGCGACCTATATGGTTTCTGGGCAGTGAAGACAATACTTTACAGGTGTTTTTTTCATTACAGTAGCAAATAAATGCAAGCCCCATTTTTTTTAAGTCTAAAGAGAAAAATAGATAAGAATTTTCTTCTTCTTTTTTGTAACTTCTTTTTCTTTGCAGAAATCCATGAGTATTGACCACGCAGGGAGCCAGAAATGGGGTATTCGTGAAGGGATGAAAATGATGGTTTCTGCATCATTATTTGGAACAGCCCAACCTCCCCCAGTTCGGACAGCTGTGGCGTCGGTCGTGGCTTCACCTCCTTGTGGTGCCAATGGTGCCAACAACACAAGTAGTAGTGTAAAGCAAAGAAGTAATAGTTTGGGATCTAGTTCAAGCACTTTAATAACAGCCACTTCCACCTCGGCAGCAGTAACTGCTGCAACCATTGCAACTATTGCACTTCCAAGGAACACCTCTGCCCAAGAGTATGTTGTATTATCCATTTTGATTGAATTATTTCGACTTCATCTTTTGACTAATTATTGGCTATTTGTTTGATGAGTAGGCAGTCCGATATTGAAAAAGACAGTGATGCATGGACAGGAGATCAAAGTTTAGGTTCACCAGTACAAAGACCTCTAGGGAGGCAGAAGTGTGTTGAAACCTCAAGCACACCCACTGGAGCACCCTCTACTCCTGTAACTACTACTGCACCAACTCAATTGCCATCTGCAATATCAAGTATGACTCATGCTCCATGGCAGTTGGACATGTACACAAAGCCATCCCTGCAACCCACCTCCCCACAGCCACAACCACTTCATCTTGCCACTCCAGCAGTTGAGCGCCTGTTACCAATAGGTGGCTCTCGCCCGTGTACGTTCATGTTTAACTCAGTTGTTTTCGAACTCTTCTGGCAACCTCCTTAAGTATTTCAATTTCAATTTCAGGCAACAAAAATTCCCGGTTTCGGTCTGATGAAATGGGTTATGGATCACCTGAGTCACCCTTATCAAAAATGGATGTTATGACAATAGGTACAGTTTGTTTTTTAAACGAATCTAATGTATTCTTAATGTGTCTACTTTTCTTCTTTCATTTGTGTTTTCTACTTTACATTTCTGAAGGTTCACCTGTTGAAATGGACAGTGAAAATAATGTATCAGAGGTGACATCACTTCATAGCATAGAAATTCCACCAACAGAGAGACTTCTGCCAATAGGTTCAAACAAAGATAATGTTTCCCATCTTGTGGAAAGGGTAAGGCAGGCCCTTGGAGTTACTATGGATGGTTCTCATGGTAAATATATGTATATCTTCCTTAATCTTACTGGGAACAACAAACTTTTCTGCTATGAGTAATTTTGGGCTCCATTTCTTCATTTACAGACAGGAGGATGTCAGATCTTGATGTTTTTCTCCCTCCAGGGAAACCTGAAAGTGCTGACAAGGTATATAACTTCATGCCATACTCAGGTTCAATTGATATATGGGTATTATTTTTCTCCAACTCAATGTCTTTTGGTTTTTTACAGCCCCAATCTAGTAGGTCTATTAGCCCAAGACGTCTCACAAAGCAGGTAGCTTTAGAATCTCCTCCCCCAATAATGCAGCCAGACCCGGAAGAAAACCATTCTTTTTACAGATCTGTTCATGATAGGAAAGCCTCAGCTGCTGTGGGTAAGTTCAGAGAAGCTGACAACCAAATAAATTTTGCAACCCGTTCCAGATTTATTCCATGTCCATACTAAAATTTTGACTTGCAGCAACTCGCTCAGATGATCATTTACGTAACCAGAGGCAGAAAGCAAGAAAGACTGGTCAAGGTCTATTCAGTACAGGCCATTATTCTATGACAGAAGCGCCTAGACATTCAGGATGGTAAGTTGTCCTTTCATTCTAACTAAGTCTTTTAAAAATTGGTGCTGGTATTATATCTTACCATTTTTTTGTCTGACCTACAGGGGAGGTCCACAACTGCAACCTGAGCTAGAGCCGATAGTTCAACAAGCATGTCATGCCAATTTTAATCTAAAGCAAAGTGCGCTTCGGGTTGGTGAAGACTGTGTTTATGACAGGTTCGTAAAATATCTTCCTCAAGCAGTGGCTTCATTTTTTAAAAACTTAAGAATTTTTGCAGTGGTTACTTAAATTATCTGAACTTCTGATCTTCTTTCGCACAGATGTTCTGAGTGTGGTGCAGTTCGTGAAGAATATAGTGATGAAGAATTAGGTTTATGCATTGTTGTTTTGGGGACATTCATTCATAGAGAACCAGCTCTGGCAGCTCCTTTGCTACCTGAAATGCTCAGTACCATAGCAAAGTAAGGTTCTCTCCAAAGTTGTCTGTCAGGTTGAAAATATTTATCTTATGCTCCTTAATGATATTGTCTTTTTTGCCTGGTCTAGGGTTTCTTTAAATGCTATGTATCCTTGGCAATATGACACAAACATCTACCTGCCAGGCGGAGCAATAAGTGTGGCTCACCAATTCTTGAGATGTGTTCTTCATCAACTGGCTCCGAATGGCATCTTTATGCAAATGTTCCAGACCCATGTAGATGGTAAGTCTTTTTTTTACTGATCATACAGTCCCATTTTTCTCAAAATGTTTTTATCTTGTAATCTAATAATTTTTGCAAGTACCATTTTTAATTTTTTTGCTTTCTTTTCAGATTGTGTAAGGTTACCATTCTTCAGGAGTGTTGCTCAAGCACTGCAGGACTTCAATGAGCTAAGTCCTGTTGCTCCTTTGCAAATGCTTCTTGAGGTACTGTCTTTTTATACTATTATTGGGGGGGTACAGTATTTGTAACTTGTGTCGAGTTCTTTACTTGGTGGTGTCTTTTCCAGGGTTTGAACTCGAGGAAAACGCTTGCCAATGATGTTATGCCGGTCGTTCTACGCAATATGGCCTGTTACCTTGACTGCTTACCCATGGATGCTGGCCTTGGTGCAATATTGGCTCAGTTGGAAGCGTTGTTCCGTAGACTAGCATTACAACTGCAAAGCATGGATGGTGTGACTCCACTTCTTCGAATTATGATATCTGTTTTACGTATCCAAGGAGTAGCTTCATACAAGGTGAGATGTGCATTCTGGCATCTGAAAATTTGATACCACTTATTTTGAATTCTAACATCTTATGTTATCCTTTCAGGGAATCCTTGACCCATTCTCTAAAGTTCTCAGCTATAGCATACTAAACTTTCCAATTAAGTATCACTATCTGGTAGATTTGTGCTATCTGTGCAACCGGGCTTTTATCAAGGTACTTGCTGTCATTGTTTGATACACATATGAAGAGCAGCGTCGGAAACTATTTAATAATGTTACTATTTATTTTCATTTCAGGATAGGGATAAATTACTTCTGACTCGAATGCTTGTATTTGATTTAGTACAGGCACTAAAGTTTAAAGTTTCTATGCCTGATAATAATTTTCTGACACTCATTAACTTTATCCTCCAGGTAAGTTGGTTTGCTGTTGTTTCTCTAAATAAGTATGTCACCACATGGCATGACTTTTACTTTGATCTCATGGTTTTCGTGATACATTTTTCAGGATGCTGGCGGCTCTTTACCCCTAACTCTTGCTATGAGTCAATTTTTGGCTGTTTGGCCTGATCCAGGGCCTGTTTTTAACACTGGAGCAGCTGAATGTATGCGTCAGCACCTTGCAGATGCATTAGACTTTTTAGCTGATTTTCATACCCTTAGCAAAATGAAGGTTATAAAATAGCATCCAATCAATATTTTATGTTGTAGAAACCAAGAGTTAGGTTGTTAAACTATTTTTCTTTCTTATAGAGTCTCTCCAAAGAAGTTCCTGTAGGATTGAATGAAGATACATTAGGTGGAGTTATTAAGAGTGGCATTGCTCAATATGTTGCTTTGGAGATAAGTCGTGGGAACGGTCGTGATAACCGAGCAGTAGCACGCTACCTTCCTTGGCTATACAGTGCCTCTTCACTTCAACAAGGGTATGAGTTGTAAAGACTGTTGTATTTCTTTTTAAACTTAAAGATTCTAATCATGTTCTCCATATTTTTGTGTAGGCCTCGGGAATTTATGGACTGTGTTGCGCACATAAGACTGCTATCATGGCTGCTTTTGGGAGCTTTGACTCACACAGCTGCCCATTGTTCAACAAATGCTCCTTGCCAACCAGTACCTCAAGATGCGAGCTGTCATATTTCCGACCACCTTCAAGCAATAATGACAGGATTTGCTGAACAAAGCAAAACATCAGTTCATCATATGTCTTCCTTGTTTCATGCATTCATTTTATGTCAGGTAGAACACATTTTATTTAGGAAAATTCCATTGATGTAATAATTTAAGTAAACAAACACATAATCGTTGTTTTTTTCAGCTTTGGACAGTTTATTTGGAACAGATGGCCAGCACAAATGTACCTAGCAGTGAAGCTCATGTCCTGACAATGAGCATTCTCCTTGATTTCTGGGGCAAAGTTACACCTTCTGTTTTGCAATTGGTTTCCCACTCACGCATTGTATGAATATCCTGTTTTATTATTGTATGCCTTAGTGTTACTTTTATTATCTCAAAGAACTCACACTTCCATTTCATCTTTACAGTTGGCAGAAATGGCTAATCTTCACTTTTTATCATTAATGGAAGCTTTAATAGAAAGCAATTCCACCATCCTCAATAAATTGTTACCCGTTTGGAGCCCTGTATTATTTGCATTTCACTTGCAGGTAAGTAAAAAGTTACAAAAGTAAACAAACTACAGTAATGTGGAAAGTTGTTTGGTTCTGGTGTCATTAAAATTATGTTTTTTTCTGCAGCTTCCAGGCCATTTGCAAACGAGGTTGCAGAATTGTCGAAACTTCCCTCCGTCCACATCAGCTTTACCTCAACCACCAACTGCACAAGCAGGCAACCAGCCTGTCAGCAACCCTGCTTTACTGAAGTGGTTGCAACGTCTTCAGTTCAAAATGGGTCAAATTGAAGTGCAATCGTCAACAGTAACACAGTTCTTCAGTGTCTGAACTTTCTGTTACAGTAAAACTCCCTTGTTACACTTAATATGGGCTTATAGAGTCCGCATATATAGTCCACTATCTATCAAAACTGAGAAACTTAAGGAACTAAGATATTAAGTTTTAAGATGTGAGGCAACTACCTCAAGCCTCATGTCTGATCTGCAGGGTAAATTTGTCACAAGTTATCAAGTGTAACATGCAAAGCACAAAAGGACATTTTGCTGGAGTTTTACTGTACAATTTCCTCTGGCTCAAGAGGATTTGAAGCACCAAAGTAATCATCTATTGCTCAGATACATTCACATGATAAACCTCCCATATACAGTGGCAAGCATTGTAGAGGCACATGTCAATGCTACAGATTTTTCATTACCTTTTCATATTCAATGCGCTGCAAATTGCTCATAGATTCTTATGAATTGTAAATATCTTTATTCGCTTGTATGGTGTACAGTGTATATCATTCCCTAGTTATGTTTGTCATAGTGTACTTTTTTAGGTAGACCACGTGTTGTAAAGTTGTTACTATTTCCTTCCTGATGGAGAGAAGTTACTGATGAATCACGCACTGTAAAGCTTATATTAATTTAATGGTGTTTTTAAGAAGCAAATAATCAAACTCATGGTATTATTATTTATATTTTGTTCATAGTGTTGAATTATTTTATTAATGAAAGACATTATGGTGTATGTTGAGCTGAGTTGCAATGTGTAAATTAGCACTGGTTGTTCAATGAGGTCAAAAGCCTTCCTTGTTATGGGCTTTATAACCTGGCAAATCCAATGTTTTTTATAGAAATCAGATTCTCATAGGTTGTTGGATTTGTAAATCTGTCAAGCCTAACTATTTGTAGTCTGGAATTCTAAGTATATTAGCATATATCTGGTAAATATTTGATATCTGTGACTACTTTGCTAAAATCAAACTACCTCCTTTCAGATACAAGAAACTGTCTGGTCTCAAGGTCAGGAATGATGTATCAAACATCAATCTTCCATTCTTCCCAAAGTAGTTTTAGGCATCAAATCAACCAGGATTTTCCATCGCCTCGGCAGAATCAAATAAACGTGATCATTCACTTTTCAATTGTTTCACATTTTTTGCTGGGGGACATTTTTACTACCAGAGCCCACTCATGGAATGCAGGGACATTTTTATAATCTGTTTAAAGTGTTCAAATGTCTTTTGTACAATAATGACTGTTTTAAAAGTAGTGTTCATTGATAGACTTACACTGATTTCCTTTGGGAAATGGGTTAACAAATACCAAAACTATTTAAGATAATTTTTTGATGAGATTGCTGAATTATTCTGTCACTCTTGTAGGGCAGTGCTGTGAGCTTACTACTTGATAATTTTTGTAAATATAGTAAGTGTGAATGTGTTCTATGTTTGCCTTTTTTGTTTTAAGTACGAAGTATATCATGTTGATGTTTGTACTGAAGTAGGATTTTTTGTCAAGCTGATGTTCATTTTATGCATTTAATTTTCAGTTATAACATTCTAACATGACATCATTGTCGGTGATCTTATAAAACCCTGAATTTTTGAAGACTTTTTTTTAAAGAACTTGGTGTTTGGTGTTCTTGAAACTGTTATTTATGGCTTTGTATTTGTTGAAATTTAAGAGATTTTATTTACACTATTTGATGTGGGGACAATGAATGGCATCAGTTTGACTTGTAATACCTTTGAATGGTTTAGAGATGTCTTAGGAAAATTATTTGTTGATGTAGAAGTTGTGACAACAAGTATCAGTATCAGTTGGAAGCTAGTTCTCTTCCGCAGATTGCTGGCAAGATCTTTAAAGAAATTTGAACTAGTGCAAAAGTCTTGGTAACTTAAAGAGTACCTATTGAAAATCAAAATCAAACAATAACTTCTGATAAATCATGCTTGCCAATGTTTTTCTTATGCATTGTTACATCACAGTACCTCAAAATATTCATTAAGTTTTAGAATGAAACTGATGTTGAAAATTTGCTGTGGTTTTGTACCTAAAGATTTTGTGAAACGCCATTGTTTGTTGTTGTTGAACGTCTTAGTGCCTAATATAGAAAAGTAAATAAAATCTACTGTTGTTGGAATCTTCTAGAAAATTACGTTATTCATAAAGGGGCTGGGACATTTAAAGATTGCTTTATTTCATCTCGTTACAGCTTCATACATACACACACATCTAGCAAGATCAAATTCACAGCCGTTGCAGGGCACAATTCCACTTCATTTGGAATTAGTATTACCTGCAATGCCACAGTTCACATAATTTTGTGGCCTGCTTCAGTCCTCTCCAAACAGAAAATAGTCAATACTTTGCCCTTAAAAAGTTTCAAATGCCTTGACGCATTTTTTCTTTGTATCCATCCTCAAGTAATTGGACAGCTCTGCAGTTTGCCATGTACATTCTATGCTGTCGTTCAAGAAATTCTTTTGTCAAATAGAGGTGATGGGAGATTAGCTCAGATAGTTCATTTTCAATAGAACTTGATGGTTCTGGCCTTAGACCTTTGTCAAGACCAACTTGGCTGGTATGAGAGATGTCGTTTAAGAAGAGTGGTAGCTTTGTAGCCTTAAATGCTGGAGTATTCACAGAATACTCCGATGTTAATTTATTTCCTTTTGAGATATTCTTCAAGACAGAGGACTGCATATCTTGATGACCTAAGAATTGAGTCTGTACAGCAGTTGACTTTCTTTTGAGTTTTGGTCGTTCATTACATATACAGTGTTGAAGTTTTCGAGGATATCTGTCAGGCGTGATCCATACAGAATTCTTGGTTGTATGCTCTCCATCATTACATGGATCTTGCTCACACATATTACTTGTTAGAGATAAACTCTGATGAAAGCCTATTGGTTCTTCTTTAGGTAGAAATTCTTGCTCCAGTTTGAGTGGGTTATTAGTATTTTCTACCGACTTTTCTTGAGTCTGAGTCATTAGCTTCTGAATTGACTCCAAACTTGATGTGCTCCATGAAGTAACATCAAAGGGTTCCTTTCTGTCTTTATTAGAAATTATACTCACATAATTTATCCCTGCTGAAGCAGATGAGGACTCGGGTTGCAACTTTTGCATAGCTGTTAAAAGAGAGATGCTCATCCTTTGCTCATTTTTGTCAGATCTTGGTACTGAGTCCGCTAGAGATGAAACAGAATGGACATTAGTAAATCCCAAAATTGAATCAGTTTTCACGGATTCAATGCTACTATCAGTATCAAGAGAAGTTTTGTCTACTGCTGGTGGGCTTCCCTCAGATGCACTTGCTGGCTGTAGAAGCTTTGAAGTCATCGCCTGAGAACTATCCAAACTATTCTGATGATGGTCTTGTTCGACTAAAACTTTCGAATTAGGACCCGATTCTACTTGAGGCACATGCTCAACTGGCTCAACAGACATTGCTGAAATATTTCTCTTTATCAGATCATCTCCATCCATATCAGAGCCAGAGTAGTCTTCTTCATCCACCATCACAGATGATTTGGAATATTTAGCATCAAGCATAGACAGTGTCATTCTAACATTTCTCAACTTCGAGTCTCTCGAGTACACTCCCTTCATTTTCGGGCTAAAAGTAGTTATTTTCCACGCAAATAACAATTTACTGCTGAGTAAAATTTGTAGTTGTGAGAGTTGTGCTTTGGTTGCCATGACAACAATGACAACTTGAAACCTCATAAATTTCTCATACAGCAGCATTCTCTGCCTGTAACGTGGAAACTGACCGAACTGACCATTTTTTGTCGTCTTCTCCGTGTCGTCTGCTGTCACCTCGTCCGAACACAGGAACGAACCCCATCGTTTGTTGATGAAATGAGAAGTGTCAAACGAAATGTTTCAATGCTGCAACTTTACATGTACACTTACCATGTGGTGTTGTAATCCTGAAAATGGAAGAATCTGAGTCTTTCTGGTCAGTTCAGGTTAGTTAGTTTCTCTTAACGAAAACTTTAGTATCAAGTTTTTGACAATGGGCGGTGCGTGCAAACAACGCCTTTCTGACTATCTTTTAAAACAAACAAGCTTATTGTTATTGTCGTAAAGAAAGTGACCAATTTTGTCCATGATAGTGCTTCAATCGATTTCCTCTTTATTTTTTGCATTTGTTGATAGACGGGGAAGCGTTTCGATAAATTATTACCAACCGTTTTCTATGGTTGGTCGGGATGAAAGCTACCCTTCCATACTCTCAGTTCATATATATTTCTGTCTTACTTTATTTGCGTTCTTGTATTCTTGTGTTGGACTGCTGAAAACCGATGAGTGGCTATATATTTTGACTTTTCACTTAGATCTTATTGTTCCAGATGAACAACTGTCAGTGATTTTCACAAGTCTCTTTCGTTCTTCCCTATTTGTACAATGAGGAAGGTACTGAATTTTGTAAAGGGCAAGCGTGACGAGAAGAAGGATACGTCCTTGTCCCTAAATGTGGCCAATATATCGGTCGAGATAACAGATCCTGCTGGTGTTACAACACCCAGCGATGACTATGATTTTGTGGGAACCACTCAACAATGTACTGATTATGAAGTAAGAAGCACTGTATTGCTCTTTTGTAGTTTAGTGTAGATACATTTTTCCCGCTCATTTTATTTCATTTTTGTATAATCATTTTATTTAATCTTCTAGGTTGATCTATCAGGCAAAGATAAATCAATCACTAAGCTTCACAAAGCCTCTTGGGTTGGAAATTTAGAAAAAGTGAAATCACATTTAAAAAAGATTGATGTGAATATTGTGGACAACTCAAATCGCACACCATTGCATCTTGCTGCTGCCCAGGGACATACACATGTTGTTTGGTTTTTGCTTTCAAATAAAGCCCAGATGGATATTATTGATGTGGGTGGAAAGACTTCACTTCTAAAGGTATCTACTCTTTTTTTTTACATCATTTTTGGGGCATTGATTGCTTCTTCACAAAACAACAAAAATTGTTTAACAGGCTGTTGAGGGTGGCTACAAGGAAATTGTGAGCAACATGCTTGAAAAGGGAGCAGATCTAAACTTGAAGGATGCCGATGAGAATACTGCACTTCACATCGCAACAAAACTGGGCTACTATGATATTGCAACAGTCCTCCTTAAAAATGGTGCTAATTTTGAAAGTGCAAACAAGGTATACCTACATTCATTTAGTTATGTTCTGCTGAGTGTGGTAAAGCACAATTGTGATTTGAGTGTGGTATTGTATCCCTTCCAGAAAGGAGAATACGCGCTACACATTGCAACAACAGCTGAGCACATGGATTTAGTTGAGCTCCTACTTCGATATGGAGCAGCTGTTAATGTCACTGATCTTGATGCAAGGACACCTTTAATGCTCGCTGCTCGGTGTGGAAATGCTCCTTTGGTGGAATTGTTTTTGGAGTATGGAGCCAAAAGAGACATGGTTGATAACAGCAGTACGTAGAGGCTTCAAACCAAAAGTTGATAAAATTATTTGATTAATCAATTCCTTTACTGAATGGTTATAATTTCAGGCTTCACAGCTCAGGACTATGCCATAAATAAGGGATACAGTGATCTGGCAGCATTGTTAGTCACAGCAACAATGGAAAGGATCGAAGAGGAGGACAAACTAGAGGACACTGAAACTGACTCAAGTCCTCAACATATGGACAAACAGAAGTCTGTCTCTTCAGGATCCCTTGTCCCTGCTACTGGGAGTAATGTGGTATGCTTCTTACATCTTTTTGTATGATTATATTTTGTTATCATTATTATTAATCTTATTTAGCTTGCTTATGGTTTTTTTTTGTTTATTATGTTTTTATTTTTAAATTAGGATGTCTCTGATGAGCTTGTTGATGTTGATAGCTGGAATGATAGCCAGTCAGAATCCAACAACAAAGAGACAAAGGTACACTTTTGTATTATTATTCTTGCATTGTTCTCCCTTGTATTTTTCCCTTTTTCGTAACTCCTTGAGACCTGATGCTGCTTTTGCAGATTCCCCATTCCAAGCTCAAGAAATTCCTATCACCCTCATCTGATGACGAGATAAGCAATGAACAAAGTCCCGCTAAAGAGGAAAAGAATGTGCATGATTCCCCTAATTCATGTGTAATACCTCCTCCGCTTAAACCTCCTCGCAGTTGGGACCTAATTCAAGCTGGAATGATTGATGATAACACAGTAAGAATTTCTCCTAAATGCATTTCCTCTTGGCTGTTTTTTTTTTTTTTTAGTTAAATGAAATTAGTACCCTAAATATACTTACAAATCTCAATTAACTTTATAATTTTAATTTCAATTTTCAAGGGTTCAGAGGTGAAACGCTGCAGTTTGACTGCGTTGGGCACTCTACGGTCACGAAGAGAAAGCTTTAATGACTCTGTTAAAAGTGATCTTGAATCTCCTATGAGTCTCAAAGACTCTGCTGATACCAAAGACATGGACAAAGGGGAAGTTGTCACATCGAAAACAAATTCAAGCAGCAAAGTTGCTGACACAACTGTACTGAAAAGAGACAAGAGTGACTTGTCAGCTGTTGAGAGTGACTGGGATAGTGATGAAAGTTTGCCTTTAGATAAAAGCGCAACTGCAGGATCTGCTGAAAAGATGCAACTTTCCCCGAAGCTCACCCACAAAATATCAGTTGACATTCATCATGAACTGCCTGATGATGATGACTTGCCTGCACCTCCGTCACCATCACAACTTGAAGTGCCAGAAGATTCAGGATTTTTGCAGGTTTGATATTTTTAATAATTTTATTTAATGTGTGTATTTGTTGATCTTGATTAAATGTTATTTATAAATTTGTCTATTGTTTCTTTGAAACAGGTTGCTAATCAATCTGCTCCTGGATCTGGTGCTGTAAGTCCAGAGCCTGTGAGTGAAAAGAGAGCAAGGATGCTCCTTATGCAGAACCAACAATCTGTAGAGCTGACTCTGACTGATGATCGAACTGAGGATAAATCTGATCATAGTGAAGGTTCTCCTTCAGCGTTGCCAAAAGACGGAGAAAGTGAAAATAATGATCATCCTGGCTCCCCCTCAGTGGCTGGTACTCTTGGCCGTGATGGAACAATGCTTGGATATGATGAAATGTGGGAGTCAAATGCAGCATTTGCTCCCTCCAGCCCAACTTCACTTACCCAAGAAGCAGCTCTACCTACAAGCCACAGTCTCCCCAGAATTGATGAGAAAGTAGAGACAAGTGAAGGAGAGCAGTCTCCAAGCTCGCAGATAATTATTGATCTCAATGTGCCAAAAATAACAGAAATTTCAAGCAGTATTGATATATTGACATCACCTGTCCTCAAATCCATCAGCTCTATTCCTCCACCCGTGCCATTGGCAGTTGTAGGAAAGAGTGAGGAGGTGGAAGATTTAACTAAAAAAGTTCAAGATTCCAAATTTTCTGCAAAACGGCATGTGCGTAACAAGTCAATATTTCAGCTGCCTTTACAAAGTGAACCAACCCAGCCACCTGAACCTTCCATTCCTCAACTTCAATTACCATCAGCTCAAGCACTCCATGATCAGATTATTAATAGACAATTGGAATGTTATGATATTGCTATCAGAGATCTTGCTGCCTCAAGCCCCTCCAAACGAGAATCCCCCATCACGGACAACTTAAACCCCATAACAATTCAGGCTTTGAAATCGACACAAACTGTACATTCCGAATCTTTTGTTGACAAAGGTCATCGAATTATGCCTGACCTTTTGGCTGGGTCGAAAGTTGCTGCACTTGCTGCTGCATTTGGTGGAGAATCAAATCAGAGTAAGAAGGCCTCTGAACAGCCGATCGTTGGTGAAGCAGTACCTGCTGCCGTACTGGAAGAAGGTGTTGAAGAAGAGGAAGAAATAGAGTCAGATGAAGCCTATACCTCTCAAATACAAGGGGGTCCAGAGAAGCCTCTCAGAAAAAAGCGGAAATCACTTCTTGCTATGCAAAAACTGGAGCCTACAAGCTCACAAGGCTCTCGGGGGTCACAAAGCAATGAGAAAGTTGATGAAGGTGTCAGCTCGTCTGATTCTGATGATGAACCAGCCTATTGGGGCTCAGCCGGTATGAGCAAGGTTTTGAGGCAGTCAACTGTCATCAAAAAAGGCGATGTTGATCCACAAAACGCTTTGTCCCATGAAAGTTTCTCTCTTGAAGATATTGAACACACAAGCACCTCTGGCAGTAGTAATGAGGATGTAACCGCTCCAGTTGAAGACGTTGCAGGGTGAGTAGATCTCCTTTTATGTTGAAAATTCTAAAACATTGGTATTTTTATGTCTTATGGTTTTTTTCTGTTTTAGATCAGGAAAGACTGCAGGTTCCGTCAAAACAGGTAGAGAGTATTACTTTGTTTATATTATATACCTAATAAGTTAATACGTAAGTTAAACCAGTACTTTCTTTCTAGGTGGAGATGATACAAAGCTTTCAGTTGTTGATTCAGATGCTGAAAGTTGTGCTTCACAGACTGATGAAACTCTATCTCATTCTTATGCCAAGGTACCTGCCCATTCTCATGTCTACAAATAGCACCTTTGGACAACTCTTTAATTAATTTTGTGTGTATTTTATTTTTACAATAGAATCATGAATCCCTATTAAAGCATCATCTTCAAGTTGTCACTGAAGAACGTGGTCGTTTGGCTGAGACAACAGTTGAACTGGGAGAGAAAACAGAACGACTAATGTATGAGCTGGCTGATGCCCGAGAGGCTGCAAGAGCAAGGGATGAAGTCATATCAATGCTTCAAACTCAGCTTCAGCACCTAGAGGAGAGCCATATTAAAGGTCTTGAAGAGGTTCAGACTCACAGGTTCCACCTTGACAGCCGAGACCAGGAGTTACGTCATTTAGAAGAAGTTTGCCTAAAGGTTCAAATATGTTCATTTATTACAAGATTAGTTATGTTTTCTGTTTTCTCAGCAATCTTAACATTAAAAAAATGAATTTACAGGCTCAAGAGGAAGCTACCCACTTGAAAGAAATTATACGCCTCAAAGACAAAGAAATCGCTAACCTGACTCAGATGCGGGCAAGTAGGGATGAAGAGGCACAAATGCAATCCATGGCACGGAACAAAGATAAAGATATGACAATAAATGAACTGAGAATACATTTGGTATGTTAACACATTGCAAATATTATTATTTATATAAGATATTAGCAATACTTAATTAAGTTATGGCTTTTCTTCTAGAAATATGTTGAGCAAGAAAGGGATAGGTTGAAAGAAACTTTGGTTGCAATGGAGCACCAGCAAGCAAGCCTTCAGGCTCGCACAGAAGCTTTAGTTGAGGATAACGCCCGCACAAGTGCCCAGTTATCTAATGATCTGCGAAATGCACAAGAGGAAACAAACAAGTGGAGGAACTTGTATGTTATGCTCTAAAAATTTCCAAAGTTCTTTGTTGTTATCTGTGACTGTGATTATAAATTTATTGTTTCTTTTCAAAGATATGAGTCATGTCTTTTAAAACTTGAAGCTATGGATTCCACTCAAGTGAAAGTTCTCCTAGATGCTAAAAGTAGTAAAAAAGAAGCAGCTTACCAGAAAGAAATTCTTAGTGCAGTTGAAAGACTAGAAAAGGAAAAGGACGCAGATCGAAAAATTTGGCAAGCAAAGATCAAGGTATGGTTTCTTTAAATCAATTAATGGAACAAGTCTTTTATTGCCTTTCCTCTAATTATATTTTATGCTCAGGATGAGGTGGCGAGTGCTGTGCATTTGTTGAAGTCTGAGTACGAAAAAGTGGAGGAAACATTACGGAAGCATAATGCAACTCTCGAAGCAATGGTAGAAAAGCTTCAAATTAATCATGATATTGCGATAAAGAGACAAGAATCTTTGGAAAACCAACTCAGAAGTGCTCAAAATGAACTCCAACAGAACAAGAGGGAGATATCAGAAGTATCTCAACTTCAACTTGAATTTTCTCGGATGAAACATCAGGCAGCTACAGATCAAAACAAACTAAAGACTCTAGAGTCCGAACTGGACTCTAAAGAGCAATCTTTAATAGACCTGAGGAAAACCCTTGAAATTGTTCGACAAGAGAAGAAAGAATTGTCTTCTCTGCTTTCATCTATGTATCAAAAGAAAGATAGTGTTGAAGACACTACTGATATCAGTCAGGCTTTTGTGGCTACTAATGAAGAAACAGGAAAATGTCAAGACTTGGGAACATACCCTATAGATGATTATCCAAAATTACTCAACGATTTACTCAAAGAAAATGGAGATCTAAAACACAAAATAGATCAACTAAACTCACAGATTAGACATCTGCACATAGAGCACACTGCAACGTTAGAGCAGCTTAATCTCGAGAAAGCCAAAAATAGTGCTGTGAAATTTGTTGACAATCAAGGTGCTGCTGTAATCAAAGTGACACAAGAGCTAGAGAATAGCTTCCGACAAGAGAAGGAAGAACTTCTGAAGCAAATAACTGATCTCAGAATGAAACTCCAGAAAAGAGATAGCTCTCCCAGTTCTGCAAATTTATGCAATGCATCTGCAATGACTGACCAAGTACGTTGGAATCAGTCCGGGTTGATGGGTGTAGTGCAAAAGCAAAAGGAAGAAATAGAAAATCTTAAATCAGAATGCACCAAGTTAAGATCTTCCAGCAAAAGTCCGTCCCCATCACCAAGCAACATACCCCCAGAAATAAAACCAAGACCTGGTAAACCATCACCCAAATCACCTAGGACTACACCTGACACAATAGACTTGTTGAAATCCACAAAGAAGGAGGAAGAATTGTCAAATGTGCAGTCAAAAGAATTTCTTCAGCCATATGTTTGCAAGAGATGCAACAGCTCATTTTCCCCTAACAAGCACTTCACAGGTGTGAATCAGAAATTGAGTAGTGCAGAGACCCAAACAATTGAAGGTTGTGAATCGCCAGCACACACTTCAAAATGTTCATCGCCACGCCACAGTTGGAATCAAAAGGTATTAACATTATTTTTACATTTTTATTTTTTGTGTTAAAATGGTGTGGGTTGAGAAGTGACTTTGCTGGTTTTGCATTGTTCTTGCAGACTGGAAGCAACATTGAACAGGAACTACAAGCCCAAGCTGAAAAGTGCTTGAAACATCAGCAAATGATTGCTGGTCTGAAATCTGAGCTTCAGCTTTTGCGTGGTGGAAGTGGTGACTGTGACTACCAATACAACTTGCAAAAGCAGGTACAAGAAGAAGTCATCTATAATATCTTGTTTCTTCAACTAACTTTCTTTCATATGAGTTCTCTATATTTCGTTGTTTATGTTTCATTAGGTTTCTGATTTACAACAGAAAATTAAAGATGAAATGGCTCTCCGCTCAAGTCTTGAACTTCAAATGAACAAAATGAAGTATGAGGTGCAGGTAAGTGATGATCGACTGTTTTTAAAGATTGTCACAAATTAAGAAATATGATCTAGAGTGATTACTGTTTTCATTTTGGTTTTATCAGGAGAAAGGCCAAGTTGAAAAAGAATTGCAGAAGCTGAAAGGGCGGCTTGAAAAGGATTTTGTGTCTCGACGTGAACTGGATCATTTTAAAATGCAGGCAAGATCTGATGAGACCTCAGAGCTCACTACAAAGCTCGCTCAAGTGAATAAGTTACTTCTCCAGCAGGTAATTTTTAAAATCTCCCAAGTTTTAGTCGCACCGATAAGTCCCATTTTGTAACTTGTTGTCTTTCCAGGCACATGATCGCTCTTCAGGCAAAGCGAAAGAAAGCGTTGAAGCACAGATTCACAAAGAATATGAAGAAACTCAACAATATCTATCTTCAGAGCTTGCTAAAGTACAGGCTTCTTTGCAAGGTAGTGAAGTTTATCTTTGTTAACTTTTTATGATTGTGCATTATCTTTTACATGGGTCATTCTGTTTAATAGCTAAGGAAAGTGAAGAGAGGGAACTCAAACTGAAATGTGAAAAATTGTCTCGAGAATGTGACAAAAAGAACGAGCAGAGGAGAAAGATGCTGATTGAAAAATCTTACAATCTGGGACAGCAGTTCACGTAAGGGTTTCATATTTTTCTCCACAGAATTAACCAGTAATTCACTTAAAAAATATGAATTTTACCAAAATGTTTTTTTTAATTTGTTAAGGAAGGAGAAATTTTCCTCAGCCACAGAGCAGAAGCCAAATTCTTCTGTTCCCCCAGAGTCTTCCCTCTCTAACAAGCATCCCGTCAAAGAACCAATAGTTCCCAAGGAGAATCCCTACTCTCAGCTCTTACGTAAAGAAGTCAAGAAAAATGCTGAAAAGTACAAAGTGTCCGAGCCAATTTCGGACATCTCTTCAGGAGTAAAGGCAGAAGAACACATGGTGTACTTAAAGAAGAAATACTGCTTGCCATAATTGTCTTGAAGACTGTCCTCTTGAACATGAGAAGGGAACTGCTATCACAGAATATGCACTTTGTTGATGTTTTTGCAATGTTACTGATCTGTGATTGTGGTCCTTTACATTGTGGTCTTTGAGATTATTTCATTATTAGTAAGTATGACTCTTAATTCCCCTTTTCCTGTCTTTTCTTAACTTTCCTCTACATGAGGCAATTATGCCAAAATGCACTCATTATTCATGTACGTTCATCCTGCCAAAGAAAGTCCACCTAGTCATTTTGATCTTTCCATATTTTTATTAACTTATATTGTGTACTTTATTGGAATATTCCATTTGTGTAGCTAGTCATCTTCTCTGTCATGTGTGTTAGTTGTCGCTTTAGCAGTTTAGTGAAACACATGTAAGTGATACAGTTCTATGTAAGGCTGACATTTGAAACCTGTTGCCAACTTTTTCTATTGTAAACATTACAAATCTGAAACGTAACTAGTCAAGTGATATATGTAGGTACAAATCTTTTCTTCCCTTTTGCTCTCCTTAGATTTTTGTTTTCAAGAGAGGCCTATTCAGAAATAGGCAATGCAACTAGTCAAGTAAAAACACCATGTGAACTTTCAGGATGTCTTGAAGAGTGCTGCTTATGTCACAGCTGAAGTGAAATGAGCAGCACTTGGTTATCCTCTTTTCACTATTTGCCTCAAAGTCAAATTTGGCATTTTAAATGTGTTTGTTTGTGTTTGTTCATGATGTGGAACTGAGGTTCTTCCATCTAGTTTTTTAAAAGTTCAAAGTAAGATAATGCCAAGTTCAAATTGGTGCTAAGCTGAAGAGTGAGTATTAATATAGTCTTTCCTGAGAATTGGCTTTGCCATCATCTCTGTTATTTTCAAGATATTTGTAATTTAGTAGTCTGATTAATGTATACTCAGCACATATAGTGTATTATAAGACTATCGCACAACTTTTGCCCTAGGCAGGAAATTATCCAGATTGTTGGGTAAAAAAAAGTACAGACTGTTTTTGAACCAGATTTTCTTAATTTATTCTGTTGGACCATAGCTTTTTACAGTTCTGTGTGCACTGTAATTGGTTTACTTGTTTTCTCATAGACTCAATTGTTAGATAAGTCTTTTCAAATTGGTTCTAGATGAAGCTGATTCATAACTTAGATGACAACTATTAGAATGGTCAAATGTTGCTTTTTAACGCCCATTGTCCTAAAATACCTCACCATCTTTATTGATTCAACATTTTATTTTATTCGATTGCCTGTGTGACATTTGTTCATTCATCATTGTCTTTCAAAATTGTGTCAAAACTCATAAGCCACACAATGACCATTGTTGGGTGGTATATTGTGTGTTCTTCACTGTTCTTAAGAATTCTTGTACTTTTGTGCAATTTTATCATTAATTTAGTGAAGCTTTGTGTCAACATTACTTCATAGGTTTTAAACCAAAGATGCAGTACTATATGTGTCATTTTCCTTATTTTAGCCTGACTATTATTTCCATGAAACAAATTGGTTAAAAAAAAATCATGCATCATTGATGAAAGAGGGCCCTTTTGGAGCCCAAGCCACAGTGTTTTTACAGGAAGACAATGGTAACACCAGTTGCTTATTGAATTCCTGAAAATTATCCTGCTTACCTTTTATTGGTTTCATTTCTATGTCCTGTCAAATGTGTTTGTATGTTAACCATTTCATCAGTGCTTTACACAAATTAGGTCATTTTTTTCTGGTGTGCTGAGCTATTACAGATTTTTGCTCAAATATTAAGTAGCTCTTGTTTTGTCTTTTAGAAACATCAGTACTTAGAAGAAGAATTCTTTATCCAAGTAATCTTTATTTACTATATTCAGTATTATTATGTGGCGTGAATGTGGCACTTTATGTCTTGAAGGTAGCAATGTCATTATTTCTAGAGTCAATGTGTCAAATTCAGATCTAAATCTAAATGTACTACACTAATTTTCTCTCTTTTCTCAAAAGTATTGTGGTTTGTGGTTAAAACAAAGTTTTTCCTTTAATCAGCTGGTTTGATGTCTAATAATCTAAAAGTAACAATATTTTATGTTGTGTTTCTCAAAATTTATCTTTGTTCAGCCCATGTGAAATCAAAACACACATAAAAGGGCCTGATTTTATCCACCCTGAAAGAATTTGATACTTTTGTGGCCCTTCTTTTAACACATTTGCTGCTAAACTATGCAGTGCACGATTTTGACACAGTGATTGTAAACCGAAGTGGTGAGCACACTATTAAGAACGAAAAAATCGTGGAAAGTTGACTCATTTTTAGCATGTTCTCAGTGTTATATGTATTGATGCAAACTAGAAAAGTTTTAATAAATATATCCTGTTTAACTAGCGTTTCATTATTTACAAAAGTTCCTCTGAAATATGGCAGTAGGTATAAATAACCACACATAGGTAGTACAATCCATATCACCCACCACAGATTGAAATAAGCCTGGTAATTTTCTTGGCTCTGATTATCCCATGCCGATGTTGAGGCGTCGAAATTTTTAGGAGTAATGTCAGCTATTGAACGCCGGTCAGGGAGGGAAGTCAGAGAAACATAATACAGTTTCGGTTATCACCTTAATTCGTCAAAATAGTACGAGGTGGATCAGTTCACGTTGCCACATTCAGTCGGCATGCAGTTTGGTCCGATTGCTGGATGCGGTAGCCCCGAAGTGCATCCGCCGCCACACCAGGTTGGCGCCGGCCTTGGCCTTGGGGGGCTCGGTGCCTCCTGCTGTGCCCCCTGCGGGGTCCACGTTGGTGCGGCTCGGTGCCCGCGGTTCCGGGGGGCTCTCTGTGTTCTCTGACGCCGTGGTGCTGGTCGACACTTCCAGCCAAGGCGTCGATGTCGAAGTCGTCGTGGACGTCGAGGTGGCTGTGGCGCCGTCGTGACCGTCGTGACCCCCCGCCAGCACGGATGCGGACGTCGCCGTCGCGCTGCCCAGGATCAAGTCGGGCAAGTCGGGCCCCAGGACGGCGTTGGCGGAAGGCTGTTCGTGTAGCGATGTCGCCGCCAACGTAGGGACCGGTGAATCCGAAGGGGAAGTGAGTGAGGACTCGTCCTCTTCTCTGAATGGCTCCCTGATGGGCTCCCTGTACGTGGAGCCGTACGCGGGGCTGTAGGTCGGGTAGAACGTGTATTGGTACTCGGGACGGTACCCCATCGGCTGCCACTGCTCCGTGGGCAAGTCGACAACTTGCCCCGGGCCGTGGTCGCCGTGGTCGAGGTGCTGGTGGGGCTGGTGGTGGTGATGGTGGAGGTCATGGTGGTGGTTCAGGAAGACGCTGGGCCTGCTCGGGCCACCCAGGGCTGCCGGCAGGTCACGGTGCAGGCACAGGGGGTACATCTCCTCGCAGGGGTCCTCCTGGCGCCACTGTACGCTAGCGTCGCCGCCCAGGTCGTCGCCGGCCTGGTCCGCGCTGAGGCGGGGCCTGTCCGCCCTGTACCGCGCCAGGCTGGAGCCGAGAGGGTTCGTCCGTAAGCACCCTGCACTGCTTTGTGGAAAGCTCAAGGCGCGCCGCCGCCGCACCGCCAGCGGTTGCCCTGCATTGCCAGGTTACTTACTTGAGCCAGGACATTGCGGCGCGCAGCAGGGGGTTGCTGGCGGCGGCCCTGTCGGCCTGGCACACCAGCTTGCGCCTGCAGTCCTCCTCCTGAATGTTGAGCGCACCGAACGCCATGTTCGCCAAGTCGATGCTGTCACAGAGGAAGAGCGACGTTTCATCTCGCAGCCCGCGCCGCCGCGGCGCCTGTGACGAGCGCGCCCGCTGGGTAGGCAACCCATCGGGCTCCCACCCACGGCGCGCTAAGGGCCTACCTGTTCCATACGCGGGCCGTGAGGTCGGAGAGGTGGTGCGAGTCTTTGGCCACCACTCCCGGCACCCCCTGGACGACGGCCACCCCTCCGGACCCTGGGCGGCGGTACGCGGCCGCGTTGGCCGGCAGCTCGTAGCCCATGTAGGTGTAGTCCACGTAGGGGTAGTAGCCGTAGGTGGAGTAGTTGGGCCGGCAGTTGCCGAACAGGCACTGCGTCTTGTAGCCCTTGGTGAGGAGCAGGAACACGGCCAGCGCCACCAGCAGCACCACCACGAACTTGATCTTGAGGGCCGCCAGCAAGCCCAGCGAGCTCAGGTCGAGGACTACTGCCAACACACCGGGGCCAGGGAAGGGTTGCGGTCAATTACTTCCGAAGTCGACCGAGGCACAGAGGGTCAGAACACCGGCGGAGGCGGCAAAAATTCCAGACGCGTGTTGAGCTCCATAGTCGCTAAATGGGACTCGAACCGAACGTGTGGCCCCACTAATGGGCTGCTCTCTCAAGCTGCGACTCTGGAGCTCAAAACGCGTCTTGACTTTTGACCGCCGGCGCCCGTCTTCTGGCCCACTGTACGAAGGTAGACAGTACTGGACACCACTTTAGACTCACGAGAATGTCCGTTGAAGCCGCCAACCTCCTTGTCGTGCTGGCCCTGATCCTGGTCCTCCAGGACGTCATCCTCGAAGGCCTCGCCGACGCCGCCAAACACTATGGCAGGCAGCAGCACCAGCAGCAGCGCCGCCAGCGGGCGTCTCATGGTGCGGGGCGTGCCTGCTGCACCATCTGGGCCAAGCAGAACAAATTCGGGAAGTTCAGGATCGCGGGCACTAGCCACAAGCCCGTGCAAAAAATAAAGGAACAACAAATTTCTTCCGTAGCTCCTTTTTAAAACACTGTTTTCCATACGCAGCTTCCCTAACACGAGAAAGATTCCTAAAAATTACGATCATCACCATCACTGTCAGTAATTCCGAGCCAATAGCGCAAAACGAGGGCATGTTTTTTTCGTGTGCGGTGCACCGGCACTCCGACAGGTTGGCACACAACAGGTGCCCAAGGGGCGAAGGGGCGGCCGGGGGCCCCCGGAGGCATCCTGCATCACGGTGTAGGATGCCGGCCACCGCACCGCCTACCTGCTCGGGATCTAGGCGTAGGCAAGCCGGGGTTCGGTGGCGAGGACACCGGGCTCGGACACTCGCGTCGAGTCCGCGACGGCGGGGATGCACACGACGGGCAGCAGAGGACGCGTAGTGGACGCCGCCAACCCCAGTCGCATTGCTCTGCGCTGCTCTGCGCGGCGCCGCGGTCCGGACTGGAATAGACTGTCCAGTCCGGCTGGTCGTCGCGGCCCCGGCCGCCGTGGCGCTGCAGCCGCGGTGACGCGGTCACAGGTGCGCGGCGACGCCGCCCGCGGTCCGCGACCGCTCGAAACACTTTCGTCGTCGGCGAGCGTCCAGTCGCCGTTTACTACCGCGGAGCCATAACGCACGCCGATGCGAACCGCCGCGCCGGCCGTCTGCGACACGCGAAGCACGCGAAGCGCCGAGCGCCGCGACGACGCCAGGACCACGGCGTCGACAACGCACACCGCTCAGCACCGCGTCGGCGAAAGCACTCCGCTCTGCACACCGTAATGACGCGGGGCAGTTTGGCCTCGGAGGACGTGCCGACGGGAAGGGCCGCTCCGTCGGCCTCCCCCTGCTTCTGTGCATATCCGCCACGCCGCGCCACGCCGCGCCGAAACACTAGAGGCACTTGGCGGGGCTGGCGGCGCAGGACAGACGCAGACCGTGTGCGCCACCGTAAAATTACCTCGACTCCGTATGCGTCGCGTCGCGTCGCGCGTCCGTCTGTCCCTTGATGCTCTTCCAGTCGTAAGGCACGCTTCGGGGCCAAGTCGGTCGTGAGCCCCCTGCACGTCGTGGAGTGTCAGTCGCACTGGCCTGTGTCACGACGACGACGGCGACGACGTCATCGCGAAGGGGATGCGATGCGCCTGACCGCCATGCATGCAGCGTGCATGCAGCATGCATGCGGGTGTGTCGGGAGGAAGGGGAGGGGGAACAAGTTGCCACGTAACAATTAGCATCCAGCGTGAAGGCGCAAAGCCGGAATTCACTGAAAAATAGACCAGTGACCGTACAACTTGTTTTGCTCGCGGCCCCGAAGGGCAGCATGCTGCAGCAAGCTCTGCAGGGCCCTCCAGCGCCGAGCACTGTATCGCATGGCGGCCTGGCGGCATGGCAGGGTGCGCACCCTGATTGCTAAGGTGCGGCGGGACAGGTACCAACCTAACGGGACTCGGCAACCCTTCCATTCTTATCCCTTCCGAGTTGCGTCGGCCGCATTATCGCCGGGCAGGCCGATTCCGAGCGCTCGCTCTGTCTCTCTCTCACTCATGGGGCGTCCCGTGGGCGCGCGAGAGAGACAGAGCGACGGGGGAGGGGGAGGCGGGTGGAGCCCCGTCGGGGTTTATCAGAGGGAAGCCAAGGTGAGGCGAATAGCTCCAACACAGCTCCCGGCCGGGGCGACGCGGCGACGCAAGTCAGCAGAAAGACGGACTGCCTGACTGCCTCCAGCACCCCCTCGGGTTCTTCTTTTTTCGGTGATGGAATGCTTCCCCCAAACGAAATCAGCGTGGGTGCGGCCCGGCCAGGGGCCGAAGGACGAACGGGTTGAAGAGGAGGAGGAAGAGGGTTTTAAGTGATCAGCCTGCCCTGCCCAGCGATGAAAAATTGTCTCGACGGATGCACGCACAGCGGCGAACGGGTGCTGGGGCCTCTGCGATCGTGTGAAAGGAAGGCTGTGCTTAGTTTGCCCCAATTTTAACAAAAATCAAAGTGTACTGCGAATTCATACAGTGGGAAGTGACAGGAATAAAAAAGAGATTTTCTGAAAGAAAAAACCAGATCACTTGCCGCTTGGATAGAATGAATCAGTGACTTTTACTTTCCAGGAAAAGGGCTGTTGATTCTACAGGAGTGTGTGTTGGGGAGGGGGGGGGGGAGCTAGCTTGTGATAACGAATACCCTAACGGCTTACAGGTACAGATTTTCACTTTCGTTTTCGTTGGGCGTGCTGCCAATCCTCCCTCCTCGAGGCGATTGATTTTTCTCCTTTTTTATCTTGCACCAGGCGGCACCTTGGTGGTGCGGTACCGCACGGCACGGCAGGGCAGGGCACGGCCGCTCCTCCAGGGCCGCGCCCACTCCGTCAAACCTCGATAACGGTGCACAAAAGCGATGCAGGTAGATTTCGGCGGGGCTGAAGCCTGGCTGATGGCGCGGCAAGCGGGGCCACTCCCAACGGCCCCGGTGGATTGATCGCCACCCCGTCCTTGAGGGGGCACCTCGAGAAACAAAGTTCGGTAAATTTATTTATTTCAAACAATTTCAGCAACTGCAGCTGCGCTAGGAAGCTCGGCTACGACCCTATGCGACACCAGTTACGATCGCACGCCTCGCGAAAAACACGGAAAACCTGGCACCTACCTCGGCACTGAGGTTCTACCAGCTTTCCCGCGTTGAAGTCTCCGTCAAGGACACCATTCCTTGCACCATTCTCACAAAAATAAGCCTTTTTCTAATTTTTTTGAAACTACAAAGGGATTTTTTGGGGGGAGTTTGGACCCTAACGATGAAGCATACTGTGATTATGTGCCCCACAGGACAGATGTAATTGAGGCAAGGCCGGGCTGGAGCTCTAGCACGCCCACAATCGCACCCCACGGCCCTCGCATGGCTCGCATGGCGCGCATGTCGGCCAGGTGACGCCCAACCCACCGTCGTCCACTGTGCCGGCACGCCTTGCGGCAGTGACAAGCAGCAGGGCTCATTTCATACCATAGACAACATAGGGTTTCATACAAAGGCACGACATGTCACCTGACCTGTGCACTTGCTCGATGCGCGGCCGCGCGGCCAGCCAGCCTCTACACACGAGGAGGCTTCGACAGCCCCGGCTCGCCCCGCCCCGCCCCGCCCGGCCCGGCAGCCTCATTGTGTTGTTTTCGCTTTCGTCCGTGAAATGAAATGGCAAGTGAGGCGGGTCCGCAGCCCACCGCACTGTACCGCACTGCAGCAGGTCATTGATCTTGACCGTCGTGTAAGCTTCCTTTCGTCGGGGACACGGGACACTCACACAGGCGCGCACTCGGGCAGGGGGCCGGCGCCACCGTGACACGTCCGCGTCTGAGTGAGCATGACCTGCTCGGCACAGTTCTGCAGATTCGCTGTTCGCTCAGGCGAGCAGTCCGACGTCCCGCGTGGGACAGGCCGCAGCAAGTTCAAGTTCAGCCATTGCAGGGAAACAATGGATGATGCGGAGCTGTCCCCGCCCGTTCATGACGTAAGGACCCCAGTTCGGCCCCGTTCCGAAGCCAAAAACAGTGGCGGCACGATCGTCACCCTTCAAGGCCCCCCCCCCCCTGGAGAGGTGTGGAAGGAGGGAAGTCCCAAATTGCGCAAATGCAGGCGAAAAGCACGTCTTGGTACTAAGCTGCGCATGAAGCTTAGTATGCCCGGCCTGCTAGGGGTCTAGTCGCAGTGCGGTTATTCTGCGTGGGAATTCGAGAATTTCTTTCTCCGTTCGAGTTCCGTTGACAGGGAGTGCGACAGAGACGGACTCGCCGGTGCAGTTGCAGCGTGCGTCGGTTTTCGAGCGGGGCCCGTCTTTGTAAACTGCGGGGGGGGGGGAATTTTTTGTGTTGCCTCACCTGCCTCCTTGGGGTGGGACCTCTCAGGTCCGCCGGCCTGCAGGTTGCAGCGCATGCAGCGGGTGGTGCGGGGGTGGGCGGGGTGCGTTTTCGGGAGTGGGGATGTGCGAGGGGCCAGCCCCCGAACCGAAGGTATAAAACATGCCGTGTGTTGTTCCGGGGTCAGTCTCGTTCGACCTGCTCCACAGCACAGTGCACCCCAGCCTGCCTCCTCTCCGCACCGCACCGCCCTCGCCACCTTCGCCAGCATGTGAGTACTCCCGTCGGCGTGGTTGTGGCTCTGCACTGCAGGCCTTCCCGGTGTGCGCTGCCGCCTTGACGCGTTGCTCTCGTGCGACGAGGACACTTTTTGCGCGGCCTTCTGCGTGGCCGTGGCGCCGTGGCGGCGTGGCGGCGTATGACCGCACAGCTGCCGGCCCTGCAGGGCCCTGGCCTGGCGCCCGCGGCGCCCTGGCCTGGCGCCCGCGGCGCCCTGGCCTTGCGCTGACCCTGTTGCTTGTGGGGCGTAGGGCGCCGCGCCGCGAGTTGGCCGTGTGCGGTTTACAAAGCCCGCCGCTCTGCCGCACCCCGCCCCGCTACGCCCCGCCACGCCGCGGCCCGTTACTGAGGCCCCCGGCCTGTCCACGCCCCGCGCGGCCCCGCCTCTCCCGCGCCCGCGCCGTCGCGGTGTCATTTTGCATGGTACCTGGTGCCCCGGCCCCGGGCCTCGGCGACGTGGACCATGACGTCGTGCCGGCGGCCCGGCGTTAATGGAGACCTGGTTGAGCCTGCGGAGGATGCCGCCCCTTGGAGTCCTTGAGCCCCCCCAATCTAACCCTTCCCCTTCTGTCCCCCAGGATGCGCTCGTGCTCGTTGTTCGTCCTCGTGGCCGCCCTGATGGTCCTGGCCGCCGCCCAGGACGTGGACACCAAGGCCCAGGACGAGACCAAGCCGTCGCCACTGACCGCCATCCAGCTGCCCAGTGAGTCCATCTTCCGCGCCGCGCGCACCGCGGTCCGTGCGGCCCGCGCCCTGGCCGACAACATGCCCAGTGAGTCTCAGCCCACTGCGGCGCGGGCCAGGCCCGGGCCGCACACGCCTCTCAGATAGCTGTCGATGTAGTTTCAAACTGACGGTACACTTGTTCTCCCCACAGGCTCGTTCAATCTGTCCACCAACATGGTGCAGACCTTGGCCGTCGCCGGCGCCGTGGTCGTGGGCCTGATCGGCGCCGTCGGCATCCTCGCCCTCATCCTGCCCATGTTCGGCTTCCGCATGTGCTACCTCTTCGGCACTTGCGACGCCTCCTACGCCCACGCCTTCCTCGCGCCCACCGCCTACGACGCCTACGCGTACTCGCAGCCCGTGTACGCCAGCGCCGCGTACGCCAAGAGGTGAGTTTATTCGACCTGAGTCTGAGACGAGAACCGCCACCAAATTGAAAAAGCAAAGAGTAACCGACGTTGGCGCCCTTCCAGCTATGACGGCGCCACCAACGAGCTTCCCTACTCGTACGACGCCTACCCTCAGCACGCCGCCCAGGTCACCTACCCCACCACCAACAGCGTCGCCGCCAACGCCTACCAGAAGAGGTATGTTCGCTCACTGTCACTTCTTTCTAAAGCCGCGTCTGTTCGGCCGATTTCCAAGCTCATGAGTGCCCCGTTCGACAGGTCCCTGGAGTACGTCGGGCCCATCCTCAAGATGCTGAGCAACGCTTACGAGAAGTACAACCACCCCGCCCAGGCCAAGTCCATCGTGGAGAGCGCCAAGCCCGCCGTGAGCAGCGCGCCCGCTGAGATCCAGGCGGAGTAGGTTCAAGCCCTGCGGAAATGGAGACACTGCGAGGAGAAATGAATCCCGCCGAAGCTCTGCCCGTCAAGCTTCGAGCCCCGTTGCAAGCGTTGCAGGCGGGGCAGGGCCCTGTCAGAAATCCGTCCTTACAGTATTAGCCAGTGGGTCAGTTGGCTGCCCTGCAGAGGCGCCACGTCCCGAGCTGCCGGCTTTGGGAATTCCCCATCGGTGCCTTCAAATCTAGGGAATCCCCACTGCCGACTGCATCGCCATACTCTAGAATGAATAGTTAAGACGTTAAATTTCGATTAGGACTTATAGTTGTACAAATTTATTTTTCAAGATTAGAGAGTAAGCAGAGCGAGAAAAACGACAGTGAACGTGTAGAATTGACGGGTGTGCCATGTGTTTGATAGCCTGCCTCTGTTGTTGCCATACCCGAGTTTCACGTATACTCCTCATAGTGCCATTGTATTGTCTTCGTTTGTTACTGTGCATTTAACAGTTTCTTTCAGGCGATTTGAAATACAATTAATGTCGGGACTTAATGCTAATATGTTGGCACACTTTTGCCTGCTGCATACGGTGTGTTTGTAAATTGTTGAGTAGTTTTAGAAAGCAGTGTTTATTTAAACAGGCTGATTATAGTTCCTGCATTAGAGCGACCTTGCGTCCTATCCCCTGGACATGCCTTCCAGGAGAATGTAGCGAGGGATTATGTGCAAGTGTATAATGTTTAAAATATTTTTTGTATTAAATTTTTTTATATTAATGTAATTAGATTCTTTTATTTACCATACCCAACTCGTTAATATTTTCCAAGACTCAGAAAAATAATCAAAAGCGTCTCAACTCAAGTCGAAATCCTGGCTTCAAAATTTTGGGCCTAAAATTCACAATTAGCACGAGGCCCTCAAATTCACACAGATTGCGAGTGCTTGCCCCACTCCACTAGTTCTGCTGATCAAACGACACGCTTACCAGTGCAGACTCTGGGGCTGTATCTTGATCTTATTGACGATTGAGAGAGACAGAACTCCTCGCTCCCACTATCGAAACTCGTGCACTACGACGCAGATGGCTGCAGAGGGGCAAGGCGACGCGCTGCGTGCTGATACCCTGCACTGGGCAAACTGACCGCGAACGAGAGGGAGAGGGCTTTGGCCAGATGCCGTGCCGGCTTGGCCTCGCGCTGACTCCGAACCAGCGCTGTCTCCCTCGCACGCCCCGCGAGGGGCAGAGCGACCAGAGGGAGCACAGTTCGGGAACACCCTGCCGCCTGGGACTGCCTGGGACTGTCCGGACTGCCCGACGCGGCTCAGCGGATGACCGGGGCGCCAGGCCGACGGCCGCCGACGGCCAGGGCGCTGGGGCCGCGGCCGCGGGGAAGCCGCGCAACGCGCAGCCCCCACGGCCAACGCCGCGGCCAAGTTGCCGGCGCCCTGCCTTCGGCTCGGTCAATTGTTGTCCAGATTCTCAAGTTCAAGCTGTGGCCCCAAGTGGCGCTAACGCCTGCACTGCAAAGGGTAGGCCAGCCCGCTGTGGACACCAGCGGGGCGGCGGTGTCTACCTCCCAGGCGCTTTGGCTACAGCTCATTGCCCGATGTGTTGCCTAAGTACTAGGCGCTCACAGCGGTGTGCGTAATACCCGCGTAAAACGCGTAATACACACGTAATACGCGTAATGTCTTTGTAATTTGTCTTATAAGTGAATGTTATTATTGAATCATTTAATGTGTAGGAAAAGCATGTGTTTTTCCAGTCATAACAGCCTATTCCTTTTCCATTTTATGTCTGTCAAAAGTTATTTGAGTAGCATTTCATGCGTTTGTACAATTATGACTGATTCCAGTTATGTGGGTTGCAAGGAATGTCTGTTGTAGGAGACTCCATAAAACATTCATCATTATTAAAATTATTATTTAAGAAATACGATAATCTGACACAGAACAGAAAACCTTCAAAATAGACTAGCATTTAAGTACACATATTACATATCAAGCAAGCTACATTACCAGAAAAGCAACGAATTGCAATCATACTGAGCGGCACTGAGAAAAAGTGAACATCAAAACTTGACTTGACTTGACTGACTTGACTTGACTAAAAATAAACTTGACAAACATTCAAAACTTGACTAAAATCGGACATATGATAAATAAAAGTCCCAGAGATAATTATTAACATTGCCGAGACAAAAAAGTTAAATAAAACAAAACCAAACAACATAAGGGAAAGAAACGTCCATACAGGTGCGACACACACTAAAACAGGCATTTTCCGCCAGACACGTAACTCAATTCTGTAAATCAAAATTGCTAGATTAATCAAACATACTTTTCGGTGATAATGAGTGAAACACAACTGCAAATTCTCAGACGTACCTGCTCTGCAGCCGCCCCCTCAGCTTCCTCCGCCACCACCATCATAAAATTGTACAATGCCTGGGTGACATTCAGGACCTGTTGGCAGAAAGAAAATTGGGCGATAAGATGAAAACAGAACACAAACACCCGCGTAGCGCCGGCAGCACGGCGGCCCGGCCCGGCCCGGTCGCTTGGGCTCGGTGGCGGCACGACGTTGCGTACAGCTACAAGGTCGCATCAAGAGGAGGGTAAAAAGTCAAGTGGGTGAAGCAATTTGAGTCCAAGACGTACAAAAGATAGCCCTGTGAGAGCAGGGTGAACCAGGGGAGGGCCGAACTCGGTATAGCTCGTGGCTTAGTGCCCCGGCCGTCGAGATGTGGTTCTACTCTGAGTACGGACGGTCTGTCCTGTACAGTGCAAGCATGGCAGTTACCGGGCCCGAAACGGCACAAGATCATATGTGATCTAGCCTCTCAAGTTCAAGTTCCATGCACGAGAGCGCCTGCGAACCTGGGGACAGGCAACCCGCAGCGCTCCGCCGCTTGACGGAACGGCTACTGGGGAAAGGGAAAGGGTGAAACATTTCCATAAACCCGGGGGGGGGTTCGGGGTGGGGGTGGTTTTTTGGGGGGCCCCCGATGCGGGGCGGGGGGGATTTGGGGGGCTGCGGCGCGGGTCTTTCCCCATTTTTTTGGGCTTTGGCGGGATCTGCCCCAATAGTAAGTTTGTCGCAATAGAGTAGTCTGTCGGAATGAAAGGGCTGTCCCGATAGGGAAATCGCCTGGTATGTCGTCCCCTTTAAAAAATCCTCCCATCGTAAGACCCCGGAATGATTGTCTGGCCCAATGAGGGACCGGGGCCTTGCTAAACGTCGCGCCCGAGGTAGGAGGAGGGTTGGAATAGCAGGCTTAATTGACCTCGCCGTGCAGCCCCTGCCGAGTGCGTCGCTTGCAAGAAATCCTTTTAAAAAGGAATGGAATTCCTTTTTCTGATAAATTGTAGGTTTCGGGGTTTTCGGGGCTTGGCTGGGCCAAAGGGGGGGGGGCCCGGGATTGGGGGGGGGCCCCCGGGGTCCCCTTTTCCCCCCCTCGGGGGCAATGGCCGCTTTCGGGCATTTGGTTCAAAAGAGTTCGGCCGGGCAAAAACGCTCCGCTAGTCCTTAAAATTCCCCTTTTCATTCCCCTTCGGCCGAACCCACACCCCAAAGGGAAAACATCCAGAACTTGGCATTCCTCGGCCGCAAGGGAATGCGGGGCCGGATCCCTGGGCACAACGCTTTAAAGCAGAGGGGTTTGTTTGCTGATTGAATTTATTTTGGTTCCCCGGTTTGAAAATACTGGTTGTCTTATTTTCTTTCCTTAAACCCCCCAAAAGGAATCCCATTCCGGGCCGGTTAAAAATTTTTGATGAAATTTTTCAGGCGGCTCTAAAAACGGGCGTCCTTGGCTAGTGACCTTAAAAGGTCTTCCTCGTTCATTCACTGCAAGGAAAACACGGGGAATCTTTCACTCACCCTTCAAACGGCAATGGCCGCATTCCGGGTCATTCTGGTATACATAAATGAGGTTTTCAGGCGGCTCTAAAAACGGGCGTCCTTGGCTAGTGACCTTAAAAGGTCTTCCTCGTTCATTCACTGCAAGGAAAACACGGGGAACTGTTAGCAGCCGAAGGAGGAAAGCATTTGATTTTTCAGACAATCTGGTGCATTACCATCGAGAACCGCAAGAACTGCGGCGGCCCGGTAAGTACACTAGTACACTCAACTGGGTTTCTTTTGAAATGCGCTCGTGTCGTCCGTGTTGTGTTCGTCGTTGGACTTGTTTATTTTTGTTGCGGTTAGTATATATTTAAATTCTTTAGAATTTAGTCCTTAGTTTCCTTTCTTGAAACTGCCGTACTGTGAATCCCTCTCCACTCCTCGGCGCCCCGGTTAACTCGTTATGTAATGAAATTCGGCGATTGCCGAAACAGGCCTACGCAGCCGCATTGCTTAGTGATGGCGTCCATCTTGTACTGAACATTTTGTGATATGTTTTGAGTTTTTCAATTCCGTGGTGTTTCCTTTATCTTATATAGTCCCTCCTCAGTGCATTATCTATGATCATAGTAACTTTTTTGAAGTGTGTAGCGGCCTCAATTGACTTTGCGGCCGAGTGGCCTAAACTCATAACCTCAACTCTGTGCCCTGTTGGTCTCTTGTTTTTCCTAAGTGAAAAAAGTTATCATTTCGCTTTTTAAAATACGTGTCCCAAACATATCAATTTGTGAATAAAAGTTGCTTTCTATTGCATAGACTCATTCTCAAAGTGTGGGGCCCCACCTCTTTTTAGTTTCTGAGTTATGGATGTTTACGCAAACTTTTAGTCGATTACCCCAAATTCTCCTAACGACACAGAAAATGGTCCCCAGCCTTTCAATTGAGGCATTTATATCTCTTTTAGTATTAGATAAAGGTGGTGCTGCCCTTTTTTTTTTATACCCTCCTTTGTTTTCCTGAAAAACAACAAATAAGAACAAAATGTGACAAGATATCTCAAATTTGAAGAAAATAAAAACAAGAGTAGGAAAGTGGCTTTCACACCTTGTACTGGGCTTATATTTCCAAATCTTTCTCCTTTCTATGTAAAGGTTCAAATGCCAGAATCTGCAAACTGCGTACCTTTCCATATGTCATAGGGAGACTTTGGAAGAAATCGACTCAAAGTTTGCGTAAAGCTCCATAGCACAAAGACCAATATGAGCTGGGTTCCTCAACTCAGGGATTGAATTCATCTATTAATGGTTGAATTTTAGCCACACATTGAAGTTCCTGTCACAAGTATTTATAGAACTTAACTTAATACTTAATATTTTTTTATCTCTTGTTCCAGATGGCTCTTGATTTTAAGGCTTGGGGCGATGTCATCACCTTCCTTAACTCCAAGGGGATGAAGGTGTTACTGGAGGCTGTTGACTCTATTATTCTATCCACCAATCTGCTCTAAGTGGTACGTTCCATTATGGACTTAGTTTTCTCACTGGCTCTTTCTTTTCCCCATCGTACGTTTGCTAATTTCTGTCTCTTATTTCTTTTCAGATCGATGATGCGTTTTGCGGGCTCCCCAACTGATCCTTCCGTTTAACTTGTGACTGAAGATTGCCTATTAGTGATCTGTGATATAATCTGTGATAAATGTTTTCATTTGACATGTAGTATTTAATTTAAAATTTTGACTCGGTTAATGATTTGTGATGTATCTGTGACTAATGTTTTCATTAAACATTCCTTTTTGGTTAAATATCTCATTTTCATTCCACAAGCCTGCCCTAGCGCCCCCCCCCCCCAAAAAAAAAAAAAAAAAAAAAGTGGAGTAAGCTTACAAGCTATTTTCTCATTCCTATAGAACAATGAAAAAGACCAATAGAGATTTGAAAACCACACCAACTGACACTCGAAGCAGCCCATTATGCATCTCAAACACCAAAACCAGTTTAATTGGCCAGGATCAACCACAATTCAGTCCAAAAACCTGGGTACCGCGGGCCAGCCGCCCGGCCGCCAGGCGGCGCGAACGCGCATTCAAACGAACGGCGCGGCCCGGGCCGACCGCGCCGTGTCGAGGTCCAGCCAAAAAGCGCGCGAACGCACCGCTAGGTGCGCTACCGTCGGCGCGCGGCCGCCGGGCCCGACGAAATTGGCGGAGCGGCTCTCTGTGTCCTGCATTTTCTCATGGGATTTCCCCTCCCCCCTCAAAAAAGGCATTTTAGGCCCTTTGGGCGCTGCGGGCGAGTCGCATAACCTTGCCCGTCTGCACGCTAAAATCTCCGTTAGTTTGACGTCTCAACGGAAACGACAACAAAAATGAGTTTTACATTGGATAATAGCCACCACCTCTTTTAGCATAGGAGCGTGACATCTTCGCGCACTTAGAAGGGAAAAAGATGAATAAAAAATCCTATACTTACGCCACGCCGGGCCCCTGTGATCTCCCTTCCTCCTGAAATCCCAGCCGCAGTCATAGCAGTACTCCATCTGAAACACAATGAACGTGTATTTAAACTTATGGTATGATTTTATTCCACGATTATGGTCAGATTCGTCTGCGCGTCTGCGCACTTCGTCTACGCGGAGCGCGCGACCCGACCCGGCCAACTCCAGCCTTCAAATCGTCGACCCTACCAGACGGTCGCCGCGCACGCCGCGCACGCCGCGCACGCCCCGCACGCCCCGCACGCCATGCTGCATGGCTGTCTGCCGGAGCTGCTGGTGCACGCAGCGGGGTCGCCCTCGGTTCGCGGCGTCTTCAGGCACTACCGCGAGGGCCGCTGACGCTGACAAGCCCTGTGGCGGCTCTTTGTTGGAGCCTTGGATAGCCTTTGGACAGCATAGGGGGCGGCCAGGGGGCCAGGAGGGGGCCAGGAGGGGGCCAACCGCGGCGGCGCGGTCCTGTTACCCCTTCAAGAAGGGCCCTGTCGACCCAAGCGTCGGCCCTTCTTGAAGGGGTAACAGGACCGCGCCGCCCCTGGCCGAAGGCTATCCAAGGCTCCAACAAAGAGCCAGGAAGCCATTGGCCAGCCATCGGCCCGAAAATAAGTGGACAAGGGCACAAAGCTGTGAGGCGAGGACAAAGGAGACCAAAGGGCGCTCGCGAGCAGGCGGGGGAAGGACCAGTTATGGTCTGTCGTTGTCCACGTGGCCACTTCCGCAAATAAGCCCGCCGCCATGGCGCTGAGTCTTGCCGCTGCTCGAAAAAAAAGAAGGTTTCTCGAAATAATTTTCAATAAAGGGTCAAATTAGGCACAAATCTGATTCTTCAGTCAGTCATAACGACAACGAGAGCTACTCAAAAGGAGAAATAGTCCGCGATTCAGGCCCTTGGGGGGTTCCGGACATTCAGATGCCGACGCAACTGAGACCTAGTTGGGTGGGGAGAAAGGCCTGTTGATGGTTTGAGTAGGTTTGAGTTGGTTTGAGAGCCCGCGCAGGCGCAGGCCGTGAAAATGGTCACGAGAACGGAGTCGCGTGGAGGCGTGGATCAAAGTGGGTATGTTTTGGTCGATCGCACGTCGCTGGGATCCCAGACGAGAACGCCAGCGTCATGGAATAGAATAGAAGTGAATGGAGAAGTACATAGCATTTCACGCGTGGCTCCGAATGCGGTCTTCTGAAACAATGGGGAAGTCCGTTGCTGCGGTGATAGCGGCCGTTCTAATTTTGACCATTTTCACTCCTGAACGGCAACCAAAAAGCTTACCCGCGAAAAAAAAAATATTGCAAAGGAGGGAACTTTAATTAACCCACAACTGTTGTCTGATACCGCACAAAGTCCTCTCCTCCATATTTACATTTACGAGTACCATTTAAAGATGGCGCGACGCGCGTAGCACTTGGCGCTGCCGCCACAGGGTGCGCTGGGAGCGCCCTTCCCCATCCCCCCCCCCCACCCGCTCCATAACCCTTTCCTTTCTCCCGTCACCTGTTGCGTCTACTGCTACTGCTGGCAGGGGGCGTGTTCGCTGTCATTACCACCCTTTCTTTAAGTTTAGTCTGGTTTCAGTTTGTTTTGCTTTGATCCGCGCTCCCCCTGTGTGTCCCCGATGAGGAAACATGCACCCGTCACGTCGGGTCCTTCGCATTCGTCGGTGATTGTTAGCGTTTCGGACACTCAGCAGTTGATAGACGAAGTCGAGGATGACGACGAGCACGAGCATGGAGGAGTTGAGGAACTGCCGTCGAGTCCTCCTATGGCCATCCCCAGAAACGGCACCTCAACTTCAATCACAGTGGCCTGCTCTTGTCCAGCACAGAGCCACTTTGCATCCTGGTTAGTTGGGTTAGGGTCGTCTGTGTTTGTGCTGATGTCTCAGAACGTTGTGGCTGGCTGTCATTTCCTTGAAAGTAGTTATTCTCAGTTGAAATCCTATGTCCAGCAAACCAGTCAATATTTTTATTTTGGTTATGGTTTGATTCACTCTGCTAGCTTACGCAGTTAGTGTTCAACGATTGTGTACGTTGTCAAAACTTTCCCCCTGAGTGTTGCTCGAGTCAAAACTCATCGTAGGGCACACCATCTGTTAAAGAACAATTGCATGCAAGAAAACGCTTTATCAAAAAAACTCATAGGCTTTAAAAGAAGTGACTTATTATAAATGGACCAATTGGTGCGTCCATTATGTTTCCAATTTTTTGCCTGTCAAAAATTTGTTACTTCCAGAGAAAAACTAAATTGTTGAATTATGAGCTTTGTCTAAGTTCTGCATGTTTTCTCACTGTCTCGTGCACATATTCTTTTGAACCAAACCCGAATCTCCTAGAATATTTGGTAATTCAGCTTACGTTTGATATCCTCACAAAATTTTATCTGCACAAGCCTTTAATGTAAGTCCCAGCTGTCACCTAAAAAAAAATTAGGTAAAATAAAGTTTTAATAAATTTAACACTTTGCAAGCAGAAACAGTATTATAGCTGCTTGAAATTAAAACAATAAACAACAAGGGGAAAACCAAAACTGGTTGTCGTTGGTGTTTACTCTGCTGTAGATGACACAGGCTCCAAAGGTCACTTGGGTGAATTTGTGCAGGACGGTGCACACTGCACTACCGGCGCGGCCGGGCGCGGCACGGCGGCACGGCGCCTCGCAAAGGCGTGGGTCTCAGTGTATGCTGACGAACGCACCGTGAGCCGACGGTGCACACTGCCGGGGGAGTGGCTGCTGCTTCTTGTTATCTTATCTGGGTGGAATGAAATTGGGCTGTGTGTGTGTAGGGTATCAGCACTCCCATTTCAGTTAACGTACTCCAGGGACTTGCGCTAAGGAGATTCTCACTGTGGCAGATATGCTTAGCTTGCCTGAGTTTTAGAAGCTGTTTTGAAAGCCGCAAGTGAATTGTTAAAATTTGTTCAAAATGACCTCTAAAGATGTGGGGACATTACTTGATTTGAGTGAGCGAACTCCATTAATGTGAGTTACATTGTTAGTGTTCCCTGTTCTAAAATTTTTCTTAGCTTCATCAATGCTTCCAAAATTTTTGTTTTAGTAGCTATGCTTGTACATTCTGTGCTTAATATTTTTCTGGTCTTGCAAGAAACTAGATTCACATTTCCCCCTCACTAGTTAATATTTTGATTTCCCTTCAATTTTTCTTTTCGTGTTTCAGTGGAAGAAATCAAGATGGAGTGTATGGTTCTCTTCCATCTAGTTCTGTCCCTGATCCGGGCCGTGATGGGAAAAGTATTATTTACTGCGTTCATGGAAAGCCAAGTGGATGTTGTCTTGTCACCAAAGCAGAAGTTGTGGAAAGCACAACATTTGGAGTTCCTTTAAGTAAGTCGGAATTTGGCACGATATGTAGTGTCTGATAGCACATTCTAATTTAATTTCTTCTGCTTGTCAGTTGAACATTGTCACAGAGGTAAACGAAAGGAGGTGGACCTTAAAGCAAGAAGGCAACTCATATTGGCTACGGTCCTCTGTACCTTGTTTATGATTGCTGAAATTGTTGGTAAGCATCTGTGAATTTAATGTTGTATTGGCTTTGGATTGTTTCGACAAAAAAAGTGGTGCGGTTTCTGTTTTAACACTTTTTTCTGTTTTGTGTAGGTGGGATTTTGTCACACAGTTTAGCTATTGCAACTGATGCTGCACACTTGCTAACAGACATTACATCTTTTTGTATATCCCTGTTTTCCTTGTGGGTTGCCAATCGTCCGTCTACTCGAAAAATGAACTTTGGATGGTAAACTTGGATTCATTCCTTAATTTTTACTTTCTGTTTCTGTCCTTGTACTCTTTTAGTCAGAATTAAAACCATCTTCATAATCAAGCTCACACATTTTTCTTTCTTTCTCAGGTATAGAGCTGAAGTTATTGGAGCATTGACGTCTGTTCTGTTAATTTGGGTAGTGACTGGCATCTTAGTTTATATGGCCATTCAGAGAATTATTACTCCACAATTTGATCTTGATCCTGTGATTATGCTCATATCATCTGGACTAGGTGTTCTCGTGAATTTGATGTATGTGTTCTTTAATAATTTGTGGGAAATATTGACATTGTTTTAAAAAAATATTTCACTTCTTTTATTCAATTCTTTTATTCTTTTAAATTTAGAATGGGTGTAGCACTTCACTCATCCCATGGCCATGGCCACAGTCATGGAGGCCACAGCCATGGAGGTAGTTCAAGTCCACGGCACAGCCATGGCTCCAACCTGACTGTAGAAAGTGAAGGCTCATCGGCTCAAACAGCTCAGATCCGCAAGCAGAATCTAAATGTGCGAGCTGCGTTTATTCATGTCGTAGGAGACTTTGTTCAAAGTATTGGTGTCTTCATTGGAGCGCTAATAATATATTTTAAGGTAAAAACTAATGCAAGATTTTCATAAACTATAAGTTTTCTTACCACATGTTCTTATGTAAGATTTCTTTTCCAGCCTACCTGGATCATAGTTGATCCTATTTGTACTTTCATTTTCTCTGCGTTGGTGCTTATAACAACAATTTCTATCATTCGAGATACTATTGTGGTTTTAATGGAAGGTATGCCCATGTTTTTTGTTTTTTTTAAATGTGTATCAATCACAAAATGAGATATTTACCTGACTAACCAAGTTTTATCCTGTCCTTCAGGTATCCCAAGAGATGTGGACTTCAATGCCGTACTTGATACCTTTATGAAAATAGACGGTGTAGTCAGAGTGCATAATCTCCGTATTTGGGCTCTAAGTCTGGAGAAAACTGCATTATCAGCTCACCTTGCCATTCGTAAGTGTTATAACGTTGTATCCATTGACAATACGTTCCTTCAATGACAGTGTGACGTTATGTACTTTTTAAATCACCCGATCTTTTACTTTCCAGGCCCTGGTGTTCATCCAAATACAGTACTGAAGACAGCTACCCGTAATATCCATTCTAATTTTAATTTCTTTGAACTGACTTTACAAATTGAAGAATTTCATCCAAATATGGAAAACTGTGAGGAATGTCATGATCTTGATGATCAATGAGCCTTTGAATTTCGCTCTCTATAAATATCTTTGAATGTCTGATCATAAAATTAAGTGAGCTTGTGGAAACCATAAATGGTCATGAAGCTCCAGGTTATTATCTCCAGTCATAATCTATAAATAGCATAGTTCCTTGAAACATTTGAAAAACAATGTGTCAGCAATTTGCAGCATATGAACAGCAGTCCTAGAAATGATTATCATTTTAAATTAGTGATATATTATTGCTCTCATCTCATCATGTCAAGTTTTATAATTTTAATCTTTGAGATGTCAATATTATGTCAATTTTATTTCAAGGTTGGTCATTGAAGACTTGGGCTGTGAACCATGAAGTTTATTGAAAAGAAATTATTATGTACATATTCTTTCTTCTTTTTAATCGCCTTGTTTTAAATCTGCTTGTGACTCAAAAGTTGCTTGTGCTCAAACTTGTGAAGACTTTAAAGCAATTTATTGTTCTTTATGCTCCCTGTGATGTTTTGTACATGTATTGAATGTGTTTAGATTTTGAAAATACAATGTTTGTTCCACTTTATGTTCTTTCAATCTCAAGCTGTACATCCCATTGCCAAAACTCGACTTGAATTGACTTGACCTACAAAGTAAAACTACAGATGGACAAGGGGTGCTTTCATGGACTCTGATCGAGTCACTTTCTCCACCATACTAATTTAACCTTGGAATGTTGGATTAGCTTGCTTGAAAAGCAGGTCCTTCGCGCCAATGCGCGCAAATGTCTCCTTTTCGTAATGTTTTTGTTTTTACGAAGCTACCAACTGCATGCCACAACTTTCCACAGTTCAATGGGTGCAGAAAGGTAACATCAAGTGTAAAATCTTTTAAAGAATACTTTGAAATTATTTTTTTTGCTTTAGAATACATTTCTTTTTTGAGAGTCAGATTAATAAACCGTTCTAGTCTCAATGTCACGGAACAAACGTTGGTGCGGTCACTTGTTTTCTTTGTACTGCGCGCCTCCTGGTGGTAGCAAGTGAAAGCTCCTTTGAAGTCGTCGTAACCGTCAAACGCCGTCAAACGTCGAAGTGTCATCAACAACGTGAAGTAAAAGTGGTGAATTTATTGTTTTCTGAAAGGTCGGTCCTGTTCTAGCTTGGCGTAGTGATTAAATGCTCTTCTGGCATTGTTGTCGGCTGTGACTGAGTACTTGCGCACTTATAGAGTGTCAAACCTGAATATTCCACTCATCGGATCGGCTACTCTTTCTCATTTGCATTGATTCCGTTATTTATTCGTTCTCAGGCCACATTTTGGCGCTTGGCAGTAGCCCCTTGATTGCTGCTTGGTTTGCCTACCTTCCACGAAGATGCGGAAGTCATCGTTTGGAGGCCGTAGGGTTAGTCAACCCTTACGAATGGATCCTGATGATATGAGGGCGAGGTAAGATTTACCCATTTTCCCACTTCCATTGTTATCTTCTTTATCTTTGTTATGATTATTTCTTTTTCCATTTGAATTGCAGTGGAAGCAGAAGGCCACCAGATGGACGAAGAGGAAGTGCAATTCCTCAGCCAGGTTTTGCCCTTAAAGGTCGACGTTCTTCGTCTGAAAATCGCAATCGTATGTCTTCTTTGCCACCCATGAAGAGGTCGAGAAGCCAAGTGAATATGAAACTTCAAACTCCCACTATTTCTTTAACTACTCCAATGCGTGAGACCAACATATTGAAATTCGGAAGTGCTCAATCTCAACGGTACAATTTTTAAGAATTGTTGTTTAATTGACTTCCCCAATTGTTGTATGCTGCTAATAATTGTGTTATTTCATTTGTACGGTCAGATCACCATTTTCTGATGGTGGTCATAGCTCACGCAAGTCCACATACAGTGGCACATCTAAGCCTAATGTCGTTGTCAAAGACACCCGGCCTTTGACTGATAAAGGTTATCAACAACAAGAAATGCAGAAGATAAATAACTTCCTTTCCACGTTTGCTGATGGGCAATCACTGGCTCCAAAAGGAATCAACCTGAAACAGCTCACCACCAAGTTATTCGTGGACATTGTCAACCACCTTCTAGGCTTCTTTGACAGCAAGATTTGTATTAACATGACCAATTACGTGAGTGAGATCCCTTTAACAATGAAAAGATGGGGTTACCCAGGGAATTTGAACACATCATGGCTCAAAACCGGTAAGCAGTTTTCTGATATGTGGTTCTGTATTATGAGTTTTTCTTTATGTAAATGTGAGCCTCCAATTTGTGTCTTTGGTTTCAGTGAATACACAGCATGCATTTCCTCATGTCCTCGGCCTTCTGTCATGGCTTGTAACTATGGCTTCTGCCATGATGAGAACAGAGATGGATGTTGTTCTCCAGGAAGCTCTCCAATGCTATGACGATGATGATGGTATTGATGAGGCTTTCCCTTATGGCAATGCTGTGGTAAATTCTTTCAACCAACATTATTGTGTTTAATTATTATTTAGAATTCCTCTCAGAATTTTGAGAAATGTCTTTGTGTTGCATTTCAGCTTTATATGGATCATCTTTTTACTCAGTATGGTTTATGGAGTAAAAATGATCATGCTGCAGAGGAGAAGGAAGAAAACAGGTTTATAGCAGACTTATGTAAGTGACCACCAGAGTTTCTTATTTACAATACATTACCTGGTTTATGTGCTCATTTAAATGTCAACAATTATGTAAATTTCTCTAATTATATCTTACAGGTAATCGGAATGGGGTGGGTCAAGAAGAATTGAGAGGAATGGAAGAAGATGTGCGCAATCTAGAGGCTCAACTTAATGATCCAAAGGAGATAGCAGAAATGGAAGCTGCAGTGGTAATGACATGTTCAAGGAGCTTTGTGCATGTGCTAGCACTGGGCCTGCTACTAGTGTAACATGAACTCGCCGCCTTTTGCTTGTCTGACTATCCTCTCTGTCTTTTCAGGAAGAGGAGAAGAAATACAATGCGTGTCTGAAAGATTACAATCTTATTCTTGACTACAAGAATCGAATGGATGAGCATCTTAACACAGCCGAAACAGAACTTGAAGAAACAAGGATGAATATTCGAGCTGAAGGCATGTATTATGTCAATTACTGTGTTGTTTAATTGCAAATGTTTTACTAATTTATTGTCTTGTGTAATGTACAGAGGAAGCTCTGCATGTTCTCCAAAACAAGATAATGGATCTCAGAGAGTTATTAAAGAGACAAGTCATGTCTGCTCAAGAAAGAGACGAATTACTGAAACAATGCAATGAAATCGCCAGTTCTATTCGTGAAAATGAAGAATATATTTCAGTTGTGTCAAATCAGATTTATGCTGATGATCTAGAAATGGCGAAAAAAAATGCAAATGTAAGTTTGGGTTGAGCACTTTGTCAGTGAGGAATGCATATAATTTCACCCCTAAATATGTTTCGTGCTTTGGTCACAGCTGAAAAAGAAGACCCAAGCATACAACAAAATTATTGTCACTGAGTCATGCTGGTTACCGGAGCTGAAAGCCTTGAAAGATGATACAAATATCTTACACCATGGAGCCGAGGATGAACTGGCTCAAAAAGATGCTTATGCTTCTCAGTTTAAGTCTGAGCTTGAGAAGAAACTTGCTGACTTAAATTCTCAAATCAAACAGCTCAAATCTGAACTTCTTCAGGTATTCTTTTGTTCTAAAATATTTTGTTTCTTGTACATTTTCAATATTGTCAATCAAGAATTCATTGTTGGTGATTTTGTGTCTCTCTTAGGTTGAAGAGAGGAAGATGACAGCTGTTCATGAACAGCAGCAGTGTCAGGATAAAGTGAAACATATCAGTGAAAACCTTAATGCAATTATGTTGCGTAGCTCTGAGGTTGGTATGTCCGTAAATTGTCATTTGCTCCTTGCAATACCTTAGTTGCTTTTGTAAAAATCTTTGACAATGTTAACAGAGGTTTTTTTTTAACTCTAGGAAGCATCAGAGATGAAGAAAACAATTGATTCTCTGAAAGAGGAGAATGAGTCTCGTGCTAATTGTGGCACTTTGGAAGAACAAAAGGCCAAATTGCAGCAACTTTATTTTAAGTAAGTTATTGTTTATGCTGTTATTGAAGTTTTCACTTTTGCATCTTTTTAATCCAAACAATGTCCCTTGTGACAGGAGAGACAATGGCAAAATTTTGATTGAGCAAAACAAACAGAAAGCCCTAGTGTTTTTCCAAAAGTCAGCTGCTATTACTCAAGGAGTCATTGATTCAGTTACAGTGAGTTATATTTTCATTTTTATTTTTTTTCCCTAAAATGAAATCAAAAATGAAATGAACTTTTGACTATTGTCTGTCTTTTCCTATCCTCTTTGCAGAGGGCTGAGGCCGAGTATGTGAGAAAACGAAATGATCTAGTCCAGAAAGCAAAGGAAAGAATTCAGAAATATTCTTCTGAAGTCAATCAGATTGATGAATAATTGTTTGGTCAATTGTACATTTTCTTAGCCTTCGATTTCGTCTTCATGCATCAACAATGTCAATAGTTAGAAAATAAGATTCTAATTTTTTATTGTTGAATTTTTTATTTGTAAATATCTTATGATTCTGGCCGGGCTGTGGTTTCTTCTTCTGCTCTCTTTTGTGATATTTCTGATTGAAAAATTTATATTTTTAGTGGAGTAATGATGACTTCTGCCTGTCTTATAAGAGTCATTATTAAAAACTAAAAAAAAAGAAGAATCTGGATAATCTCTTTATTTCTTCTTTATCAATTCCTTAATTAAATACCTCATAAGTTAATAGTATCTCACACTAAGCTATACAAAAAGAGACATTTATGAGCAAATAAGAAAATAGAGTGGTAGAAATATCACACACATCAAACTAAATTATTATAATTTCCAAAATGTCTCCCGACTTCATCTAATCACAGGGTTTGTTCCTGTTCCTTCTTCCAGCTTTTTATGCAACTCAGGAACCTACCACAGGCAATTGTGTGTTTCCTGGTCCCTAGAAATAAATAGACTTTAAATCAGTTAATGAAATCTCTCCCTAGCTTCTCCCGTGGCAAACTTAATTTAACGTATCAAATTTAGCGCACTAAACTTTCTGAAATGGTAGGAAAGAGAGAGAGAACTGACGCGCCGTAGCGCCTTTTCATTGGCACAGGGCTGTAACAACAATGCTCCTACTTGATGATAAATTAAATCGAAATGAATTGCATCCCGTCCGGTCCTTTTCCCACGGGGCAGTGGCAGTGGGGAAGCAGCACTGTTTGACTAAGTAGTTTGGCGCCGGCGAGACCGGACGGGGCCCTCGCCCGCGCCCGCAAACCCAATAAAAGGAAACCGGCCTAGAGAGTTCCGTTCAGCACACCGCACAAACCGTCAATTCATGTGTAAGGGACGACCCGAACTTCGCAAGTCGGTCTCACCGGTGGACGGAAGTCGATTGCGAAGACTCGCTGTCAGACGAGGCTGTTTCCTTTTCGCGGCGCGCCCCGCGGAGTGTCGCGCAGCTTCAGCTTGAGGGCCTTCTGGACGCTCAGCGTCACGTCACGCTCTGGAGCTGCCGAAGCTGCAGACAGCCGGGGGAGGTCGGTGGGGGCGTGCGCGCCGCGCCGCGTGCGGTGGGGCCAGGCCAGGGCCGGGCGCAGCCAGGCGGCGGTCCCGATCGGTCACCCCGCCTCTATCTGGCGTCGCCGCTGCCTTCGCCGCTGCCCAGGTCTTCCTCGACCGAGCTCGTACTGCTCTCCGTCGTGGTCGTCGTGGTCCTCGGGGTGGTGGGCACCGACGTCGTCCGTCTTCTGGTCGACGTGGTCGTCGACGATGCCGAGGCTGTCCTGTTGGCTGGCGCGGCTGGCGGGGCTCGTGGCTGCAGAGCGCGGCCGCGCGTCACCTCCTCGCCCTGCTGCCCTTGCTCCTCCTCCTGCTGCTTCTTGTACGACGAGAAGAAGGCCAGCGCCTTCATGAGCTGGTAGCTCTTGGACACGGGGATGTTGGAGTCGTACAGGCGCCGCGACGCCTTGCAGTCCACGTAGAACCACCAGTTGCACTTGAGCACCGTCTGGTCGAACAGCGTCGACTCGGGGCACAGGAAGCTCTTCATGATGAGGCCCTCGTCCGTGAGCGCGCACACGTGGAACACCTGCAAGAGGAAGTACGGGGGCGACGTTAGTTTCATCACGTGGTTTTCCACCCGACGATACTCGTGCCATTTTGAGTTCCAGAATGGCGCCGTTTTCACTCAGACGGCAGAAGAGGAGTAAACCAACAGGGAGGGGGGAATGACTCTGCGCGCCGTTATGCAAATCAGTGGCGATGGCTCTGGCGGATAAAAACGGGTGATGCGCGAAGAGTGGGGTCAAGTGGTGCAACGGGGATAGAATAGAAATACCAAGGGTGCCAGGGGCAGCCACGGGCTGCGACCTGCGACTGCTGCGTCGCACACATGTCGCTGTGATGCAAAGAGGGCTCGCGGCCTTTTTATGGCCGTGTCACATCGCGGGGCACAAGGCTCTGTCTCTCTCTGTCATGGGGCGTCCCGTAGGCTTGCCCGTAGGTGCGAGCGAGAAAGAGCGACGAAACAACCGTCCGGAATCGATCTCCAGCCCAGCCCAGCAGTTCTGCAGCTGGGGCCCAGCCCGGCAGGCGGCGCCCATGGCCTTTCCGGCCTGCCCTGGCCCCTGCGGCCCCTGCGGCCCCTGGGGCTGCGGAGGTGCGATGTTCAATGGCAGGACTGGCAGCCGGGTCAGGGGCCAGCCTAATTGCGCCTTATTGTCCCACCCGGTCCCACCTGAGCAACGCCATCGCGGCCCTCCAGTGTGTGAGTGTGGGACTCACACAAAGTCCAGGTGGCCTCATCGTGCCCGGGCACGAACGCGCAACAGCGGGAAAATTCGCTGCCTGCCGCGAATGAGTTCCAGGACCCCGTCGTCCTGGCCGTCCGCCCCTCCAAGCTGGTCTCCCCCGAATGGAGGCGTCGACGCGTCGGAATCCCGGGCGGGAGCGAGCCGCTGCAAGAGTGCAAGCGGCGCTCTGCCGCGTGGGTTGCCTACCCGCAGGCGTTATCATGCAGCTCAAGGCGAAGCTTTCTGAAGAGTGGCGCCGCGGAGGCAGGCCACCCATTCGACACGTCCCCGCGCGATGAAGGAAAAATTAGAGACATTCTGGCTATTAGGAAAGGCAACTCGCGATTTTCCCCGTCCTGTCCTTTCTGTCCCCCCCCCCCCCCAGGCAAAAGAGTTCCCCTCATTCCCCGAGACTGTCCAGAGCGTCCTGAGCGCGGTGTGCGGTGCGCGGGCGTGCCGACTGCCGACGCGGGCGTGCGCGCCAGACACGCCCCTATCGTCCGGCCGGCCGGCCGGCAAAGCGGGCAAAGCAAACGTGTCGGTGAGCTGCGTCCACTTTCACTGCGCCGCGGCCGTGCCGTGCCGTGCCGTGCCGTGCCACGCCGTGCCGCGCACGGAGCACGGCGGGGCGGACGGCGTTATTGGCGTAGCAGCGCGGGGCACAAGCCGATGCACAACAGCGCTTTCGTCGCTCTGTCCCTCTCCGTGCGCTAAGGACGTGAGAGGGACAGGGCGATCGGCGACGCACTGTTCGGAATGAGCGCGCCGCGCGGAGCGGACGGAGCAACGCGTGGTGAAAATAAAGCCCCGAGGACACGGCGGCAGAGCGACAGAGCGACGGAGCGGGCGGTGGAAGTGGAAGGAGGAAAGAAGGAGCAGGGCCGCCAATAAAAAGAGATGCAGATGGCACGGCGCACGGCGCGCCTATTCAAATGAGTCGCCCAGCGCGGAGCGCAGCGGCGCAGCGCCGTTCATGGTCGCACCTAAATCACGCTGAATTCGGCGCCGCGCCGTTAGATGAGCCGAGCCGGCACGACCGCGGCGCTGCACTGGGCGCTGGACGCCGCGGCCTCGGACGGAGGCTGCGACGCCATCGACGGCATGCATGCATTCGCCGCTCGTGCCGTGCGGTGCGGCTGGCCGGCCCGGCGCCCCTCGAGACCCCCCCAGTCCCCTGTCAGCGGCGGCAAGCTAATCAACACTATTCCAGTAGACTGATTTCGAGAGTCGTTTTCGCCGCTGCCTCTCTCGCACCTATACGAGACGCGCCGAGTGCGAGAGAGACGGAGCGACGAAAACGACTCCCGGAATCATTCTGCAGTGGCGAGGCCGTGGCCAGTTTGTGTTTTTCGGGGCCGCTTTGCCTTTGTGGCACTGCACCTCTTCCTCCACCCCGACCACCCCCCCGTGAAGACTGCAGGCCGGCAAGGGGCTGAGTCATAAGAATGCTTCCCAGCGGAACGCCCCATGAGTGTGGGAGAGACAACGACCAATCGGTGTTCGGATCAGTCCGCGATGACTGTGACACGGATCACGGATGCGGACAGGCTCACACCTTGTAGAGCCGGCTGTAAACCAGCTGACTGGACCGGAGGGTCCGGCCCTAGGCCTCTGGGTCACCTCTAGGCCACGCTTCACTAGCTCTGGGCCTCTAGGCCGGTTCCACGCAAGCCTAGACGCCTAGACCAGCTCCAGCGTGTTGCGCGCGTCGATCACTGCCGCCGCCGAAAGTCAAGGTTACGATGTGTGCAGCTCCGCGCTCCGCCCCGCCCCCTGCCTCCGCTCCCCGGTCCATGCCGTGATCCGCTCCCCTGCTCCTCTCCTTCCTTCCCCTCCTTCCCCTGCCGTCGGTCCGGCTTTGCACGTTGCACAACACGGCGTGCAGCCCAAGGTGGCCCGGCCGCGCCGCGCCCTGCCGCGCCCTGCCGCGCCACGCAGTGCCCCAGAGCATTGCCGCGCCGCCGAGCAAAAACCAGAAGGATCAATGGGAAAACAAGAGTCACGGACGGTCGCGGGTTCAAATCCCCACTAGCGATGCGCCCTTCCCAGCTCTCTTCGTTTCTTTTAGAAGCAGGTGTCACTTTCGTTTCTTATTCCTGGGCGAGACCCTGCCCTCTACCTTGGCACCGCGGCAGGGCCGAGTCTGGGGGGTCATAGTTGGACGGGAGCCCCTCCCACGCGTGCCGCGTGCAGCCAAAGCAATTCCGAACCATCGTGTCATCGCTCTGTCCCTCTCGCGCCCCTTCGGGACGCCCCACGAGTGCGACAGAGACTTCCCCCTCCCCTCCCCTCACGCCGCACATCCGTGAAAGTGGTCGCGCCGTTTCAGCTTCTGCGCAGTGCAGCTTGGATTTTCACATGTCCATCTGGAGACTGATTCCGAGAGTCGTTTTCGTCGCCCTGTCTCTCTCGCACCAATACGGGGCACCCGACGAGAGCGACGAAGACGACGCTCGGAATCAGTCCGCAGGAGCCCCCCGATGCCCTGGCTTGGCTTCGCGCTTCGCGGCTGGACGGCGGGGGCCGGTTGCGTGGTTCGCGGCGAGGCCCAGCCGGTGGACCACTGAAGGCTGTCGTGGGGACGCCGTTTACCTACAGTGCCATTGTGTGTCGAGCAGGTCGAGCACGTCGAGCGCCAAGGCGGCGTCCTCGTGTGCAGTTTGTTCTTGTGTTTCTTTTCGCGAAAAGGGAAAAGAAAAGGAAAGGGAGGGGCGAGTGTTATTATTTGCGCGCGTGCCGTGGAGCGCGTCACGGCGACCCGATTCCCGCCGCGGGTGTCGCGGGTGTCGCGGTGCGGCAGGATTAGCGTCCTGCCCGCGGAAAAGGAGAGTGACTTCATCCTGGCGGCGTCGACCTGTCCCTCTCGCACCCGCACGCGACGCCGCACGAGTGCGAGAGAGACAGCCTCCAGGTCCTCGCGGTCGCGGCGACCAATCGGCCGTGGGAAGGAAGGCGACCGGGCCGGCGGGAAACAACGGGACCCGAACACACGACGCACTCTCCGCGGCCATTTTGGCGAATCGCGGATTGGGCGGCAAATCAAGAAAGACGGGTCGCGCCACGCGTCGGGGCGAGTCGGGGGAAGGCCAGGGGACCACTTTCCGGCCGGCAGCCTTTTCCTCGACGTGTGCCCGCCTCCACTTACCATGCAGCCGAGGTCCTCGTCGGCGTACAGCCCGGGGAAGTGCTTCTGGTCGCCGCAGTGGAAGGACGTCTCCGGCAGCTCCACTCGCGACACGAAGTTGTCGTCGAAGTTCTTGTCGTAGCCGACGGGGTAGTACTCCTTCGGGGCGTTCATCACTTTGGCGGCCTCCGCCAGCGGGTACTTCTGCAGCACGTTGGCCGGCTTTGGCGGAGGTGGCGGCGGCGTGGTGGTGGTGGTCGTCGTGGTGGTCGTGGTCGTGGTGGTCGTCGCGGGGGTGGTGGGAAGCACGCCGACGGTGCTGAGGGCGTGCTGCTGCTGCTCCAGGATCTGCTGCTGCCGGGCCTGAAGCGCGGCCAGGATGGCCTCCTCGCTGATGTTGGACGCCTTGGACAGCGCGGCCACGGAGTGCCCCATGAGCAGCGGCAGCGTGCGCAGCGACGTGGGCGCGGCGGCGGCGGCCGGGGCCGGCATCTAGTGGGAAAAACAAAGTGACTGAAATTGTAACTTCGGGTCGGCTTACCGCCTCGCGTTCCCGCAGCTCAAGTACGACAAGTACCTGGAAGTTGGAGGTCGCCACCTGCAAGGCGTTCTTGAAGGCGGTGGGCGCGCGCACGGGGACCGCCATGACGGTGGCGCCGGACACGGAGGGCAGGGCCGGCGGCATGGCGCCGACCTGGGGGCCCACGGTGGCCACCCTGGAGATGGAGGACGGCAGCACCTGGAAGGGCGGCACGGCGGGCACGGCGGCCAGGCGCAGCGGCCGCGTCGTGTTCCAGCGCGACGCCGCGGCCAGGTTGGAGTAGCCCAGCCCGCCCGGCCCCGCCGGCGCCGCGTACATCTGCGGCACGCCCTGCACGCCCTGCACGCCCTGCGGAAGAACGAGCTGCATTACGCCGAATCGCTGCAGCAACGCCAAGCTCGTCCGGACAGAGCAGCATCGACACTAGAGCACCATCAACACTGGAGCACCATCAACACTAGAACGGCATCAACACTCGAGCAGTCCCGGATGCATCCCTGCCAGGCCGACGAACGGGCTCGGCTGGCGTACAGTGGCACAGCACCGCACAGCACCGCCCTGCTCGCGGGTTGCCATGAAAAGTAATGCGGCCGCGGCTCGAGACCGCGCCGCCGGTCGCATGAATCATGCCTGACGTGCTTGACTGACTTGACTGGAGCCGCACGGTGGGCCAGAAGACCGGTGGAGGCGGCCAAAACTCTAGACGCGTTTTGAGCTCCAGAGTCGCTAAATGGTACTCGAAGCGAATGTGTGACACCATCTCCGAACGAGGAATTCATTCGGTGGGGTCACACGTTCGGTTCGAGTCCCATTTAGCGACTCTGGAGCTCAAAACGCGTCTAGAGTTTTGTCCGCCTCCACCGGTCTTCTGGCCCACTGCGCGGCGCGGTTTCTCATACTGACCTGCGGCCCGGCCATGACCGCCACGCCCACCAGCGGCGCGCCGCCTTCCGCGCCGGGGATCGGCCTGAACGGGGGCACGGCCTGCTGCAGGTAACGGGCCTGCGCTACCCTCTGCTGCTGCTGCTGCTGCTGCTCCTGCAGCCGCGACTGCTTGAGCACGTCCAGCGCCTGCCGCGCCACCGCGTTGGGCTGCGCGGGCAGCAGCCTCGTCACCGCGTCATCCTTCTTGGCCTGCAACAGAGAGCGGAGCGCGTTCACACATGTTGGTTCATTGGACAGCGATTGGTTTGATCTTGTTCGTTCACCCCCGCGGCCCTGACCGAGGCATTCCCGTTGTCTCCTCCACCGCGAACCGGTCCGCTTCCGGGGCTCCTTGACCGAGCGCCCGGCGAACCTGGCGAATAGTGCAACTGCCGTTTGTCCGGTGGCCAAAGTCGGCCGGTCCGCGAGTCCCATTGAAGGCTGGCGGTGTCGGCCGCGACGCCGCGACGCCCAGACAGGTTCGGTCCGTTCGGGCCGCCCGGCCAGGAAGGTGTTCGGAGTGCCAATAACGACGTGCCGACGGAGGGAACTAACATAAAACGACCCGGGCCCGCGCTGCTAGCCGCCGGGACGCGCCCCAAACCCGAAACCCCGAACCCGCTTTCCCCGCCGGCCCGGCGCCACACACACGCGCAGTCGCACTGCTGGAAGGGTTTTTTAATCGGCATACGGCCTCGGTGGTCTCTGATTTGTCGGGTCGTCTTCGAAGCGAAGCAGCAAGCAGCCGTTCGTGCCGGACCGTTCGGGAGGCACCGCCGCCTCCCCGCACTCTTTGCACAAGGAAGAGCCCCGTCGTCACACGCCGTCGTCACAGTGTCGTCGTCGCGCGTCACGTCGCGTCTTACGTCACAACTCGGCGCTTCCTTCAATCTCTTTCCCTTTCTCACATCACGCATCGCGCGGCATCGCGTCCCCGGGGAAAAGGAAAATCACGGTGCTTACCGCCCACAGCAGACTGATTCCGAGAGTGATTTTCGTCGCTCTGTCTCTCTTGCACCCCTACGGACCGCCCCATGAGTGCGAGAGAGACAGAGCGACGAAAGCAGTGCTCGGAATCAGACGGCAGGCTGAGATTCCCACTCCTCACTCCCAAAGGGCAGGCTCCCGGCCTCTCCCGCCGCCAACACGGCGCTATGGGATGCGATCAAAACAGCGACCCCGGTGCAGCCGGTGGGCTCCCAGCGGGATGTCCGCTATGCCAGTCGAGAAGTGGGGTTCGGGGGTTCGAATACCGGTGCAGCGGGAACATTTGTCTCGGTTTCATCAAGGCCCCTCCCCTCGCCCGAGGGTACACGCGTTAACTAGCTTTCCTGGCGCCCTTCGTGTGAAACTCATCGTGGCCTGTGTCGGTGGAAAGGAGGCCGACTAAAGGCTCGGCTGCGACCCGGTGCCGCGCGCCGCGCCAGTCCAACTAGTGCCAGCAGCAGCACCGCGCCTCCAGCGCCTGCAGCGGGCTGGTGTTGCTGCCTGGTTGCTACACGCCAGGCTGCAGGGAAACCCAGCCAAAGCGGCCAAAGCGGCCAAAGCCTACTCTATCAACACGACGCACCGCGTATTTACAGCCAGAACAAGGCCAGCCCAAGCCCAAGCCCAGCCAGCTAGCCAGTCGGCCAGCCAGCCAGCCAGCCAGCGAGCCAGCCCAGAGAGTGTCATTTAAATCTGCAGCCACGTGCGTGGTGCCACTGCGTTTCCCCACGTGGGTCCCTGCGAGTGTCCTACGTGACCAAATTGATGTCCCCCCTCCCCCTCCCGCCGTCTGGTCAAAGACACCGTTACACCAGCTCCAGGGTGAGGCTGCTGGAGATGGAGACCAGCTGTGAGTTATGCGGGTTGCTTCGGAGCTGAAAAGAATCTGATGGGAGAAAAAAAAAAACTACATGAGGGAAGTCCACGGCCTGGCCGGGCCTGGCAGATGAGTCTGTCTGTGTTACAACCCAGCGACGATGGAGGCCCCGCCGTGATGCAGAATGGTTCCAAACAGTGGTTCGTCGCCCTGTCTCTCTCGCACTCTGGGGCGTCCCGCAAGGATGTGAGAGAGACAGAGAGAGAGAGAGACAGAGGGACTCGGGCTGCAACAGGTTGCTCTGCACCAACGCGGCGCCTATTCAAAACCAACAACCGGGTCAGTGTCGCCAACTTGACCACCGGCAGCCGGACGGAAGAGGGAGTGAGAGTGAGAAGGAGAGAGAGGGAGAGAGAGAGGAGCAGGACGGGCTGGTTTGGGAGGCTGCGCCGTGCACTCACCTTCAGCCGCCGTGTAATAATACTAATACGCGACGGACACGGCAGTGCGTCAGCGTTCCGAACACGTCGCTCCGTCTCTCTCGCACTCGCGGGGCGTGGCCGGCGTGGCGGGCGTGCCGTCGGGGTGCGAGAGAGACGGAGCGAGGAGGCACTCCGCGGAATGGCTGCGCTGCGCTGGCGCGGACCTCCCTCGCCACCAATTAGCGCTCCGTACGTGACTGGCGTTCGACTGGCGGCCCGGGGGTCGGTGGTTCGACTCCCGGCGGCGGCGGCCCATTACCGCTTCAAACAACGGGTATCGATGGCCGGCCAAGGCTTCACGCTTCACACGCTTCGCGGCTCGCGCTCTTCGTTTCTCCGTTCGAGACTTGGAGTCGAACCGCTGTAGTGGCACGCAGTGGAGGCGCGCTGCTGCGCTGCTGATGGGCCGCGGCGCCAAACATTCGGGATGAAGAATTTGGCGGGAGAGAGATGAGGCTCCGACCGCAACAATGAGTAGCGGAAGTGGTGCGTCGCGGCGTTGCAGTCCCAGTCCCCCCGCCGCCTGGCGCGACGCACCGCAAGGCCCGGCCCGGCGCAGGGAGGGGAGTGACACTTTTTGTCGAAATCGATATTACCGGATTGTGACGAAAATGTCTTCGCCGCTGCACCGCAGCGGTTGATGTTGTTGTTGTTGTTGTGTTGGCAACGCGGGGTCCCGAAAATCGGCGCCAGGCCGGTTGGCAGCAGTGTGTGCGGCATGCGGCCATGCGGCCATGCGGCAGGAAAGCCCTTATTCAGCGACGCGAGCGCCCTTTCACCGGCCGACGCGGCGGACGCCAGCGGATGTGGACCATGCAGGTTTCGGCCAGGAGCGCCCCCTCCACCGCGCGGCCCGGCACAGCACAGCCCGCATGCCTGCCAACTGCCGACATGACTATAGGGTCATGATCCGGCGAAAGTGCGAAGATCACGTCGGGTGTAGTGGCACCACTGCAGCGGCGGCGGGCAAGGCGGCGGGGGAGCCGCGTGGTTATGCAAGGGGTGCATCCAGACAGACAGGAGGCGGCGGGGCGGCGTCAGGGACGAGCATCGCGTGCCCGGCCAGGCCAGCCCGGCCAGGCCCACGTTGCCCACGTGACCACAACCCTAATGTCTTTATATGCACGTCGGGCGCGTCCGGCGCCGAGCCAGACCGTAACACAATCGCAACAAGAAAAACAAAGTGGAAAAACAGCGACAAGTGCACCTGCTTTGTGTGGGTGCCATCGGCGGCTACACCACCGCGGCGGCAAGCACTTTCACTGGTTCAGCTCACGGGGAGCCTAATTACAGTGGAGGGGATCCCCCCCCCCGTTTACACACACACTGACTCACGCCGGCTCGAGAGTATCTCATTCCGATCAACAAGCAGCTGCAGGTCTCGCAGTCCGCAGCCCTGCAGGCCTCCAACTAGCGTACGGCACGTCGCCCTTAATCCGGCGGCCGGTTCCTGGACGCAGCCCCGCACTGCCTCTAGCTGCCCCGGGCGAGGCCGACCCCCTGCGGCCAAAATATGCACTTCCACGGCTTCGTTAATTTTGACAGAGTAACGGGAGTGACCGCCTCGCGTCGCGTCCAGTCGCGTCCGAGTCTTTGCTTTCTCTGAGTCCAGCGGACCCGCGGCACAGGACTCTACGCCACGCGGCCCGTCGGCGGCGACATCGCTACATAGCTTGCTACAGCCGCGATCATCTCGACGCATTCCGAAACGGTGGGGCCAAGCAAGGCGAAGCGGGGCCTCCAGGATTACTCATCCAGGGAATCCTGCGTCGTGCGCCATCCCCCCAAGGATTCGCTTTCCCAATCAATAATAATCTCGCAAATGATTCAGATCTCTATCTGCATGTAGTTGACCCCGTGGAGCGTCTCATCTAAACGCCACAAAAAATACCTTCGCATCAGAAAATTGACAAGGACGTTAAAAAAATGGCCCATGGACTGGCAAGTGGATCTTGACACAGTAATGGTCCAAAGAAAATTTCGCAGTCGAGAGAGGAAAGCGAATCCACGCGGCGCTTCGTCGCTCTGTCTCTATCGCGCCCGCACGGGACGGCCCACGAGTGCGAGAGAGACGGAGCGACGACAACTCTTTCCAGCTCATCGGCGGACCCCAGCGGGCCAAGGACGACAGGGCGGTTTTAGCGTGTGGGCGACCCGAGGACTTTCGGCCAAAGCCGCGAGAACAAGCTGCAGGCAGGCCCTTGAATTGATTGGGGTCAGCCTGTGCCTCCCAGGCGGAGATGAGTGCCTCGCTGCCTCGGCCAGGTGCGGATCCAGGCGGCAAGGACGTCAACCCTGCCACCGCCAGGCCTAAGGCCGGGCCTCCTTGGGCATGAGCAAGCTCGACACACAACAACCAGTGCTCATGTGTACACTTGTTTATAGACTCTGTGTGTGCGTGTGTGTGTGTGTGTGTGTGTGCAAACATTTTTTTTACGAAATTCTTACCAGAAGGGCATCCGTCCGACCCACGGACCGTCTGCGGTTGTTCTCCACGTTGGAGAGAGACTCTTTGAATCCCAGCTCGTCGCCCACGCTGAAGCCTGGAACACGAGCAAAAAAAAGTCGCAATTCGTCATCGTGAAACGAAAATACGCGCGGAATATAATGGCGGGAAAGGAAAGAAACATTGTTCTGGTGTCGTGTGTCTCGCTCCCGGCTGCAGCGGTCCCACGGCGACAGCGGGACCGCGTGTCTTGCCTGTCACAACATTAAGGCGATTAAGTCTTAATCAAAAAAAGAAAGAAAACAAAACAAAACAGAGCTGGAATGAATGAAAGTTGAATACGCGTGGAATCCGGAAGCGCGTCTCAGAAAACGTTTCACCTGTCACGGATGAGCAGACCCATACACTGTAAAAGTCAGAAAATCAGCGCAAGCCGTCGCGTCTTCACAATTCGAATTCTATTCGGCTTTCACCCAAAACAAAGACTACACGGAGAATAACCGTGTTTGTTTTATGCTCGCGCCATGTTCTTCGGAGTATGGAAAATTTCTTCGCCAGACGTTTACAGCGAAAATGTCCTTTGATTCATTAGGAGCTCTCTATACTTACAGAGACGCAGTCGGGTTGCATAATTGCATCACGGCCGATGCAACCGACCTGGATAGTAAAACGGTAATAGAAGTAGCCGGTTTCTTAAAAAAGGAGTAATTACTGTAAGAAAACGAAAAAAAGGAAAAGAGGAGTGATGACCGTGCCGGAGCGGTAAACGGCCGTGCTGTGACGTCGCGGTGGCAAGTAGGGGGCAGGCAAGGCTGGGCAAGGCGTCGCGCCGACTAAGAGCCTTGGAGAAAGCCGGGCCATTGGCCATTGCCACCGGCGCCGCCACTGGCAGGGGATTAACACGCGGCGGGCCGATCGGACCACGGGGGCACCACGCCACTGGCAGGGGATTAACAGTAGCGCGCGGCACTGGGGCACTACGCCACTGGTGGGCGGGGAACGGCCGCGCCTTCGTTGGACTGCGATTGGCGGTCCCCTGCATGCACGTCCACGGCAGGAATCAGTCAAAGGTCGTTCCTTTTTTCATTTTTTTCTGTTTCCACTCTGCCAGGCGTGTCGGCGTCCATACGTCGACGCGGCCGGTCGACCACGCACCGCGACACGCACCGCGACACGCACAGTGAGAACAGAGAACCGCCCACGGCTTTCAATTCGTTTTCGGAACAGTCAGACTCACTACACAATGCGTGCGGCAAACGCCACCGTCACCGCGCGCATAATTTCAATGAGGTTTTTATTTTCATTATGTCTCACTTCTCTTCTCACCCCGCATCGGCCGTTTTGCTGGTTCCCTCCATCATCCCCGCGCAGACAGGCGTCAGTCTGCCCAGTACCGCAGCCTCCAGCATTACACCGCACGCACTCACCGCACTCACACACAGACGCGCCGACATTCACACACACGCACGCACAGTCATTCATAGCGCGACGTCAGTGTAAGGGCAACGTTGCATTGTGGCTGAGAAGACCTATTGGCATTAACCCCCTTTTCTCGGGTCAATTTTTTCAACCTTCTCTTCCCCCTTCCCCTCCCCCTTCCCCCCTCCCCCTACCCAACCCCCTGCGGCGTGAGCCATTGGCCAACGCGTGCCTGAATGAGTACCTCCACTCCAGTACTTTCAGTGTGCCGACGCCTGCATGTGTGGCCTGGTGACCGACTGCCTGCCACTCCGCCGAGACGACGACGACAACAACAGCAGCAGCAGCAGCAACAACAAAAACAACAAAGATAAATTAAAAAAAAAAACTACTCACCCAAGGACGCGAAGCCTTTGACTCCGCCGAGGTTCCTCACTCGGAACAGGCCGGACTTCTTGAAGGCGCAGTCGATGGTGAATCCGAACTCCGAGTTGAAGACGCACGTTGCGCAGGCGTATTCGCACGCGAGCACTGCAACACAAAACGGGAGCTGCAGCACGACGCGCGCGCGCACACACACAAACACACACACACACACACACTGGGTTTGGGACGGCAGAGGAAGGGAAGTGCATAAAAAACAGGGAACCCGTAACGATTACCGAAGAAAAAAAGAAGGAGGCCCTGGCTAGATTCGAACGGTGGATAAGTCCTCCGGTAGCTCAAGCCACAAGGTCTCGCTCTAGTGTGCTCGGCTCCGCGGCACGCGCCAAGGAAAAATAACGCTACTTCAAAAAAAATCTATGAAGCGCTCGGAGCGCCTTACGACGGCGGGGTAGGCAGGCCCGCCACACTCGGGTGCGTAACAGACCGGCCTACCTCCCAGGCGCTCCCCAGAACGGCAGCCAAGGGACGCAGACAAGGAAACCCCGGGAGAAAATGCAGCAGCAGATGCAGTGATGCAGTGTGTGTGCACAGCCGGGGAGTGGGTCAGTGACCGGACATGGCGCGCGTTGCAAGCAATGCAAGCGATGCAAGCAATGCAAGCAAGGCGAGCGCAGTGCAGCCACAGCGTGGCGTGATGGGCGTGATGTGGTGGCGGTCCGGTTTCTCCTCCAAAGCCTCCACCCGCGCGCACCACCCACTCGGCCACTCGGACGCACGGCACCCCGCCGAGCGGTCAAGCCGCCAACGGCCGCCAAGCCGAGCGGTGTGTCCGAGACGTCCGAGAGCAACGCACGTTCCGGCCTGCCGCACAGTGGGCCAGAAGACCGGTGGAGGCGGACAAAACTCTAGACGCGTTTTGAGCTCCAGAGTCGCTAAATGGGTCTCGAACCGAGCGTGTGACCCACCAATGGATTGCTCTCCGAACGAGGAATCCATTGGTGGGGTCACACGTTCGGTAGCGACTGAGGAGCTCAAAACGAGTCTAGAGTTTTGTCCGCCTCCACCGGTCTTCTGGCCCACTGTGTGCCGGGCCTGCCGGCCGCGAGCACGCCGTCGACGCCGTGATAACGGCGTATCGGCTTCGGCCGCTCCTCGATGGCGATCGCGATGCCGATGGCGGCGCGCTGAACACGCAGTGCACCGCAGTGCAACGCAGTGCTGTAAGCGGGTGATGCGACTCGCCGTTTTCTAACTTTCGTAACCAGTGTAGCGGCGTGCAGCGCAGCGAGGCGACGCGGAAAATCGATGGTCACTGTGCAGGAAAGTGCAGAGTGCGTGTGTGCGTGCGTGGGCGACCGTTCGGCTGACTTTATTAATTGGCTTGACTTCGGTCGGGACTCGTCGGCTAGCTAGCCATTTCGAAGAAGATTCATTCTGTCTCTGTCACACTCTTGCGGCGCCCGTAGGAGTGCGACAGAGACAGAGCGACGAAACGGCTCTTCGGAGTGGTTCACCGGGACCGCACTGGCCGCGGCCGGCCGAGGGCCACGAGGGACGATGCTGCACCGCAGCACCTCACGCCTGGAGCCTTGCAGGCAACGCCCTTCTAACCTGTACATCGGCCAAGCTGCTGCTGCTCGCCCTCCCCGCCCACACACACCTGCGTTGCGTACACACAATGGAAAACCAAGACACTGAAGCTCATCTCCGAACGTGTTTCACTGTTTCGGCGCCGTTCCCTGGTCGAGTTTCCAAGGAGAAGGCGCGGCGCCCGATCCCACACTTTTGCCGCGGGGCGCGAAGACGAACAGCGAAGCGCCATGAACCTGCATGAACCAGACACACTGCCTTCGTGGTGCCTTATGGCTGTGGCACGGACCGCGCCTTAAGCGGTTCGACTGCAGTCCAATCATAATCGCGCATATCCGAGTGCGTCGCGGCCGCCCTCGTTCGTGGGAACGATTCGGCGGGGAAAGCGCGACAACGCGGCGCGGAAAAAGGCCGCGGGTTCGATTCCCACCAGCGCCGCGTCAAAAACAAAGCAAAAAATATTTTTCTATCAATAAATTGCGCGATGTGCGAACAGGAGGAAGATCGCGGGTGCGGTATTTGAACCCGGGACCCGGGGAAAGTCCCTGCAGGGATCCAGTGGCATGCGTCAGGCGGGATTCCGCGTGGCGGGTCGTTGTTCGTCGTTCGTTGTTCGCCAACCGGTTTAGTTGGGGAGGAAGGCCGCGCCGCAGCCGCGCAGCCGGGAGCCAGCGACAAAGCGAAGCCGGCGGAGCCCAGGCCGCCGATACCGCCCGACCGACCGACCCAGTCCCGGAGGTGACGAGGCGGACGAGGCAGAGTGACCTTGGTGTCCCTGCCCCTCCCCTCCCCTCCCCTCCCCGCAGCACTTTCACTGTCCCCTCGGAGCGCCGCGCCGCCACTGCCGCCTCCAGGCCCAGGCCGCCGCGACGCGGTGCGGAAATCACCTGTTTCGACGCGATTAGCGCGAGGGCGCGGAAAAATTGCTACACGGCAAAAAAAACATGAATGGATGCAAGAAAATACGGCGGAAAGTGACGAGTTCAGTGCCTCACCTTCCACAGCGGTCGTCTCGTCCGCCAGAATAAATTTAAGGCAGCCTAATCAGAGCGTGACCGTGCGGCGCCGCGCGGCCGTACGGGTGGCAGCAATTACACATTCCTTTTTCTCGGTGGCTAGGATTGCCCGCGCGGCTCGCTGGTACACCTGGCCGCCCCGCCCCGCCCCGCCCGCCCCGCCCCACCCCGCGGAGAGCAAGGCTTCAATTTTGCCGACCTGGCGCTCTGCTCTGCTCCGCTCGGCTCTGCTTGGCTCCGCGGTGCTGCGCCCCGCGCGCTTCGCCGCTGCGCGCATCTGGCGAGCGGGGCGAAGAATATGCGAAACGGTTTTCATGGCCGCGCTGGCGATGGCGATGCTGACGGCGCATCGCTGTTCCAGGCCGATGTCCATTTCGGATGCATGAGCCGATAATGAAGGGCTGCACACTGAGAGTCGTTTTCGTCGCTCCGTCTCTCTCGCCCTCATGGGGCGCCCCGTATAGGTGCGAGAGAGACAGAGTGATGAAGACGACTCTCGGCACGAGTCTGCTGACCGTGTGAGCCGAGTGGAGTGGATCGGCCGAGGCGGTGTGGACCGCGGAGAACGGGGCGCGCCGCCTTGCCGCGGCGTTTGCAATGCACGCCCCGCGGCCCGCGGCTCGAGCTCGAGCAGGCCGTCAAGCTGCAGTGCGGTAGACGGCGCGCGCGGCGTACAGTGGGGCCCCACCAATGGACTGCTCTCCGAACGAGGAATCCATTGGTGGGGTCACACGCTCGGTTTGAGCCCCATTTAGTGACTCTGGAGGTCAAAACGCGTCTCGAATTTTGGCCGCCTGCGCCGCTTTCTGGCCCACTGTGCGCTGCTCAGCTTGGCTTGGCTGCTCGGCGCGTGCCGTGAGAAATAACGGACCCGCCGGGGATTCGAACCCGCGGCTCATCCGAGCGCCGAACGCAGCACGCAGAATGGGGTCGGGTCAGCCGCGGCGGTAAGGCCCCTGCCCCCGGGTAGGGCCTAGCAGGCCTAGCAGTGGCGCGGAAGTGCCCAATAAATACTGGCGCCTCGGCGAGGCGCAGCGACCCGAGCAGCGACCCGTTTTCTCTGCAGCGCGATTCCGAACGGCGCCTTCGTCGCTCTGTCTCTCTCGCGCTCGTGCGGCGTTCGGGTGAGGTGCGAGAGAGACAGCGACGAAGGCACCGTTCGGATTCGGCCTGCCGCGCCCGGCTTGGCGCCGCGCCTTCCTCGCGTATTTGTATTTGTATTTCGGCCGAGGCGAGGCGAGGCGAGGTGGGGTGGCGCTTTCCCGCGCAGAACACGTGGCAGACGTAAACACGGCGCTGCTACGCGCGGCGCGTCACTTGATTAACTCATTTGGGTGAGGCGGGGCGGGGCGGGGCGGGGCCTCCGGAATGGCGTTCTGGAAGTGGAAGTCTTCCGGGGCGCGCCGTCAAGGCGGCGTCGGCCCTTGTTCTGCGTCCTGTGTCTCGCCCTGCCGCGGCCCAGCCGCGCGCCGCATCACCTCGGGTGTTAATGGGACACACTTTCCCACTCGCTGGGACGCGAGCCCCGCCCCGCCCCGCCCCGCCTTCGCCGGCCAGCATCCATACAGCGACACACCATCACTCGCATCCTGCCGATCGCCCTGTCCTTCTCACACGCATGGGGAGTCCCGCAGTCCGGTGTAGGTGCGAGAGAGACAGAGCCGCGGTCGGAATCAGTCTGCAGCACGCCATGCCGGGCCGTAAGCCGCCGCGCCGGGCCGCGCCGGGCCGCGACCCAAGCGATGGCAGTTGGGAGTTGAGCGGACAGCCAAGGAGGGATCAAGCGAAACGACTCGGAGTGGGTCAGTGGTGTGGCATGCGGTTAAGAGGCGTGATGCCATGTGCTCGTCTGCGCGCGAGGTGCGTGTGTGAGTGTGTGACCCCTGGTTACGGTTTGCACACGTACACACACACACACACACACGCACACACACACACACACACACGCACGCACACACACACATTCACACGTACAAGCCAAAAAAACGAACACACATACACACACACACGAACACATACGCGGGGCGTGACCTTGCGCGAGGGAAGTACGCGGGCCTAACGGAGTGGGCAGGCAGGTTGGTTCGGCCGCATCCCAGCCGCCGTCGGCCAGGCCCGGCCCGGCCCGGCCCTGGGCCCTTGGCCAGGCTTATCATCAATCATATTTTACTCTCCGCGGGCTTGCCAGCTTGCCAGCCCCAGCCAGCCCCTTGGCCGCCCGGCCCGGAGCCTGGCTGGACGCGCGACACACAGTGGGCCAGAAGACCGGTGGGGGCGGCCAAAACCCTAGACGCGTTTTGAGTTCCAGAGTCGACAAGGAGGACTCGAATCGAACGTGTGACCCCACCAATGGATTGCTCTCCGAACGAGGAATCTATTGGCGGGGTCACACGTTCGGTTCGAGTCCTGTTTAGCGACTCTGGAGCTCAAAACGCGTCTAGAGTTTCGGCCGCCGCCACCGGCCTTCTGGCCCACTGTGCGACACCGGCCCCGGTCCGCCGTCATCGCTCTGTCTCCGTCTTTCTCGCGCAAGGGCGGCCAAAAGGATGAAGGTTGAATCGGGAGGCCGGGCGGTTGCGGTCCGAGCAGAAGAAGGAGGAGGAGCATGAGATCGCAGACAGATTGGACTCACCTAGCACGGCTGTGGCCACGAAGACGGCGGTCTTCATCCTGAATGAGTGGTATCCGTTTAGGTTTAAAATCCTTGGTCCGCCACCGTCGCGGCGCACTGCACCAGGCCACGTGCAAGTGGACCAGCCAAGTGGATGCACGCACACACTAAACTTGTCTCGAAGGAGCACTGCACATTTTCACGGCGACGGAAACGCACTGGCGACACGCTGGCTGCACAAGTGTAGCACTTGTTCACTCACTCACTGACACACGCACGCACCAACGCGCACTCAGAAATCGGGCGCCGGTTCTTGCAGCAGGACTCGGCGCGCGGGCTTCGTCTCGACGCGGATCGTCTCGTTGGAGTCGGTGGCGCACAGGTGCACTCGCACCTGCAGCAGCGGCAGGCAGACGGGGACTGGAGCCATGAGCCTGCCCGGGAGGGCAGCGCCGGGGCGGGGAGGGGGAGGGGGAGACATGTGGCTGCCGGCGGGAGAAAGGTGGACGAGTAGCGGAGGGGGAAGGACCTTACCGGAGGCCGGAGTGTCGGCCAGGGAGAGGGGGTGGCGGGCAGCGGGCAGCAGCGGCCAGCCTGGCCCGGAGTGAGCTGGCTATCCTGCTGGCCGGCCGCCGTGGGCCGCCGCCCGAACTGCCCCCTCTTTCTTCGTGTTTTACTTTTTTTGCCCGGCGTGGTGGCCGAGGCCCCGCAGCCGGATGTATAACGCGCAATGATGCGCCCGTTTGCTCACCGAGAAAAAAAAAAGAAAAAAAAAAGATGAAGGCTGCGGGAGGCGGCGCTCTGGGCGCACTCCAGCGTTTAGGTCACCGCGCGCCTACGGAGTAGGCAACAGGCAACCCACCGTCACTGTCCCCGAGTCGTTCAGATCAAGGATAGCGACGGAAAATGATAGAAGGACAGCATTCAGAGGATGCAAAAAAAAAAGACGGTGCGGTTTCTGCCGTTTATTGAATATATCAGTCACAGTGCGCCCGTAACAAAAGTGCAGCCCGAGGCTATCTAACAATAACAAGCGCTACTTAGCAATCTGACGTGATTCCAGCAATGCGAGGCGAGGACTTTCCCCGCTTCTAAACCGCATATGTTGCGAGAACACAGCCCCCTTCTAAACTCAACAAAAATATTTTGGGACAGCTAGCACTCAAGTATTTACAGCAACAGTAATCAAATCAAATACATTAAAATTATGGTTTTCAGCTGAAAACCATAAAGAAACCGTTTAAGGATGAGTTTATCAATTGATACGATCAACAACCTAATGCTTTGACAAGCATCATTATAATAATTTCATTGAATACAACAACAATTTTACAATATGATTTGTAAGTGATATAACCTTTTACATTTTCAAAGAAAACAACTTCTTTTCATTAAATAAATATACACAAGTAAACATTAAAATTTTGAAACTACATACAACTAATGGTACAAATATCATATCACAAGGTATCCCAAGCTCCACTGTTGCTTCCAAGAAGCACAACAAGCTGAAGGGAATCACATAAACCCACAAACTAGAAAACTAGCTCAGTCATTGGAGTTGCTAAACCACCTATTCTGTCATCCTTACCACAAACAATAAAGGATAGACATAATCGATGAGATAGACAAACTTCAAACTAGAAACAAATGAAATTTTAACTCACTAGAGCAAATTTTTAGTTAGTCACCACATAGCTTTAACTCAAATCAGTCAAATATTAGAAAGGTTGCCACTAAAATGTATGGATACAACTACATTCTAAGAAATTCAAAGTGAAACCATGCTTTCTATCATCAAAATGTGCAAGAAGAAAAGGTGGGTTATGTTGAAAAACATAAGAGGACTGTAATAAAGTTACAACAACACAGAGAGAAGAAAAACAAGCTAGAGCCCGCATTTCCGTCAGACGACATCTGAGGCACACTTCAATCTAACAACCAACAAAACACTACTTATTTACAACACTCAATTTGCAGAGGTAGTATACCAGTATACCAAACAAAGCAGTGCAACCTTCCACTTCCATAATTTAAATCTTAATTCAGTCTATACACAGCAGATCTCATAGCTGTTCTGCTTAAGCATTTTTACAGAACAGTTGTTTGACTTTTTCAAAAAGCATGTAGGATTGATATAAGTTATGGCACTCAGAATAGATACAGGTATTACAACTTCATAAGCCTTATGTTGTAAAGACTACAAGTAATAATACAAATATATAAGCTCCCTGAAGTCAATTGGCCCATAATTTTTTTCCCCCAGACTAAAACGGGAATAAACTTACTGTACTCCCTCACTGTGACAATCTTGAGAAGATATGAAGCCAGTACACAACACAGTTCCTAACACATACCAAAATAATTCATTCATTAAAAACAAAAAACAAAAAAAATGTCACAAACACCATCTTTTTTCATACTAGAAAAATTATGCTGGAAGCCCAAGTAAATTTGAGGGACAAGGATGATGGCATTGTGTTTTAACTTACTGTTGCTATCAGAACTATGACAAAGGCACTTACAGATCAATACAAACAATGCAAAATAATTTTAAAAGCTGGATTAGATACCTGTCCCATTTGTGATTCATTTGTGTGTCATCCTAACTGTCAACCTCCCAGGGAACATAACAATGCCCACTGATGAGATCTTACAATTGAAGGAGTGAAACAGAGTTTGAGATGTTCTGCATTCTGGGTTCTTGTGAAAGAAGACGACTAAAGGATCATCTCCTGTATCCCAAAAATCATGATACTAAGAAAGCAAAATGAGATAGACTGCTGTTATTTTTGGTAGAGGAATTTGGTCCAATCAACTTAAACCCAATTACTAAAATCCCAGAGGCACAGTATTCACCTTAATGCTTAAAATAAAAAACAAAAGGAATGTTAACTCGGTCGACAAGCACAATTTGGAGCCCCTACTCTATTCATGAAATCTTCATCATCATCACTTGCATCAGAATTAGCACCTTCAGGGTTATATCCCATATTCATCATGACATCAAACACATCAAATGGATTCATTCGTCTCATTCGTCTCTGGTTGGCACTGGCAGCAACATCCTTGTTGCTTACCTCTCTGTCATCTTTTCTCCCATCCTAAAAAAAAAAAAATCACGTTAAAAAAAAAACAAAAAAACACTAAGGCATTATAAGCCTTTAACTTGAGTGTATTGCACAGTACCTCGGGAAGTGGGCTCCAAAGTCGCACAACTGGGTCAATGCCCGAGCTTGCAAGAAGACAATATGTTGGATGGGGCTGCAAGCAGTTTACGATTGAGCCATCTCCCCTTAATATGCGCAAATTGTTGGTGGTATTACGATCCCAAAAATACATATATCCATCATCAGATCCTGCAACAATGAACTGTCCTTCCCTGAAAAGAAAACATTCATACATCACTATTTTGTTTTAAAAATACAGAAAAATAAAAGTCTTGCAAAGTATGTAGTCATTTGAGTACTCACTCCCCAAAAAAGTTTGCTTCTTTAATATCAGTAGTAGTGTTACAATGTCCACAGTATCGTTTTTCATAGTCAAATGCTCTCTGTTGCCATTGTTCTTCTTGAGGTGAGAACGAAGGTCGGTACAAAGTCAGATTAAAGTCCCAGCGATTAGCAGCATGATGCTGCACTTCCTCTTTATCAGTTTTTGACATCTCCTCAGCTTCTTTTTCTTTATTTACCCTTGCTGTTTCAATATCTTTTTCCAAAGCTCGGCAAGCATTACTCTGAGCATGTGATGGGTACTTGTTCTTGAAAACTTTTAAACAATCTGATGCCACAGTGGTCCATTGCAGTTCATGTAGACATCGTATCATCCTTTAAAAACAGAAAACATTAAAATTAAACTAAATATGACATTAAAAAGGAAAGAAAGAAAAACATGGAACTAAAAGAAGAATTATCTACCTAAAGTGGGCTTTGTAGTGATTTGATTCAAGTTCCAATGTTTTTTGACAATCTCTCAGAGCAGCATAAATATCTCCATCCCTGCAATAGAAATTAATACATATAACTTTCATATAAATGATGGAAATACAGTAACTTGAAAAATACTCGGTTAATACTGACCAATCTCTCTTCATAAGAGCTGCAGCTCTATTTCCATACAGGACAGCGCTTTCTTTACACAAGTTTATGGCTATGTTGTAAAGACGCACAGCAGCCGAGTAGTCTAGGGCCACAAATGCATCATTTGCCTAAACATTGAAAAATTTACAGAAGTGGCAAAAGGAGAGCTCGTTTCATTAGCAGTGGAATAATATGACAACTCACTTCCAGCCGCAGAGTTTCTACTCGAGGAGGTAAAGTTGGACGTGAAGTAATGGGGTCAGCATTGGCATCCTCAAGCATTGCACGGATCCAACGGCTGGTAATTGGGGGTATGTTCTTATATATGCATGATGGAAGTGTGCCTGGGCTAGTGCACTCTGAAACAGAGCAGAAACTTATCATTTAGTTTGATAAAGAAGTAAATGTAAATAGTTGCTGATAAGACCGAGCAGTTTCTTAGAGTAAAGCTTTACAAAACATGACAGAAATCATTTACCCCCTTTGTTAGAGGATCCAGCGTCTTCTATATAATATGGTGAGGCCCTGAAATTAAAATGCTGTACTATTCTCCTGCCATAAATGTCAAACAGATAAATCTGTTCTCCACCAAGATTAACAAGTAGATCTCGCCCATTGGCACCAAAAGTCACATAAGTAGAAGTGTAACTTTTGAGTTTCCCATTTTGGAGTGATGGTCTGGTCCTAAGGTGACCTGGAAAGAAGGAGAAGACCACATTTATTTGAGAGGTTTAAAGCACTAGCATTTTTTGATCAGTCGAGCTCCAAGTAAATCTCACCTGCCACAAAGTATTCAGCACATCCTTCAGGAAGATAGTCAGTTTGATGTGTGTAATCATTAGAATCAGGTAACAATTGTTCAATTTTCTGAAACGGATAAAAAATTAATAGAGTACAACGTGAAAAATCAGCAACACAGGAAAATTGCAGCTAGCTTACATGGGTTGTAGTAAGACGTATCATACGGCGGTCATATATACGAACAAATGGGTCATTTGCTCCAACAGCCAGAAGCTCTGATCTCACAGGATTGACGGAAAGGCATTTGGCTTCTGCAAGACGGCCCAGGCAGCGCTTGAGGGACACAAGAATGTTGGGACTGTCTGATCTACAGACATGTGGTGCACGTATATCAAACTGTCTGTAATATTATAAGTCTAATTAAAACATAAAACTAACAAACCATTATCATTTCATAACAAGGCTTTTTAAAGGGCATGTTAAATTTTAGTGGTCTAGAAAAAAATAAAAAATATTTTAATACCTCACAGTTCCATCCTCTGCAGCACTCCAATACAAATGTGGACAGTCAGGACAGACCGCTAACCGTTTGACACGACTAGTGTGACAAGAGCACACACTTACAGTTTCATGGAGTTTAATGTCATGGAGATTAATCATATAATCAGCTGCTCCCGAAACCATGAGGCTATCATTGGTTTTGGGCATAAACTGTAATCAAATAATAATCAAATTATCACATATATCAACACACATAATGAGGCTGTTAAGGACAAAATTTACTTTGACAGAAAAAATGTTCCCATGATGGTTGGTAGATATTGTGTCCAGCAACTTATGACGAAAAGGATCCCAAATAATAATCCTGACGTCGTCTGATGCAGACGCTAGTATCCTGAAAAACATAGAGCATGATACGGTTAAAAAATTGGGCCACTGCCTTAATTCTTTAAAGATGAAGAAGAACTTAAATCAAGTACATACTCTCCGGTTGAATTCCATTCTAAACAATTTACACAGCCAGTGTGACCCTCTAGCTCCTTTTCAAGACCAAGACGTTGTAGTAACTCCTCTGTGACATGTAAACGGCTTTGAACCTTTCTTGCTATGTTGTCCTGGAAGAGAAAAATATCTCATGAAGATGGTGCACCCATGGGACAGCCTATGAGGGCTTAAAAGCCGTTTTGTTATGGTGATGTCTTGTAGTAGTTTGAGAAATAATTTCAGGCAAAAGTCATACACAGCACAATAGCAGATGCATAACCTCTGATTACCTACATCGATTTCTCTCTTCCACAGGAGATCAAAGACACTCCCGTCAGTAGTCATTTTTGATTGAATTATTGACCGGGTATTTTCCCAGGCAACTAAACAGTACCAAGGCACCTCTTTCACGTCGAAAACATGTATCGACGCGTAGACCTAAAAATAGGTCTCATTCGTAAGATAACGTGAAAAGAACAGTAGGCCAATCAACGCCAGTCCGAAGACAAAACAACAGTTCATCGACTAATTTGATGGCTCAAAATTAATTCACGAGCAAACTCCTGTTAACCACGCATGACAACAAACAACACTACTCGCGCATTGATGTGACAGGCAGACATGATAAAAACAGCAGTGCAGCTGCAGCTTCTGCTATGTTTTGGCTGTGGGAGAGAAAGTGACTTCTCAAGTTTCATAATGCCAAAAAAATACTGAGCAAAATGGTGTGTAAGTACGTAGTCAAACAGGAAAATATGTTCATTTTTATGTTTGGCACTCTAATTGTTTTTAATCAATGTAATTTTTGCGTTTTTGTGTCTGTTCAGGTGCACTAGAGTCCTATAGTCCCTCTTCGGTGGGCACACGAAACTTACTGTACAATTTTTCATACTATCCTTGTAGCTACGGTGCTGCGGGCTCTTTGAACGCAGCCGCACCTATGTACCTCGGACGGCACAACAAAGTTCACAGTAAAAAAGGGAAATTTCTGTGGACCTTTTCTCAAGAACGAGAAATGCTCATACGTGCGTCAATCGACAACAGTGTTCTGCAGCTGAAAGCTGAAACCCTTACGTCGGGCGGTGACGCGGTGACGGGTGACGTGCCGGATGGGATGCCCACCTGCCGGGGCAGGCCGCCCAGGCCGCCCAGGCCGCGCGGGTGTCAAGTGAGTGCGACGACCGCGATGAATGCCAGGCAGGCTAAAAGGGTTTCACGTGAATTGAATCAACAGCTCCTCGACTAATTATAAAATATATTTATTCCATTGACAAAGCTAGATGACATAATCTTAGATATGGATGTTTTAATAGTTTTTCTAAGAGTAGAAAACAATAACACACACTCTACATAATCAATATTTACAAAGTTTAACATTTGGCACTACTCTTCAAAGCATTTGGATTGGGTTCACAACAACAATATAACCAGCGTGTAGATTCTCGGACAGAGAAAGGGTTTCAGTTACGTCAGCTGAGCCAACACGAAACAAACCTCAAACATACAAGCTCAAAATACAAATTTTCGAAAGTTCGGGAGGTATCTGAAAGTGAAGATTCTGCCAGAGACCAAACAAAACGTTGAATAATCACATTTGTAACTTTATATTATAGAAACAACAAATAAACAATAACAAAAGCACCAAATATTGTCACAAACATACATATTATCAAACAGAAGCTCAGTCATCTGTAGCTTCACATTCGTGGTAGTATGAAGTGGGGAAAGAAATATCAGTCCTCTCATTGAGCACTGATATTCATGCACAACATTCTGAAATTGAATTGACCGCACCATCCAAGCTGAAGAGTGAAGTAGGCGCAGCAGATGATTGTTCCAAAGCCAAATTTTACCTAGCTCTTACATGTACAATAATAATGAAGCATACAGGCAAAAACAAATCAGTCTCAGAAACAATTGTACGGACTCACTTGAGTTAGTTATTTTCCAACAAAAATAAACAACCAGACTCTGTTAAGACCGTCATTCAAGAAAGAACGAGAGGCGCGAAACACTTAACAATATCAGAAAAAGCAACAAACATAACAGTTTTTTCTTCGCTCAGAAATATCCTCAGCACGGTGGCAAAATGAATGCGTGTCCACATCCACATTTCGTTGTGTTCTCGTCGTTTTGAAACATCAATTTGGGAACAACGGCCTGCAAGGGCGGTGCCTGCTCCGTTGGCTCACGCGCACAGTATCACTCTCACATACACACACTGACGCACACGCACGCATTCACACTACGACTTTTGGTACATCGCATTGCGACCCGGCTTGGACCCGAGGCGGCGGTGCCTCTGGGAGGGCGCTGGAGTGCGCCTCGCCCCCACTGCCGGCACTGCAAGGCACTGCCAAGGCACTGCCCCGATGTGGATCGGCGTGGGGACGGCGCGCACCCCAGCGCCGCTTCCCGGCAGAGCCGCGCCGGGGTGGTCGCCTGCGAGGGAAGGTCCAAGGTCCCGGGGCCGAGGCCGGCACCGTCACACAACACTTTCTATCACTGAGGCCGTCGCACTGGTGGGGCGGGCTAGGGCTGGCGGGGGAGGAGCGACTCTCGTCGGAAACGTCCTCGTCGTTCCTGTCCCCCGCGCCATCCTGCTGGACGCCATCCTGGCCGCCATCCTGGACGCCATCCTGGCCGCCATCCTGGAGGCCATCCTGGACGCCATCCTGGACGCCATCCTCGCCATCCTGGCCGCGCGGCGCTCACTCCCCGGCCGAGGCGAGGAACAGCGCCCTGGCGGCGCGGCGGGCTCTCCTGGCGGCGCGGGCGCCGCTCGCGCGTATCACGGGGCAGTGGCCCTCGTCGGCGGCGTCCTGGCAGTCGGCGTGGCCGTCGCACAGCATGTCCAGGGCGATGCAGCGGCCGTCCAGGCAGCGCAGCTCCTCCGCGGGGCACGGCGACAAGCCACCCAGGGCTGCAACACGGACGCAAGTCAAGACGCGGGTTCGATTCCCCTCCCACCGACATTGGTCGAAAAAAAAAGGCATCAGCGCTGGTTCTGATTGGATCAGAAAGCGTCAGTTTGCTTCTCCGAGACTACGGTGCTCATGAATGAACTACGACGACAAAAAAAATGTGAAGGGAAACTACGAAGCACCGGAGAGAACCAAACAAAACTGTGTGCGATGATTCCCGTTTATGGATCACATGAGGTGCACTCAACAAGACGCAATGGTTCAGATAGTTGCAAAGGTTTTACCCAACCACCAACCGCAGCCAGAATCCAATCCAGGATGCGACACATAGGTCAAGTTTTATCCGTCATCGTCTCCCATTGGTCGTCGGGCCGTCGCCTCCGGTTCGGCGTTGAAGATGGCGTCGAAAGTCGTCCACAGTCCTTAGCTTGGAAAAACGTGATCAGAGAGTCACAAACTTACTTCACGATTTACATGTGCCACGGCTACCGTGACAAGCAGCTCTAAGGGGAAGGTGAACAAAAAAAAGGTGCTCAGGAAATTATTTACAATATGAAAATTACGGCAGGTAAGAAGCTACAATGTGCGCGGGAAGCGGTGCCCCAGGAGGCAAACTGTAAAAAGCCCCGGGACACAAAGCGATGACGAGTCAACAAAAAGTGCCGAGGTCATAACAATATTTTTAAGAAAGGGTTATGAAGCGACCGAACACCTGTACGTACCGGGCGGATGTCGGCTGGCCGTGGTTAGATGCTTAAATTCTCTCTAGAGTTGCATTAACTGCTGGAGCCGCATCTGTAAACAGCGTTCATCGGAGTTTTTGGAAAATAAATGAATTAGTTTGTTTGCCAACGGCGAGAAAGACAACAGAGTGTGATTCGAGGAAAGCCTGAGACCGCAGATCCCAGCAAATGCAAGTTCTAGTCCGTGTTGTCTGGGCAAACGAGTAGCGTACGGACTGCAGGCCGAACGAGGCTTCGGCTCACGCGGCCCTCCCTCCACAGAGTGTACCCGTCGTCACTGTCACACGTCGCGAGTCGACATCTTCACCGCCACCAGACCATCGTCAGACCATCGTCAGACCACCCCAGTCGCGGTAGTTTCTATCACGATCGTCGGGACGCAGGCACGCAGGCAACGGTCCCCTGGAGACTGCAGTGCAGACCGCGGGCCGAGCACCGCCGGGCCGGACTAGTCTAGTCCTAGATCTAGGACTCTAGGACGGCCTAGTCCTCCGGACGAGCGCCCCCGCCGCTGGCTCTGCTGGACGCACCTGCCGCGCCGGTGTTGGCCGCGCACCCCACCTCGTCGGAGCCGTCGGCGCAGTCCTGGCGGCCGTCGCAGCGCAGCGACGCCCTCACGCAGACCACGCCGCCGGGGCCCGCCGCGCCGCTGGACTTGCACCTGGAACGCAAAACCGTGAACCATGGCGCTAGTTTCACTCACCAGTCGATGGCTATTTGGCAATGCCCACAGGATATTTCTAATGTCCCACAGTGTATCTCTCAAGTCCCACAGACTAGGGGCTGGTGCTTGCCTGAAGTGGTCGTCGGGGCAGATGCTCGTGCAGTTGCGCTCGTCCGCGCCGTCCGCGCAGTCCGACCGGCCGTCGCACAGCCACCGCTGGGGGATGCAGGTGCCGTCGCCGCAGCCGAACTCCCTGGGAAGGCAGCTGCCACCTGCGGGGGAAGTCCAAGGTTCAAGCACCGGCGGCGGCAGCGAGGTTTGCCTCTTGATTTCAGGGCTGTATAAACGCAAAGGACGGCGTACCTCCTGCACTCAGGTCCAGGCACTCGTCACCGTGCGGGCTGTCCGGGTAGTAGCTGCAGTCGAACACTCGCGACAGGTCCAAGTTGTTGAGGATGAAGTCCTGGCAGTCCTCGGCCACAGCTGCAATTTTGAGATTGATCAATGTCGAGGTCTTTGTTTACCACGAGCGGGCCCAGCCCAGGGCGGCCACGACGGCTTACCTCTGCACAGCTTGCGGCACGGCCGGCGCGGCTGCACGCCCCTGGGCACGCACTCGGGCTCCAGCAGCGGGCACAGGAAGGCCCTGACGCGCGCCGAGCAGCCCGACTGCGCCACCAGCTCGAAGTAGGGCAGCGCGGCGTGCAGGTCGGCGGAGGAGCGCAGTGCAGGCACCTGCGGCACGGACGGCCTGGCCAGCGTCAGGTCGTACGGCAGCAGTCCGCGGCACAGCGGCAGGCGCGGCGACTCGCACTCGTCTGGAGGGAGAGAGAGCATTCACAGTGAGTCAGCCAGCGCCGGGGAGGCAGGCAGCCCAACGCGCGCCGCGGAGAGCAGTGGGACTTCCCCGGCCTCCCCGGGGTAGCTCCCGGTCGCGGTCCTCACCGTCGGCGGGCGCCTCCGGGGCGGGCGTGGGCGTCGGCGTGACGCGGTGCACCAGGGACAGGCGCGGCGGCAGCGTGGGCGACACGGCGGGGGAGGGCGCCCTGGTGGACGGCGACGGCGACGAGCTGCTCGCCACTGGCCACTGGTCTCCAGCCTGGGGGTCACAATGAAATTCCCTCAAGATCTTGGTCCACGACACCCGCGGGGCCTTGGTGACAGCATGGTGACAGGCCGCACCTGCGTGTCGCCGTAGCGGTGGCCGTTGAGCACCCTGGGCGCGGGCGTGGAGCTCCACAGGCTGAGGATGGACTCGAGGAACTCGGGCAGCGTCTGCTCCGTGTCGCCCTCGTACTCGGCGTCGCCGTCGTCGCCCTCGATCACCAGCTCGTCCGTGTCGTACACCATCTCCTCGTCGTCCTGGAACGGGATTGGAAACAAACGTGGATTAACGCCGAGGCCGTGCGCTACACAGTGGGCCAGAAGACCGGTGAAGGCGACCAAAACTCTAGAGGTACAGAGTCGCTAAGCAGGACTCGAACCGAGCGTGTGACCCCGACCAATGGATTCCTCGTTCGAAGAGCAATCCATTGGTGGGGTCACACGTTCAGTTCGAGTCCCATTTAGCGACTCTGGAGCTCAGAACACGTCTAGAGTTTTTGCCGCCTCCACCGGTCTTCTGGCCCACTGTGCGCTACCCGCCGCAAGTGCCTCGCGTGGTCGGTCGCCTCGCGGGGGTTCCCTGTTGCCTGTCTATGACGTGACTGCGCGAGGTTTCGTTTCCCCAGTGTAGGAACGCACAGCGCGAGCGCGTGCGTATACGTATGGACCGCGCCGTGACATAAACTCGGCGATATTGCATTACCGCTCCGCCACGCCACGCCCTCCCACGTCCGTGTGCGTGTGTGCGTGTGTGTGTGTGTGCGGTTGTTTGTAAGGAAGAGGCTGCCGGCATGCAGCACTGTGTGTGGGAACCAGGTCCGGTCCCTGCACACCACGCACCCCGAGGTGCGCTAGGTCGTGCTGCTGGAGATTAGTCGGGCTGCTCGCTTGGCTCGGCGCCGCGCTTACGTCAGTCTTTGATCCCGACGCCGCCGTCTGGTTGACCGGCGGCACGCTGCCGTTGCCGACGGGCTCAGCGTCCGCGCCGCTGGAGGACGGCGTCGTCGTCGACACCCTCTTCGTGGTGGACGTTGTCGTGGTCGTGGAGGAGGTAGAGGTGGACGACGTGGAGGTTGACGCGTCCCTGGATGCCTCCTCTTCCGCGGGCCGTCCAGGGGAACCTGCAGAGTGCAGAGCAGCGTGCGAGTCAATATCGACATGGACGTGATCAACTACACCAACTGCTACGCGACATACTACTCAACAACGAACCTGGCAGCGTGAGCGCGTCGTCGGCGTCCTCGTCGTCGCCGTGGTCCGGGGCCGCGGGCATCTCGTCGGCCGTGCTCCAGTCGCCTGCGGGCAAGCCGGGAGCGGCATTGGGATCAGTGGACGTGCCAAAGACGGAAAGCGATCGGAGATTAGATCCCCTCGCCTCGCGCCACCTTCGCCACTTTGGAGGAAGTGGATCGGGCCCTGCCTCGCTCCGCCTGCAGACTGATTCCGAGAGTCGCTTTCGTCGCTGTGTCTCTCTCACACCTTAACGGAACGCCCCGTGAGTGCGAGAGAGACACAGCGACGAAAACGACTCTCGGAATCAGTCTGCTGCTTCGCTGCGAGCTGCGTGCCCTCGCCGGGGGTCAGAGCCTGCCTCTGTCTGCCGCCAATCAGTAGCGGGGGCGTGGCGGGGCGCGGCGTATCGAGCACCGCGATGGCGGCCGCCCACCCACGCCACGGCGCGCCACGGCGTGTTCCATGTCACAGTCCTTGACCTCGGCAGTGCGTTGTGCTCTGGTTGACTAAATGCTGCCGCCCGAGCCAGCCAGCCAGCCAGCTACCCGCCGCCGTCAGGGCCGACGGGTACCTCCGGGTGGGCGGGCCAGGGAATGCGTCCGGGTCTCTTCTCGTCTCTCGGCCCGCGCGTCGCGTCGCCTTCGGGCAGAAGTCGAGGGCTTCACGTCGCGACGGTCGCCGCTGGGGCCCTGGGAACGCAAGGGGGTGCGGCGCGACGCGGCACCGCGACTCCGCGGTGGGCCGGCAACGTACTCCGACTCCGGTCAAAAGCCCACCATTCAAGTGCGCCGCTTACAAAAGAAAGCCACCGACACGCAAAAAGCCAAGTCGGAGAGAGAAAAAAGAAACGCGGTGCGGGTGTTCGAACCCCGGTCATTGTGTTTGCGGTCCCACAGGTGGCCGGCCTGCGCGCCGCCGATTGAGTGATTAATAAAACCACAATGGCATGGCGTGGAATGCAGCGGCGTGTCGCGTGGCGGCTGGCGGCGGCCTGACCCTGGCGGCCTGGCGGCCTGGCGGCCCCACCCACGCCGGCGGGGCGTGGCGGGGCGTGGCGGGGCGTGCCGGCAGGCTTCTGTCTAGTAATGGCGATCGACTATTCTTCCGTGCGTGTTGATCAACTTAACTCGCTCGCTCGGCTTTGGCTACTTCCTGGCGTTCTTCGCCGTCGGCGCTCCCAAACAGCCGTCCCTGCCCTGCCGAGGCGTGCCAAGGCGCCCGGCCTCCGCCGCCCCGTCTCCGCCACAAAGACGGCGTGGCCGTGCCCGTCGGCCGCCCTGCCCGCCCTGCCCGGCTCGAGTTCTCGTCGCTCGCATCGCATCGCTTTGGCTGTCCGTCGTTGGGATAATCGCTGGCGGTGGTCCAACGCTTTCCCCGCCAAACTGCAGAGCAGTCTGCAGTCGTCCTCTTCGTCTTGCCCTTGCCGGCCGCTTGTCGCAGCGGGAGACGCAGCAGGAGCTGGAGAGCAGCGCGCCGAACCGGCGTACCGGCGTGCCGGCCGCTCTAGCGCCTGCCAAGGCGGAGCTAGGCAACCAGCACACTGGCACGCACCGCCGTGCGCCGGGCTGGCCTACGCGGCAGGCGTCCCTCGACCCGCGCGCCGCGCCGCGCCGCGCCCCGCCCATGTTGCCCGTGTTGTCCTCCCTCGACCCGGAGGCCCGACGGATGACCGGCCGAACGGCCGACCGCAGGGAGAAAGGCCGAACAAGAGAAGCGCAAAAACAAAGCAAAAAAGGAAAGGGAAGAAAAAGACACGCGGTTCAGCCCGCCGCCCTGACGGGTTGTGGGTTGCACAACCATTTTATAAACAGTTCCGTTCTTAGGACAAGCGACATTCGATCTCTGCGCTGCTCTGCGCTCGGCGGCGTGGTGCGGCGTGGCGTGGGGCGGCGGGGGAGGACTTTCGCTCCACGGCTGTGGGCGAGGCTGTAGGGGTGCGGCGAGGAGCCTACCGCCATCCTCCATGCCGTTGCACACACTGTACCTCGGACCCGCCCCCACCCGCGACCGGCCGGCCGGCCCCGCCGATCAATTACGACAATAATAACTTCGATAGTATCGAAATGTCATTTCGAGCTCTCGGCACGCACCGCGATAGCCGCCCCGTTCGTTTGTCTTTCCGCGGCAATCGCGGAGGTCATCGCGGAGGCGCTGGCGGCCAGGGCGCAGCCAGGGCGACCCTGGCAGGGCAGAATCGGCGCTAGTCCGCGCGCTTTTTCGCAACGCTTCAATTTTGAAAGGCGCGCGCGGAAGGCGGGCGGGGTTTCCGAATGCCAACGAGGCCCTGCGCACCGCAAGGCCGACGGGGCGGGGCGGGGCGGGGCGGCTGGGCACGGCACCGCCAGGGCAGCGTAGCAGCGCACCGCGACGCCACGTCAAAGTCGCAAAAAGGAGCTTGATTTCCGATGACAGTGTAGTGCAGTATCTCCGCCTGCCATCTGCAGCCTTCGCCTTGCCTGCCTTCGTCGTGCAGGCGGGCCACTCGGCCACGTATCCCACGGCCACGCTGGCTTTTCAGTTTAGCGCGTGAATTATGATTTGGTCCGCACTGCCGAGCGGCCGGCCCGGCGGTCGGCCCTGCTTTCGTCGCTTTGTCTCTCTCGTGCTCACGCGGCGTCCCGTGGGAGTGAGAGAGACGGAGCGGCGTGCCGGCCAGGGCGGCCAGGGCGGCCAGGGCCACGGCCTGCACCATTGACTCCGCCGTCGGCCACCTCGCCGCCCGAGTTACGGCGGCATCGGCACGAGGACCAAATTAACGTTTACCGCTGATTCGGCGAGCATTAAACGAAACGTCACTCGGAGTCGGAACGGCCACCACAGCGGCAGTGGCGCACGCAGCACGCAGCGACTCCCCGGCCCGGCCCGGCCCGGCCGGCCCCCTCTGTGCGTTATGCAGATGGCCAGCCTGCTTGCGCGGCTGTGCGCTGTGACCGCACGGCGCAGCACGGACAGCGAGGATCGGCCAGGTCGGATCGTCTTCTTCATTTTGGCTTCCTTTTGTGAAAGTGAATATGAAAATGGTTCGCAGAAAGGGACGGTGCAGTCGAAGCCCACCGGGCCTGTTTTGCATGCAGTGCGCGCAGGTCGAGCACTGGCCCACCTTCGGTCCGCCCCGCCCCGCCCCGCCCCGCCCCGCCCCGCCCGCCCCGCCCGCCCGCCGCCCCGACGTGTCGCCAATATTACATATCCCGTCCATTTGGCCCATTGGCATTCATAAACCGACACGAACTGGAACTGCGGGCTCCGAAACAAGTGATCAGTTCCGCGACAAGGCTCGGCCTGCAGGCTGGTCCCGAGCACTGTCTCTCTCGCAGCCGTACGGGAAGGCCCAGGAGTGCGAGAGAGACAGGACGACGAGTTCTGTTCGGAGCCAGCCTGCTGGTATGGCGTGCGCCGACCGAATGCAAATGAAACAATCTGCACCGTTTTTATTATTTATTTTTATTTCACGCGCGGAAGAAAAGTATTATTCAATCAGATTCGAGCTCTCTGGCAGACTTTCTGAATTCAAGAGTGCATTTAATCGGAGAATGAGATTGAAAATGAGGAAAACCACCGTTTTCAGTGTGTTTCATACTGACCTGTCGGGGGCTCCTTGCCGTTCAGATCGGGGCCCTGGTGCGACGTCGCCTCGTTGTGCAAGCCTGGAATAGACAAATACGAACGTTAATTGAAAGAAGAGGCAAAAAGCACCTCGCACGAGCGGCAAGCGCTGCAGAGCCCGTGGACGAAGCACCACTGCAAAAAAAAAGAACAACGACGGCAGTTAACTTTAAAAGGACGGCGAGAAAAAAGGGGGATCCGCCCCTTCCGGCGCTCGAACCCGCGTCTCGAACGGCGGAGTGACCTCTCGGCCCACTCCACTCCGACGTCCGGCACGAGGGGCCGCGCGGCCGAGGGACAGGGCCCTGCACGCTGGTTCCGAGAGTCGCTTTCGTCGCTCTGTCTCTCTCGCACTCGTGGTGTGCTCCGTATGCGTGCGAGAGGGGCGGAGCGACGAGAACGACCCTCGGAATCAGTCTGCTGGAGTCTCCGCAGACGTCCTGGAGAATGGGCTGTAAATCCAGCAGCGGGGCGAGACAATGTAAGCGGAAAAAACGTGTGACACGTGTAGGGCCGGGCGGTTGCCTGGCGGCCAGCCGGCCTGGCGGAGCTGGCAGCCGTATATCATGCCGAAATGGAAACGCTGTCGTCTTAGCGTCTCGTCCTCCATTTGTAGGGAAGCACTTTCCAACCGCCCACGAGAGTCGTTTTTGTCGCCTTGTCTCTCTCGCACCAATACGGGACGCCCCATGAGAGCGAGAGAGACAGAGCGACGAAAACGACTCTCGGAATCGGTCTTCAGCGGCCGGAGAAGAGAAGGGTCGTTAGCGGCCAACGCGATCGGCGGGAAAAAGATGTTTGCTTATTTCAGCGTCCTTGCTCATGCGCGGCTTCGCGGCGCCATCTGCCCCTCGGGGCTGCAGCGCCCAAGGCAGCGCCGCGACCTCCGCCGCTTTCTAGGCGGTTCCAAAAAATCGAGTCGAAAAAACCTCTAACGAGCTGGCTAGCGCGGAGGCTGGAGTGAGGCGCGACCTACACGACACCGGACCGCTCAATCAAAGTCCCCGCGCGGCCTTGCGACGGACACGCCGGACACGTCGGACAAGGCACGACTTGATCCGTTTTTCCCGGAAAGGCGTAAAACTGGGCCCTGGATTTGGGTCACGGGCGCGTCCCTGCGTTCGAGCGTCCTCGCGCTGTGCGTCGGAATGAAGAGTAGAAAGGAAGCTGGTGGTGCACAGTGGGCCAGAAGCCGGTGGAGGCGGCCAAAACTCTAGACGCGTTTTGAGCTCCAGAGTCGCGAAATGGGACTCGAACCGAACGTGTGACCCCACCAATGGATTCCTCGTTCAGAGAGCAATCCATTGGTGGGGTCACACGTTCGGTTCGAGTCCCATTTAGCGACTCTGGAGCTCAAAACGCGTCCAGAGTTTTGGCCGCCTCCACCGGCTTCTGGCCCACTGTGTGGTGGACTCCTCGCACCCTTAGGCGCATGTGAGAGGAGACAGGGTGACGAGAGCGCCGTGCGGAGGCAGCCTGCTGGCGGACGTGAGCCTCTAGTGTCGTGCGCGGTGCGCCGCGGTGCGCGCACTTCCGTCCTTGGCGCGCCTTGGCGACGCGCGCCCCGTCGCCGCGCCCTCGCCGCCTCGATGCAGTGCAGTATGCAGTCGCCACCGCGGTGACGGGCTGCCGGGCCGACGGCCTGGCGCGAGGCTACGCGAGGCCTGGCGCCCCTGGCGGGGGAGGCCGTCCACGAGCACGGAGCGAGCCGTGCCTCATCTAATTGCCATCGCGAGCTGTCCGTTCCGTCCGCGTCGCGTCGCGGGCCGATAAAGGGAAAGCGCCTTATGCCGCGCCACTGCCCGCTGCACCGCCTGGCCCTGCGCCCTGCGCCCTGCGCCCTACACTCGTACGATTCGTACTTCGTGCGACACGGCAACAAATGATCCGAACGCTTATCGGGCTGCCTCGCCAGCGCGGCCAGTGCGGCAAGGCGCGGGCCGCGGGCGTGAGTGATAAGAACCGGACGCGGAACAGAACAGCACAAGTTGACAAAGCGTCCTCCTGCAGTGATAGTGATAGCCCTGTGGCCTGGTCACGAGCCGAGCCGAGCCGAGCCGGACCGGGCCGAGCCGAGCCGAGCCAGACCGGGCCGAGCCGAGCCGAGCCGAGCCGGGCCGGGCCGGTGCGCGGACTCGGTACGTGGCCGTGCCTTATAGGTGCCCTGGATGACAGGCGCGGAATGGCGATGCGACGCCTCAGTGGCGCGGTGTGCGACGCGGCGTGCCAGCGCGGGGCTTTACGTAAACGAAAAGGTCCCCCATCGTCGCGGTGCAGTCTAGGCAGTCTAGGCGACCGGCCCAGCCACGGCGGCCTGACCCAAAAGGTCGAACACCAGAATGCACTTTTCATGTTACGGAGCGCCGCGCGCGACGCCCCCCCGCCCCGCCCCCCCCGCCCCGCCCCGCCCCCCCCCCCCCGCCCCGCCCCGCCCCGCCCCGCCCCGCCCCGCCCCGCCCCGCCCGCCAGACGCCTTCCCGATCTGATGACGCCGCCAGGAAGAGCGGCCCAGGATCATCGCGCAATGGCCGCCGCCATTGTAAAATTGATCCATAATTTTCTAAAATGCTTCTTGGCTGGCGGCCATGCTGTGGCCGTGCTGTGGCCAGGAGGACGCGAGCAGATGATTCCTATTCATGTTTCTTCCGCTTTATGGGTTCTCCGGTCCTTCGTCGTGCTCCCCGCGCGGCGGGGCAGTCCGGGGAAGTCCCCGACACCGGACACTCATTGGCCGTAAAGGGTGCTGATGGCGGCGCAGCGGCGCAGCGGCAGAGCACTGCACTGGCTTTGGCGCCTGCTCCTGGAAACTTGGCCGACCGGACGGGCCCGGCGCGGCAGTCTCGGTGCGGGGCGCAGATTGGCTTGGCAGGTGCGGCCGGCAAGGCGCAGCACCGCGCACAGTGGGCCAGAGGACCGGTGGAGGCGGCCAAAACTCTAGACGCGTTTTGAGCTCCAGAGCCGCTAAACAGAACTCGAACCGAACGTGTGGCCCCACAATGGATTCCTCGTTCGGAGAGCAATCCATTGGTGGGGTCACCCGTTCGGCTCGAGTCCCATTTAGCGAACCTGGAGCTCAAAACGGGATTTTGACCGCCTGCACCGGTCTTCTGGCCCACTGTGTTGTCCTAGAGTGAGCCGTCCTCACTGTTGGTGACGCGCTACGCGCTGGCCAGGGCATACGGTGTGCACACCTCCGTACTTTTTGCTTTTGTTTCTGTTCTCGTTTATCTCGGGCGGGATGACCGCACCACATTCCGAGACCTGTTTTTGTTACCCCTCTGCTCAATTTCTCTTTCGGCGAGGGTATAATTTTTGCCGCCTGTCCCTGATAGCATCACTGTCACCACCGCGTGGTGTTGTTATTCCGAGCGAACTGGTTTACTTCCTCCTCCTCCTTCCTCCTTCTTCTGTGCAGAGTGCCGAGCGTCTTCGGGGCCTCTCTTCTCGTGCGGGGCCCTTCGCGAGGCTAGCCCGAGGTGGTCGAAATTCTAGACGCGTTTTGAGCTCCAGAGTCACCCAATGGGACTCAAACCGAACGTGTGATCCCACCAACGGATTCCTCGTTCGGAGAGCAATCCATTGATGGAGTCGCACGCTCGGTTCGAGTCCCATTCAGCGACTCTGGAGCTCAAAACGCGTCTAGAGCTTTGGCCGCCTCCACCGGTCTTCTGGCCCACTGTGCTGCGATGCCATGTGCGGCTGGTGCGCCACCTGTGCCGTGCTCCGTGCCTGTCACTGGCCGCTGAATGCGCTGAATTTCGCGTGGCCGCGGACAAGGCCTCGCTGTGCGTGCACTAGACGGGACGCACCGCACGCGCAGATGGCCGAGTCACGACGCGGCCGGACCGAGTCCGAGCAGTGCTCTGCCTCGCTCCCTCTCCCTCCCGCGGGGCACCGTAGGGGTGCGAGAGAGACTGCGGCGACAAGGCACTGTTGGGAGGCAGCTTGCTGACGGCCAGGGGCCGCTGCTCGGGGCTCGGACTTGCAGTCTCGCCCCGTCAAAACGGATCTGACGCGAGAATGGATGATTCCGCCGACTGGGGTTTGCCTGAGGCGCGGCGTCCAAGGCTTCGCTATCCGCGGCGAGGGACGAACGCCGCTACCGAAAACCGCGCCGCCCGGCCGGGACGCGAACCTCGAACCCGCGCCGTCGAAGGGCGTCGGTGTGGCTAGGTGCAGCGCGGGCTGGGAATCTGGTGCGCACATCCCTGACCTTTCACGACCGTCGGCCGGGTCGGCCAGCAGACCGAGAGTCGTTTTCGTCGCTCTGTCTCTCTCGCACACACGGGACACCCCGTTCAGTTGCGAGAGAGACAGAGCGACGAAAACGACTCTCAGGCTGCAGGTCGGCCATCCGCGGAGGGCGTGGCCACGCCTCGGGCCGACAAGCCCCGCCGTGGTGGCGCTATTTTTTCCCTTTTGTTGGCGGGGGGCGGGGGGTGTCTCGGCCGGCACGTCCTTGCTCTGCATTGCCGTTCATCTGCCCGCTGCCGTGCGTTCCAGCCCCCCCCCCCCTCCCCCTTTATGAGCGCGCCGCCACTTCGTGACCGAAAAGTTGTTATCCAATTAGGAGCTGGAAAGACTCGCTGCGGAAAATCTCACATCTGTTGGCGGCGGCGAGGCGCGAGGCGGCGAAAAGGAGCCGCATCACGATTATGAAGGCCTAAAGGCCAAGCAGCCCCGCCTCGTTTTGACGCTCTGCCGCCCCGAATTCGGAGATTTAGAGTGCAGGCCCGCCAGGCCCGCCGCACGCTCTCGACTCCGCGGCCCGGAACTCTGCGGGACCCGCGGCGTGCACGACAAAGAGCGCATTCCGGAACGTCGGCCACCCCCACGCAGAGAGAGAGACACCCTGATGTGTCCGTCGTCTGGTGAGCAGCGCGAAATGCCAAGGGTTTGGCCGCGCGCTCATTCCGAACGGCGCTCTCTGTCTCTCTCGCACTCCTCCGCGTGAGTGCGAGAGAGACAGAGCGACGAAAACGACCGAGAACGACCCTCGGAATCAGTCTGCAGAGTTACGGCCCTTTGATATCCTGTCGCATTATGCGGGCGGTATGATCGGCCGAAAGGGGGCGGGGGAGGGGAGGGGGATGCCAGTGCGGCTTCAAGCGTCGTTATGTCACCGCTGGCAGTGGCGCGGCAGTGGCGTGGCAGTGGCGGGCTCGTCGAGTTATTGGGGTGTTTACGCGCGGCCCGCCGAGAAGACCGCCGAGAAGACCGCCGAAGACCGCCGGGAAGCACACGCAACGACACTCCAACGGCGTGCCAGCCGTCGAGGGAGTTAGGTTAGGTTAAGTTAGGTTAAGTCCAATATTTTAATTTCGAATCAAGTTAAGTGATAAGGCCAGGTAAAAGGCCGTCTCAAAATTCGGTGCCGCGAACTAAGAAAGCAAACAAACGCCACAGTGGCTCCGAAAAGAACTGCGCTATCGTCGCTCTGTCTCTCTCGCACTCACACGGCCTCCCCTTGGGGAGAAAGAGACGGAGCGGCGAAGCACAGTGTGGCGGCTTAGGCCGTTTCCAGAGCAGATGAGTGATTATACCGCGTTCCAGTTGAGTCCGATTACTTTTTTCCTGGAGAGACTAATGATGCGGATCGCGGCCCGCTGTGCTAGTTTGGCTAATTCAATCAATGGATGACGGCGATAGTCGGAAAGGTTATCCAACGGGCCATAAGCTAATCCGAGATATTAAGCGCGATTAGGGTTTGGGAGCAAGGAGGAAGAGGTTAAAAAAATAAAAGCGAAAAAAAAATCTCATTCAACGAACGTTAATGAAAGCAGATGATCCGTCGCGTTTCACAACTGCTGTGATAGCCGAGAGGTTAGAGACGTGGGATCGAGTTACCGCAGGCCGGCGTTCGAATACCAGCGTCACAAAAGTTTTTTCGACTTGCTATCCCAAGGGTGGTGGTTCGAGGCCATGAGAGCGGAGCCGTGTGCAACAGGCCCACATGCCGGAGGTTCGACTCCTAACAAATATTTCCATTTAATTTTACTGCCTCACCCAGTGCGGTTCAAACCCGTAAACGTGAGCCCACTCCGAGCATGGGACGTGGTGGTCCAGGGAGTAGAGGCGTCGGTTCTCAGTGCTAGGGCCAGCGGTTCGACTCCCCCAACTTCTTGCGAAATTTTGACCGGGTCGGTCGAGTCCTGTTGCTTCAAGAACCCACCTCACGCCGATTCCCTCATCATGGGCCGTGGTGGCCGAGAGCGTAAAGTCGTGTGATCCCGATGGCGGGGTCCGGGGATCGAATCCCATCATGTCATTACATTTTTCGACCGCCTTCCTCCCAGTGCAACTCAAACCCGTCGTCCAACACGCTGCCAGACGTACAAGCGTGATAGCGTAGTGGTCAGAGTCACATTCACCTGGCCTCTACGCTGTGGGTGTCTAAAAAGCAATCCGCTTCGGCGGGTTGGCCTCGGCACTGGAGCGATGGAGTATTTGATCCATCAATCCAGACCATCCGGTGTGTGGTTGCGGGTGGTGCCTCCTTGACTCGTCGGGGAGGCGATGATAAGTCCTTTGAAGCTGGCCTAAAACGCTGTATGTTCGGTACGGGAGCGCCGGACAGTGGGGGTACCATGGGGTACACAACCAACCCTACGAAAACAAGAAGCTCCCACCAAACCTCTTCTCTGTCTGAGTCTCTCTCTGTCTCTCTGTCGTCTCACTCTACGTCCCGCCCCTCAAAGAGCTTCGTACTGGGTGCTCTCACCCAGCTGCCTGAGCTTTGGGGTCCTACTGGGTCCCCCGGCGAACGCTTGGGTCGCTGACGGGATTAACCCCAGGTACCTGATAGCACCGGTTCCCATCCCGAACACCGAAGTAAAGCAGGAGGCCTCCCCATTAAGACTGGGGAGGGGGTGTAGAGTTCAAATTTTTTCTTTTCCCTTTCAAATTTTTCGGTTTACTAGCCGTGCCGAGCTGTGGCCTGCACCGCCCGCCGCCGAGCCCGAGCTGGCCCCGATGAGTGCCCCGGGCCGGGCCGAATCGGGAGGTATTGTTGCGCGATATTCCGCGCCGTGGCAGGCGGGGAGGGATTGTCAATGTTGCGCGGAGGCCGTGGCAGGCCGTCGCGAGCGAGGAGGGGGTGCCATTGTTTACGCCCGGTGCCGCTGGCGCTGTACCGAGGAGGTATTGTCGAATTCCGTGCAGGCTGCGCCTCATTGCCAGACACACGCACCAGCCCGCCCCGGCAGCCAGCCCCTATTATATTGTTTAGGATACGCGCTTCGTTTCTGGACTCGAGAGTAAAAGCACGCTGACACCTTCATGTGTATAGTAGTTTTAAGTATGTTTCAAGTGTGAAGGTATCATCTGCTAAAAACCCGGCGGTTCTTCCGAGTGCATGGACGCGCGAAATCTCTAGTCCATCTCTCCCTCTCTTTCTCTCTCGAGTAGTGTGGCCCAGAGCTGGTGTGGCCGCTTCGCACCCGCTTGCGCTGGGCCGGTTGGGGCCGGAGTGGGGGAGCCAATGGGCTCGAATGGGCCGATAAGCATCGACGACTCTTTCAGGCCGCGCCGGCCGTGCAATGGCAATGGGTCAGCGCGTAATGGGGTAGTGGTCGAAGCATGCTACCCTTTGACGAGTGTAGTGTGGGGCCGAGCGCCGCACAGTGGACCAGAAGGCCGGTAGGCGGCCAAAATTCTAGACGCGGTTTAAGCACCAGAGTCGCTGAATGGGACACAAATCGAACGTGTGATCCCACCAATGGATTCCTCGTTCGGAGAGCAATCCATTGGTGGGGTCACACGCTCGGTTCGAGTCCCATTTAGCGACTCTGGAGCTCAATACGCGTCTAGAGTTTTTGCCGCCTCCACCGGGCCTTCTGGCCCACTGTGCGGCAGGCCGCCACCGCGGCTGCTTGTTATAATAAGCAAGGCAACAAATCACGCGCCGCTTTTGGTTCCTTGTTTCTGTTCAAACTGCTTATTACTTTTGCTATCGGCCCGGACTGCCGCTATCAAGGCGAGGTGGTTCTCGTGGACCGACTCCTTCCGTCTCTCTTGCACCCCTTCGGGGCACGAAGCGCCCCGCAAGTGCGAGAGAGACGGAAGCACCGCTCGGCCGTCTGGGCGACGTGCCCGTTCCATTAGGTCCCCGCTGAGCCTCTTTTGAAAGCCCCCGAAAGCGCATGGTCTCGATCCGAACAATGCCCTCCGTCTCGCTCTCACACCCGTGCCGGATGCGCCGTGAGTGCGAGAGAGACAGCGCGACGTCGTTCGGAGTCGGCAGCGTGCGTGCAAAGCGCAAAGCGCCCGTATGATTGCCTCTCGGAAGTCGGGCAGCGCCGGGCAGTGGCGTGCCGCCAGCCTTACCTCCGGACTGGCCCATGCCGCTCTTGGCGAGGAAGAAGATGGCCACGGCGAGGGAGACGGCCACCAGCAGGGCGAGCAGCAGCCACCGGCACAGCGGCCACCAGCGGGCCAGCGGCGCGGCCAGCGGCGACCCCCAGCGCCAGCGGCCGCGGGGAAGCACCGCCAGCCCGGACAGCGGCAGTGTGGGCAGCGGGCTGGGCCGCGGCAGGGTGGTGCCCGCGGGGTGGAACACCGGGTCCGGCAGGCCCTGCAAGCAGATTGGCAGACGTCAGCGACAGCAGCGACAACGGGCACAGTGGGCCGGAAGACCGGCGCAGGCCGCCAAAACTCTAGACGCGTTTTGAGCTCCATGTCGCCAAATACGACTCGAATCGAACGTGTGACCCCACCAATGGATTCCTCGTTCGGAGAGCAATCCATTGGTGGGGTCACTCGTTCGGTTCGGGACCCACTTAGCGACTCTGGCTGGAGCTCAAAACGCGTCCCTGACCGGGCCTCTGACCCACTGTGCCAACATTTTCACCTTCATCACCTACAACACGTGCTCATACGCTTTGCACTAACTGATATTGTTTTTCAATCTGTCAAGAAGCCTCCAAAAACCCGACCGGAAAAAAAGACGGTCACTTCTGCTTCAATAGGCGCACCGTGGTATACGCAGGCAAGGCAGCACAGTGTCTTGTCAGCCCTCGTTATAACTCTCGGTGTCTTTTACTTTGTAATCCCATCCCAGGGGTGCTCATTAACCGTAGGTGCGCTTGCAAATCCACTCTCACACACACACTCACACACACACGCACACACACGCACACGCACGGACGCATACTCGCACACACTGTTGTTGTGTTGCGTTCCCGTGTGCAGTCGGTTCGGTTCACTTGCGTCATCTGACGCCATGCGCATACGCATCACACACACAGACGCATTATGCGCTGGCGGGGCCAGGGGGTGGGGGTAATTTGGGCTCGCATGGCGCCGCGCGGCGCGAGGGGCGCGAGGGGCGGGCAGGAAGGGGCAGGAAGGGGGGCAGAGGTTAAGTCCCCCGATGACAGCGGCCCGTCGGCACGGCTCTGCCCGCCATGCTCGTAGGTAAGACGTCTCGGTAAGACTGCCATAAAGTGTGGACTTGTGCGGCCGGTCGCCGCCCCAGGGAGGCATCGTCACTCACTCACACACACGTACACACACACACACACGCACAGTCACGGACGCCATCGCACTTGTCGAGAGATTTTGTTGTCAAATGAGTGACAATCGATTTCGTCAGTGGTCGCTTCCGCCTGAGGCAACACTCTTGACCGGTCATCCCGCGGCTGACTCGCCAAAAGGCGGCTGACGGGCAGGTGCGGAGAGAGCGAGGGAGTGAGAGAGAGAGAGAGAGAGAGAGAGAGAGAGAGAGAGAGAGAGAGAGAGAGAGAGAGAGAGAGAGAGAGAGAGAGAGTACGCAGCGTGAGAGCGAGGAGGAGCCTGCGGAAGAGCTGCCGCTTCTAGCGGATTAGACATTTGCTCGTGTGTCTGCGTGCGTGTGTGTGTGGGGTTCGGACTAGATCCTGGACACCACCATCACAATCACACTCAAGCATATTTCTAGACATTGAAACTCTGCCTGTGAAACTCTGCAGGGAGAGGGCAACGTCGCAAACGGGGCCCGAGGAGGTTAAATGATGTGCTAAGTTGGCCGGCGATGCTTGGAGCCGATTGGCTGGCGTTGCCTGCCGCGCGGAAGCCTGTCCGATAGGGATCGACTGGCCGGCCGGGGCCGGGAGCATCACTGTCTGCTGCGAGTCCTGCCGGCCGGGCTGCCGGCCTGCCAGGCCCATTACCCACCGCACCGTGTCGTCCGACGTCGGCTCGCTCAGCCGCCTCGCGGGTCGGGTCACCGCAGCCCCGCCAGCCCCGCACAGTGGGCCAGAAGACCGTGGAGGCGGCCAAAACTCTAGACGCGTTTTGAGCTCCAGCGTCGCTAAATGGGACTCGAACCGAACGTGTGACCCCACCAATGGATTCCTCGTTCGGAGAGCAATCCATTGGTGGGGTCGCACATTCGGTTCGAGTCCCATTTAGCGACTCTGGAGCTCAAAACGCGTCTTTGAGTTTTGGCCACCTCCACCGGTCTTCTGGCCCACTGTGCCCCGCCAGCCCGCAGCACCAAGAATAAAACACTCGCCAAAAAACGAAACACCCCGAAGAACGAAAACAAAAAACAAAGGCAAAACTTTTGGATGCGCGTCTGAGCCCTTCCTCGTTCGGCCGGAGGAGAATCGAAGCCCTCTATCGATATATCGGGAACACTGCCCGACCGCATCGTTACATAAAGCCGCTTTATTGAATAATAATGACGCAATTAAAACGTCGCACGCGCGGTTTATCGAGTGCGGTAGTCATCCGATTCCGCTCTGTCTCTCTCGCACCCTTCCGCGACGGCCCGTGAGTGCGAGAGAGACAGAGCGAGTTTGGAATCGTCAGCCTGCAGACGATAGCACTGCGTACATCTCCTTGAACGGCAGCGGCACAGCAGCGACGCGCATTAAGTTGTTGGAAAGATGCAGGGCGTTTTACGAGTGGGACAAAGTGTCGACCTTTCCAGGGCGGCTGGCTGGCTGGCTTGGCTGCAGGCGGACTGATTCCGAGAGTCGTCGCTCTGTCTCTCTCGCACCTGTAGGGGACGCCCCATGAGTGCGAGAGAGACAGAGCGACAGAGTCAGTCTGCTGCCGGACTCGGCGCGCGGCGAATCGCAGCGCACGCGTTGAAAGTGGCGCTTATTAAAAGGCGAGCCAACTGGCGCGCAACGCGTGCCAAACACTAAAACGGCCGCAATTAGGCAAAAAAGAGGCGCATTGTCATGCCGTGAATACGTGGTTGCGCAACGGACACGTCGTTAAGTCGGCGAAAAAAGGGGTAAAATCGAAGCCGCACCACTCTGAAAAGCTGCGGAGCCGCATGCGAAGGAGAGGGAGGGAGACACTCTTCTTTATCGGCCTCGGGGAGGGAGAGAGACGAGACGGCGGCCGTTTCGGAGCGCGATCTGATGATAGAGTGAGACGGAGACATTCAGATTAGGGCATCTTGTTGCGTTGCGCATTGTGCGCAGAGGTAGTTTCAGATTCGGATCGTGAGGGGGTCGCAGGCAGGCCGTTTAAGGACACTTAGGACGCCTGGAGGCGCTTGAGGCCGCCGAAGTACTGCACTGTACTGCACATGGCGCGAGGGCGCTCTATCGCGCCCCCGGCCGAATCCTCTGTAATGCTAGATGTTTATCACGGACTTTGCCTTTTCTTCATCAGCGTGCTCGCCGGGTGCCCGCTTCGCCCGATTGGCCGCCAAGTTGCTCGAGGGAGCTTAAGACCGTTTCAAGGGTGTCGAAAGTGGCATTGCGACCGAGGCCGCCGCCTAACGCCTCGCCTAAGAGCGCAGACTGCCCCGTGCAATCCTTCCTTCATCCTTAATCCGCGAACACAGAACAGGGAAGCAATTACTCTGCGACACGATCCAACGCTCCAATGGCGACGCAAAAAGGCGGCAAGGCGCGTGCTGCCTGCCTGGCTCGCTGCCTGCCTGCGTGGCTGCGGGGAATAAGGCCATATCTCTCTGCGGCTGCGAGGCGCAAGTAGCTCGCGGCGCGCGACAGGGAGCCGTACCGTTTTCATCCCGTCCGCCGCCCCGCCCCGCCCCGCCCCGCCCCGCCCCGCCCCGCCCCGCCCCGCCCCGTGACACTGAGTGACGGATGGCATGCAGTCAAGGTGACCCACTCACTCCCCCGCGACGAGGGCGCCGCCGCCGTTTCGCCGGGAATACGGAACGCGCGGCGCGGCGCGGCGCCCCGATCCGGGACGATGGATGGAGACGTCGGCGACGTCGTCGACACGTCCCCGTCGGTCACCGCGGGGTCGCCGTCAACGCGGTCTTCATCGCGGCGGGGAGAATGCCCGCCAGCCTTGGCGCCCCGGCATTCAGGAATGGCGAATCCAGGATCCGTACGCAGACACACACACACACACACACACACACACACACAGAACACGCGCGCCTTGTCCGTCCAAGAAGGGCTGCGCCACGGACACGTGTCGCGTCCGCGAATGGCGACGTTCACCACGTGTGTGACTGTGTGAGTGATAGCCGTGACATTGCACACCTAGTACGCCACCACGCGTGCCTCTGTGTGTGTGCGTGTGTGTGTGTGTACGTGTGTGGTTTATGGTTATATAAGAGAGCGGCTCGCTGGACGTCCTGCAGGCCGTGCAGGCCGAGGCGGGGGTCGAGCGACGGACTCCCCGACACCGGAGACCCGGAGACTTGCACGCGGGAGGCCTGCCAGAGCGCGCGGCCGCGGCCGGGCCGGCAGGGCAGGGCCTGGTGTCCAATGGGTCGTAAACGACCGGCTGTGCCCCTGTTGTTCCTGATAGTGCTACTTTTATTCCCCCTGATGACGAGATACAAGATAGGACTGAGCCAGGCGGACAGACAGACAAGACAGACAGACAGGACAGACAGACAGACAGACAGACAGACAGGCAGACAGGCGAAGGGACATTCCTGCGATGACGGAAATGTGACGAGTAAGGTGCGGAGTGAGGAGGGAGGTGAAAGAGTCGATTACGATCGGCGCTTGCGTGCTGGCTGCGAACGTGATAAGTCAGACACGGTGAACCGTCGGCGGCGGCGGCCGGGGGGAGGGGGCAGGCGGTTTGACCCGGGTCGGTGTCACCCCCTCCTCTTCCTACATTGTGATGGCAACAAAGCCCCGATCGGCATTGCAACTCCTAATGAGGTGCATCGCCCACAGACAGACACGGACCAGACGCCAGGCCGGCAGGCGGAGGGACCGAGGCGCACATCGCAGCACACCGCCACGGCGCGAGGCATGGCATTCCCAGTGTAGCTGCAGAGGGCCTCCGCGGCGCCCGTCCGCGCTTTAACAGCCAAATGACTTGCAGCGATCTGCAGATGGAGCCGGGCGAGCCGAGCCCGGCGGAAGCCGAAACAAAGGGCTGCAGCTTCACTCTGAAGGAGCTTGCCGTCGCTCTGTCTCCCTCGCACCTCTACGGAACGCCCCATGAGTGCGAGAGAGACA